ACGTTTTCCAGTGCTTGCGTGCGAGTGGCAGAGCATCCATGTCCGGTTGTAAAAAAAGCCTCTTGCTTCAAGCCTGAAGCTGGACCGCCCTGATCTGTCCCAAACCTTGGCCCCCGCGCAATGTAGTCAAGTTTTACATTCATTTGAATCCGAGAAATTCTCAGCATTCCGCTCTAGAATACTGTCCCTGCCACGTCATGTTCCTCTGGGATCCTGAAAGTCGCGTGTGTGCGTGCGTTTACGTCCGGTCGCAACGTCGTGTTTTGTGGTTTCCCGTATTCAAGTGCGACGTTTCCATGATTGGGTACAGTGTTTGATTCTCTCTTCTTGACGTTGCCCCCCCTGTAGGCTCGGTATTCTGTGGGTGGACATACTAATTAACCGTGTGAACAGAGCTCTTCCGGAGGTTCCGGGCCACGCTCCCACTCCCCGGCCAGGTGGGGGGTGCAGAGTGACCCCATGAACATGTAATTCTACTCTGAAAGTGTGCGCTGTGTACATCTACTCTGCGGGGGCCAACTCCAAGTTTCCTCGGCAGAGCCCAGGCGGAACCCTGCTCCGCAGCCCGTGTTACGGGCAGCCAGCACCAGGAGCTTTGCTTCCCTGGGCGAAGAAGGTAGGCGTGGGTGCTGTTCTGTGTGAATTGGGCAGCTGTTTCATGTTCATGTTGGCTTATACGTGCCTCCGCATGTCTTGTTCTCGCACGACATGCACGACCCTCAGAAGTCGAGGGCGTACAGCTGTTCCCGCCTTTGATTCCTTCGGAGAAAGGTTGGTATTGGTTGCAAGTTCCTTTTTGAAGGAGTGCTTGTGAGATGAAATTTATGGGGAGTCCTTTGGTGGACATGAGTCTGCAGATAGCCATGCACTTGTACTACGTGTTTCATGACTTTCTATATGCTTTGAAGATGCAGCACTGGAACTTTCAGGAGTCATGCGAGCTCCGGCCCACCAACAACGCCGCGGGCCAGGCAAGATCACTCTTTTGGATGATGTTTGCGGGGCATACGCTGCGCTACAATACACTGCATGAAGCTACCCGCTCACTCCACTGCACTCCACTCCATTCCACTCCGCTACACTACACTACGAACTGGCCTTTTCAATTGTGTTTGTGCTACCATTCAACATCGAACACTCGCATTCGCACCCAGATTAACAACAAAAAACGACAGCTACCATCTTTGTCTCTATGTAATCTCTTGATTTTGCTCTCGGACTTTGGTTCGTTCGCTTGTAACCTAGCGCTCGAATTAAATGGACAAGGAAGACCAAAAGAGAAGAGAGAGGGAGCACAGAGGGAAAGGAGGGAAAGATCCATGAACAGTAAGAAGTCATCCCAGGTCTTTGAGTCCAGGCAAAGGAAAACGACCACAGAAGTCAAATGAGTGGTGCAATGGACCCTGTGTCATAGGAGCTTGTGACTTGGACGTGCCTCACTTTAAAGCGCTTTCAGTGTTTTTGTGTTTGTTTTTCACTCGCGATTTCATGGTGTTGCACATAAAAGTTCGCTTTGTTGCAGGACCATCAAATATCGCTATGTAGTATAACAACCCCTTTACGCCTGATATATCAAGGGTGAGATGGGCTTTCGCTGTTCACACTCATGAGTGTGAGTGAAAGCAAGAGCTTGCAAGACCCTTCAGGTCAGGGCCATTTGCAACGCGGGACGCCTCCCCTTCTCGTGCGTGCCCCAGTGGCCGCGGTGCTCGGAGCTTGAGATGTGGTATAGCACCCTTTTTTGCGAAGGGTCCCGCGTACTTCGACCCTACGGGAAGTTTTTCTGGAAGTCTGGTCTTGCAGAGCTCGTTCCAAAAACATGTTGGTTGGGTCTGTGCAGGCTGATATGGCCTTAAGTCGTCTCAGTCACTTGGGCCTTCAGGAGCTTTGTCCATGTGGGCCCGCCAGGTGCGAAATCGCGGTCGCCTTCGCCTGCCCCTGCGGCCACAAAGCCGGTTCCGAAGGCCTCGAACGGACGAGCGCACGGAAGAGCACACTAAAGAGTACAGCAAGTACAGTGAGAGCAGAGAAATTGTGGTGCTGTGGGGTTGGTGGAAGGATGCGATCCCCGCCTGTTTGTCTGTTTGCCTGTTTTCCTCGTCCATGTTCGGTGCATGGCACAGCCCGAAACTCCAAAGAGGCCTTCGTCTCACAAGTCAACGCATGGGGCCAACCGGGTGCTGCTGCGCCCGCCGGCCACGCCCTTCGGGCATCGCGGGAGCCGGTGAAAGTACCCTACATGCACGTGCCGCCCGGGAGTTGGTGTTTTTGGGCTCTTGCCCAGACCCTGTGGACCCTGCGCCCTCAGTCGGCCTCGCTGGCGGCCCCGAAGAAACGAAGGGTGGTAAGCATCATCGAGCCACAGACGAAATCAGGTGCTCTTTTCGGGGATGTAGGGGCCGAACGGTGAGGCATCCACAAACGCCGGACTCCAGTTTGGGCAGAAGCTCTCCAATGCTCTCCACTTGCGCACCTTTGCATGTCAAAACGTAGTTGGTTTTGCTGACAATTCCAGATGTCTCTTCCCGTGTTGCATCTTGTTGCATGTGCGTTGCTTCTGCGCCCTTGTGCATCTTTAGCACTTTAGCGCCCCCTATGTACATGGACAGCCTCGCCATGTACATGACATTGCCTTGTCTTCTGGATTTTGAAAGGCTTTTCGGCTCTTGGGACTCACATGGTGTGGTTTCCTTAGAAAGGCCGACTTCGGGGTTTGCATGGCATGGTTTGCAGATGGCCAAAGTCGTGGCTGCTGTCGTTCTGTAGGTCTGTGTCTGGCGCTGACGCAACTTGCCCGTGTACGATGCGTTAGTTTCGACGGGACGGAGGGTGCTGTTGTTGCATGGGGGGAGGGAGCTTCTTGCTGCGTGATGCTGCACGTCTTTCGGTCTCTCGCGCCTGAGTTTTTTCTTGAATGCGGGCGATAGTCGTTTTGCCTGTGCAGGCTGCTGGAAGCACCTCGCCCAGGCACGCCATGACACGCCTTCCGATTTGCCAGGAGTAGAAACAGTTTTGCTTGCCTGCGCAGGCCTTCCCCGCAGCGATCGCGGGAAGCCAGGCCGTGACCCGCACACCTTTCTTAGCCTCAAGAGTTTGTTTGAGCATAGGAACTTTCCCATCAGGACTGTGAAGACCACCAAAAGCAGCCTTTGTCATAGGAGCTTTTGACTTGGACATGCCCGACATTGGAAGCTTTCGGTGTAGTTGTGCTTTGTTTTTCATTGGCTATGCTGGCTTTGTTGCAGGACCATCAAGTATCGCTGTATGGTATAGCAACCCGTTTACGCCTAATAAACCAAGGGTGATATGGGTTTTTCGCTGTTCGCTCTCTTAAAGTCTTAAAGTGCTCAAGGTTCACCAAGGCAATGGGTGACATTAACTGTTAGTGAAAGCAAGAGTTTGCAAGACCCTTCAGGTCAGGGCCATTTGCAACGCGGGACGCCTCCCCTTCTCGTGCGTGCCCCAGTGGCCGCGGTGCTCGGAGCTTGAGATGTGGTATAGCACCCTTTTTTGCGAAGGGTCCCGCGTACTTCGACCCTACGGGAAGTTTTTCTGGAAGTCTGGTCTTGCAGAGCTCGTTCCAAAAACATGTTGGTTGGGTCTGTGCAGGCTGATATGGCCTTAAGTCGTCTCAGTCACTTGGGCCTTCAGGAGCTTTGTCCATGTGGGCCCGCCAGGTGCGAAATCGCGGTCGCCTTCGCCTGCCCCTGCGGCCACAAAGCCGGTTCCGAAGGCCTCGAACGGACGAGCGCACGGAAGAGCACACTAAAGAGTACAGCAAGTACAGTGAGAGCAGAGAAATTGTGGTGCTGTGGGGTTGGTGGAAGGATCCCCGCCTGTTTGTCTGTCTGCCTGTTTGCCTCGTCCATGTTCGGTGCATGGCACAGCCCGAAACTCCACCAAGGCCTGTCTCACAAGTCAACACATGGGGCCAACCGGGTGCTGCTGCGCCCGCCGGCCACGCCCTTCAAGCATCGCGGGAGCCAGTGAAAGTACCCTACATGCACGCGCCGCCCGGGAGTTGGTGTTTTTGGGCTCTTGCCCAGACCCTGTGGACCCTGCGCCCTCAGTCGGCCTCGCTGGCGGCCCCGAAGAAACGAAGGGTGGTAAGCATCATCGAGCCACAGACGAAATCAGGTGCTCTTTTCGGGGATGTAGGGGCCGAACGGTGAGGCATCCACAAACGCCGGACTCGAGTTTGGGCAGTTGTAACAGCCAGCTCTCCACTTGCGCACCTTTGCATGTCAACACGTAGTTGGTTTTGCTGACAATTCCAGATGTCTCTTCCCGTGTTGCATCTTGTTGCATGTGCGTTGCTTCTGCGCCCTTGTGCATCTTTAGCGCCCCCTATGTACATGGACAGCCTCGCCATGTACATGACATTGCCTTGTCTTCTGGATTTTGAAAGGCTTTTCGGCTCTTGGGACTCACATGGTGTGATTTCCTTAGAAAGGCCGACTTCGGGGTTTGCATGGCATGGTTTGCAGATGGCCAAAGTCGTGGCTGCTGTCGTTCTGTAGGTCTGTGTCTGGCGCTGACGCAACTTGCCCGTGTACGATGCGTTAGTTTCGACGGGACGGAGGGTGCTGTTGTTGCATGGGGGGAGGAAGCTTCTTGCTGCGTGATGCTGCACGTCTTTCGGTCTCTCGCGCCTCAGTTTGCTTGAATGCGGGCGATAGTCGTTTTGCCTGTGCAGGCTGCTGGAAGCACCTCGCCCAGGCACGCCATGACACGCCTTCCGATCTCTCTTGCACCAATTGAACGAGGGTAGCCTCAAGAGTTCGTTTGAGCATAGGAACTTTCCTCCTCCCCGTTCGCGTTCTGCCATGAGGACTGTGCAGACCAGCAAAAGCACCACGAGGCAGGCTGCACTGCCGTCGATGCCTTGGAGGTGAAGTGCATCCTGACGTGACGAGGCCCCAGCTTGCCAAGCCCTCACCGCGATCAAGAGAGGCGGATACACGAAGGCCCGAGTTCTACCCGCAAGACCTCGAACCACCATGGATTGGGTTGGCCTAGGCGTTCATCCCTCGCATGAGTTAGATTGGCAACGCTTGGCTAAGGTGTGTCGTAGATCCTAGTCCCCTAAACAGTACAGCTTCGCTGAGTTTTCTTTCAAAAAAACTGCGACAGGAATTCTCTAGGAATGATGGCGATTGGCTGGGCCAGTTGCTGTGCGTTGTCTGTGAGTTACTTGGTGTCGGCCTGCTATGCACAGTGGTGGCATGGCGACCTTGCGAAAGCCATTGCCTTTGCAGGCGTGAGGTGGAGGAGAAGAGGCAAACGGCACGGGCAGTGAGAGCAACCAAAGACGAGGAGGATACCTCGCAGCCGAGTCCTGGTGATGGATTTGACAGGGAGCAGGAGCTGGCAGCCACGAAGATACAGAGCCGAGTCCGGGGGAAGCACGCCAGGCATGATGCATGAACTCATGTTGGCTTGGGGAAGTTGATGGAAGTTGTGGAGGCTGCTAGCTAAGAAGCAGTGCAGGACTGTTTGCTATGCATGTGCATGTGCATGGAATGCCGGTTGAATTTTCTCTTGCATAGTGACGGCATGGTGATCTTGCCAAAGCCACTGCCTTTGCAGGCGTGAGGTGGAGGAGAAGAGGCAAACAGCACGGGCAGCGAGAGCAACCAAAGACGAGGAGGATACCGCGCATCCGAATCCTGGTGATGGATTTGACAGGGAGCAGGAGCTGGCAGCCACGAAGATACAGAGCCGAGTCCGGGGGAAGCACGCCAGGCATGATGCATGAACTCATGTTGGCTTGGGGAAGTTGATGGAAGTTGTGGAGGCTGCTAGCTAAGAAGCAGTGCAGGACTGTTTGCTATGCATGTGCATGTGCATAGAATGCCGGTTGAATTTTCTCTTGCATAGTGACGGCATGGTGATCTTGCGAAAGCCATTGCCTTTGCAGGCGTGAGGTGGAGGAGAAGAGGCAAACGGCACGGGCAGTGAGAGCAACCAAAGACGAGGAGGATACCTCGCAGCCGAGTCCTGGTGATGGATTTGACAGGGAGCAGGAGCTGGCAGCCACGAAGATACAGAGCCGAGTCCGGGGGAAGCACGCCAGGCATGATGCATGAACTCATGTTGGCTTGGGGAAGTGGATGGAAGTTGTGGAGGCTGCTAGCTAAGAAGCAGTGCAGGACTGTTTGCTATGCATGTGCATGTGCATGGAATGCCGGTTGAATTTTCTCTTGCATAGTGACGGCATGGTGATCTTGCGAAAGCCATTGCCTTTGCAGGCGTGAGGTGGAGGAGAAGAGGCAAACAGCACGGGCAGCGAGAGCAACCAAAGACGAGGAGGATACCTCGCATCCGAATCCTGGTGATGGATTTGACAGGGAGCAGGAGCTGGCAGCCACGAAGATACAGAGCCGAGTCCGGGGGAAGCACGCCAGGCATGATGCATGAACTCATGTTGGCTTGGGGAAGTTGATGGAAGTTGTGGAGGCTGCTAGCTAAGAAGCAGTGCAGGACTGTTTGCTATGCATGTGCATGTGCATGGAATGCCGGTTGAATTTTCTCTTGCATAGTGACAGCATGGTGATCTTGCCAAAGCCACTGCCTTTGCAGGCGTGAGGTGGAGGAGAAGAGGCAAACAGCACGGGCAGCGAGAGCAACCAAAGACGAGGAGGATACCTCGCATCCGAATCCTGGTGATGGATTTGACAGGGAGCAGGAGCTGGCAGCCACGAAGATACAGAGCCGAGTCCGGGGGAAACAAGCGAGGCCCCGTGCTCAGGGCTCTGATATTATGAGTCTTAGGCTCACTAGACTCATCCGTTTGGAGGCCCGACATCTTTGTAAGATTTTGTAAGGGTGTGAGGAGATTCAGAATTCCAGATTCTGGCTGTCAGGCGGCAGGTGGAGTTGAGGAAGCAAAAGACATGGACCACACTGGACGGCGAGGATGCGAGGAGCCCTGGCCCTCCGGATGGTTTGGACCGTGAGCAGGAGTTGGCAGCCACCAGGATACAAAGTCGAGTGCGCGGCAAGCAAGCCAGGTGCACCATGCATGCCCAGAGAAAGAGAATGCGCAGTGTGTCTATTTGAGGATGCCTTAGTTCTTGAACAGTTGTTCGACTTTCAACCGAAATGTCGTGAGGGGAGTGTATTTCGGGCCTGTAGTTACGGGACCGACTGTTCCCTGTCAGGCGAGAGGTCGAGAAGAAGAGAGAAGCAGCAAGGAACACGGCAGAATCGGAAGACGAGGACACACGAAGGGTGCTGAACCACTGGAAGTCCTGAGCACAAGCCACAAGTCATCTCACGAGCTTGCGGATGCGTCAAAGGAGCACGCGGATGCCGAAGATGGCTCGGCGAGTGACGCGAGTGAACGCACCGGCGAGTCCTTGTCTGAAGGTGAGGCCTAGCCAGGCCGAGCCAGGCCTCGCCAGCCCCACATGGCACCCCAAAGCCATTTAATAAGGATCTCTGAAGCCCTTAGCTCTGACCCTGGGACACTGATGGGGGATCCATCTGGGATCAGCGACTGAAACTTGTCCACCCCATCGCTGCCTGTTTGTACACAGTTTGTGGGCTCTGTCGGAATCTCCGCAGAGCTCTGAGGGTCGCTTTTGCCATCACGGCAGAAGAGCCTTGATGTAGATAGAAGCTCACGGGACAGAAGGGCGTGTTCCAGCAGTGCGCAAGACACGAAGGCCTGTTGCCTTGACTTCGAAACTCTATGCCCTAAATCCAAATCCTTTTCTTGGATGCGCCGCGAGGTTGTTAAAGTCAAGTGTTGATACAGGTCAAGGCTAACTTGCAGGAATTGTTGGTTGAATTTGCTAAATATTTGTAGCAATCCCGTGGCGCATCCAAGCATGATAGTCGGAACCCATGGTAAGCACCATTCTTGCGTCAGGTTGCAATATACTTGCACCGCATCGTGCCTTTTGCAGTTTTGCGCACTGCTCACATAGCGCTGTCCTGCGTTTGCGGAAAAGCATGTGCTTTCGCTGGCACTTGGGTACACCCAAAGTGGGATCTCATCCAGCATCCTAGAAGGTTTCGGGACTTCGTTTTCAACAGCTTAGCTTTGTTTGCTCTTTCCCAACCCTCGGGTGACTCATGATGGCATCACTCATGACTAATCTCTGCGTGCTGCATACACTATATCGTTGTTACACGTTGGGGAGTAGGAGCTGCGGCTGGACGAAGACCAGGATCCGAGAGCACACCCCAAGCCAAGCAGCCAATATTGGGAGTCTTGAGAACTTTTGACAGCTTTTTTTTTGTATGACGTGTTTTGTGAGGTGCTGTGCTAAGACGAAGCCAACTCAGAGTTATGTCGGCTCACCGCCAGCGCGCTATTGCCGTGCTGACCATCGGCCGTGGAGGCCAGAAAATTTATGTCTGCCAGTTTGCTACGCATTCTCCAAGTTCTGGCAGCCCCAACACCTCGTTGTGGCACCCGCTTAGAGACTAGCATGTGTCGTGGTGTCGTTCCCAAGAAGCCCCACCTGGCCATCAGGCTTACGAGTCCCAGATGGCAGGCACAACTGCTGACCGTGGTTGGACGAGTTAGCTTTGAATCCGACAGCCCGAAACTCCCAAATCTCGCATCCCGCTTCTCGCAGGTGGAGGCCTTCTAAGCGGCCACTCGGTCCTTCTTGACAGTTACCTCTGCAGGAATGGCATCCTTGTGGTTCGTTTGGGTGGGAGTTTTCATGTGGTTCGGTTCGATTCGTGTTCCCTGCCCTTCAAACAATGCAGGAAAGCAAGGAAAGGAAACCCCCCGCTTCGGGCCAGCATGGACCCCTCCTCCCTGCACCCCAGCAACGCCCCCACTTTTCGGGCCCAGTTCGGGCTCGCGACAGGCCGGGCCCGAAACGTGGGCACATTTCTTTCATCAGCTTTTGTTCGTGATCCCCTGGAAATTTTTCTGCGGGGAGGTCAAGCATCCCTGGTTGCCCCAGACAGAGCCTTGAGTAGGACTGCTGTGGCTGTGGATGTTTCGTGATGTTGGCTGGATTGGTTGAGCGGAATGTTCAGCAAAAGAGGAAAGAACACTTGTGAAGGCTGCCATCTTTCCAGGGAGGCGTGTGTTGAGGTGCCTGGCTCACATTTCTGAAACCCCTGGAATCGCCCTGGACCTCGAATCCCACTTAAGAAAACCCAAAACTCGCAAGCCCATCCAAAACCCCCCAAAACCGATGTTGCTGAGTTGAGGCCTTCACGCCCAGCTCCAGGGCGGCACTGCGAGCCCCTTCGGAAGTGGCCGGGTGCACAGAAAAGGCCGTGCTCAAGGCCTCCAAGACTAGGAACGGGGGAGGGACCTCCATTGCCGCCACAGCAGTATCCTTCAGCCTGTGGTCCGAATCTGAAATTCGACGAAAAGCAAGGATGTTCCTTGGTCACACAGGCACTGTTTTTTGAGGACGTCGTGCAAGCCGCTGCAAGCCTTGAGAGGCCAAGTAAACGCATGCAAGTGTATGCTTGAATGCGCTTGATGCAGTACCTGAGAGCGTGCGCATATTGTGTACCTGATGGCAACCATATGAAGACAAGTCCAAACGGAACAGTCCGAACTTGGCACCGAGGCGGGAGCATCAGTAGCCCATTCGCCGGAGGCCATCACCTGTACAAGTGGCGTTGTAAGTTGTTGCCCAATGCCCAAAACCATGCCCAACCCGTCGAAACCCATCGAAATCCCTCGAGGCGCCAAGGGAGGACTCTTCGGAGGCGGCGCCAGCACGGAGGTGCCCAAAGGGGGCATCTTTTCAGACTTAGGCCCGCATGGCATGAGTGTGCCGAGCGTGCTGAGTCCATCTTTGCAGGCCTCGGGTGGCTCAGGCGGCGGCCTGCTCGGAGCCCTGGGCCTGGCACTTACAGACCCGCGCAAATTGGCTTGGAGTGCATTTTTTCCCGAAAGCGTGGCATAGCGTGGCAAGGGTTGTTCAGCAGAGGTGGTCTTGGGGAAGGCTCTTCGTTCTCGTTGATGCATCCATCATTACCGGATGTTGTGATGGATGGTGTGATGGATTTTCGGTGGATGTTGTGGCAATTGTTAATGTTGAAAGCGCGGGGGAGGCCTCTGGCGGGAGGCGCGTGGGAGCCGTGAAAGCGGTGTTTGCATTGCCGCAGCTCCTCAAAATTGCATTGGCGCGTGGGAGGCGCTCACGCTTTTGCTTGGCCATGAATGACTTCCCTCTCGGTGTGAGTGGGGCGCCGTGGCGCCTGGGAATCGTCCACAATTGTTTGCTACGAACGACAACCCTCTCGGTGTGCGCGGGGAACGGTGGCGTGTGGGAGGCGTTCACAACTTGGCTGAACACCCTGGCGTGCGCATGGAGCCTTCTCCAAATGGTCTCAGGGTCCGCTGAGCGTCGAGGCACTGGCGCAAATAGATCCCAGGCACGAACGACAACCCGGTGTGGCGTGGCGCTGGCGCGTGGGGCGTCTTCGGCATTTGTTTCGCGAACGGCAACCCTCTCGATGGATTTGGCATGTTGCGCACCGGGCAGTCGATCGCTACTACATCGATGTCGTGATGGATGGTGTGATGGATTCCGCGATCTATGTTGCTAGTAAATGCGGCTTGCAAATGCTTTCGGACGAGCGTTCTCTAGTTTTGTTAGCTGCGCACCTTATTACTGGTTTGTGCATGTGAAAAACTCCCCATTGGCCCAGAGCCCTGCGCTTCAACCCCTGGCGTTGAATAGAATCCCAAGGTGGCACCAGCAGTTCCGGGTTGTCCGGGGCCTTTGGTGCCAGTGAGGAGCCTGGCACACCCTGATCTGGCAGAATGATGGGAAGCCAGGTGGAGCTAGGGCTCACGAAGCTGGCCAAGGTACAGCCGGCGGCTGGGGTCTCGGAGCAGGCGGCAACCGAAAACCAGAAGTGTTTTCCCAAAGCCTCCCCATAGCCCCTCCCCCAACCCTGGTAGGCTCGGGCGGAGGCTCGGGCGGGGGCCTCTCCGGCCTCTTTGGTGGGGGCAGCCCACAGCTCAGCCTGGTGTGGGCCGAAAGCTCCCCAGTTCTGTAAATCTCCAATGTTCAAAATGCTCAATGGTGTTCAATGCTACCACTGCCACATGAAGGCACCACGCCTGCCTGGGGATTGGGAGCTGGAGGCAGCCCCAGCTTGCAGGGGCATCCTTTGGAGGGGGGATGCTTCTATTTCGAGCCGAGTTCATCAAACAAATCAGGAAGCTAGTGGAGGTAGAGTGGAGGTAGGTGCCCCAACTAGGTAACTAGGAACAGGGCGCCGAGGTAGACGCAGACGGAGGGACAGGACGGAAGTGTGCACTGTGACCCTATCCTTCATCAACCCTTTACACTCCTGGGGCATGTTAGACGTTCCACCCCACTGTCGCTTCGCAAGCCTTGAGAACAAAAAGCGGCTCGGATCCTCGAGGCTCTAGCTCCGCCTCTGGGATGTTTGGGGCTGGCCTGAGACCGAGCTCCAAGGAACACGTTGTGCTCAGGAGTGTTTTTCAGTAAGGATTCCTGGAGGAATTTCGGTTGGTTTAGTTCTTTATGATTCTTTGCTTTTTTTTTTTTTTTGGGGGGGGGGCGGGGTGGGGTGGTAGGGGGGTAGCCAGATAAGGTCTAAGACTATCAGAAGGCACTGGTAGTGGAGATGCACCAGTGCAGAGGTGCTCTGAAGAGAGACTGTCGTTTTTCGTTGGTGGGTGTTGCAGTAGGACCAGGGGCGGAGAAAACTCCACGAAGGCTGAGCAATGTATCTGTCTGTCTGTCTCTCTGTCGGTCTGTCTCTCTGTCTGTCTGTGTCTCCGTCCGTCCGTCCGTCCGTCGGTCTGTCTGTCTGTCTGCCTGCCTGTCTGTCTGTCTGTCTGTCTGTCTGTGTTTGTGGAATTTTTTGGGCAGTGGTTAGGAGAAGCTGCCCAAACGGCGATCCAGCAACCCGTTCTTGCATACTTCATAGTAAGTGAACGGGGGAGGCGGGGCGATGGCAGCCAAAGCCGCCCAAGCCATCCGTGAAAACAGCCGGAGCTTGTGCCCTTAGCTATGCTGAGGCTCAAAAGTTTCTGATGTTTCTGGTTGTTGCCTGTCCGGTATTCCCTTGAGCACGAAAGCCCCTGAAGCCTCAATGGTTAAGCAAGACATTTTCCTGCTCAGCAACTACTGAGCCATTTCCCTAATGCCCCAAGCTTCCAAAGGTGCTTCAGGTGGGTGGGGCCTTGGAGCGGGTTGCGCGCTCGGAACATCCCAGGCGAACAGCCTTACCTCGTGTGTTAAGTCTCGGGTCTCAAGGACTTCTTCAGCTCTGGTAGGGTTTAAGGCTTAAGGCCTTCCAGTGAGACCGTGGACGGAGTTTCTCCTTGCTGTTCGAAACATCGGGATGTGATTTTTTGCAGTTGCTGCCAGGGGCATCCTGCAGAGAGCATGGAGCATTTGGATGATCGCTGTGCTCGAGAAGCCAAGGTGCGGCAACAGGCTCAGCCTCGTTTGGAGGAGCCGCACAAAGATCCTTTTTTCTCCGGCATGTGTTTATTAGCATTTGTTGGCTAGTGCTAGAGGAGCTGAACTGAGCGTCAGGAGCTGCTGGGAGTGCCACAATTTCGCCGTTCGGAGGCGGCATGTCACAAATGACCCGAAGGCAGAACCCACCATGACTCTCGCTCCCAAAAGGCGGTTCCTCTGGCTCCGCAGCTTCGCCCTTTGCCGGCGGCTGGGAGCCCAGAGAACGAATTTAAGCCACACAGCGAGCTCACGGAGCGACGAAGCGAATGGCTGCCAGCTCGCCTCCTGCACCACTTCCTGCTGCGGTCACATGTAGAAAGTAGCTGTTTTTTCGGTGCTCAACTTCAGCCTGACCCGGAAGAAAAATAAGAAAAAGCGCTGTTGCAATGGACCTGAAACGCCGGCCCAGCCAGCACCACGATGCGTGCCGGTCTTGGTGCACGAAGGGATCTCCTCGGGCAGCTCTGCCAGCGTACTTTTGCCTGACCCTCAACTGTGCACGAAACACCCTTAGCTCCGTAGCTCCCCTTGGCTGTTCAAGGTGCGTGTAATCTCTCATGCCTATGTCGCCAGGCATCGCGCCAAGAGTCGCAGCAAGCCGGCCGTGGTTTGTCGTTTTGTCAAGTTTTTCAGCTGCTGCATTTGCTAGGCCGGCCTTCAGTGGCCTTCAGGGCCGACTCCGGAGTTTGTTGCGTGGCCTCCCGTGGCCTCCGTTGATTTCAACATCAGCTTTTTGTCTCATTCTGTGACTGCCCCTTGTACGATTCACATACATATGAGCTTCCGTGGTTCAATCCTGCCACACAGCCTGTTTTGCCTGAAAGTGGCTTGCGTGTTCTCTTCAGCATGAAGCGACCGCGGTCGTCGGTCGCCCAGGGCTCGATGGAGCCCCAAGTGCTCCTCGCTCACGCATTTCTCACAGTCTAACGCTGCCTCTGCTCCCGCGTCGATCTCCATCGGTTGTGGGATCGTTGCAGCCCAGCCTTCCCTGTTGTCATTGCCGAACCCTGTCATATCTTGTCATTAACACTCCCCATCGCAGGGCGTCAGCCTCGAGGTCACAGTCCATGTTCTCCACATTTCGTCCAGCATGTCTGGCTCGGAGATTGCAGAGTGCTCTCTCTTTTGTCATTGTTGCTGACGAGATTGCTGATCAATCATTCACATCGGTATCATCGTCTGCGATCGTAGTCTTCACTCGCTTGCTGTAAGCCTGGTTCACGAAGCCGTGAAGTTCATGACAGCAAGTGAACTGTCGCGAAGGACCTGAGAGTTTAGTAGTTGCACATCCTCAGGTGCTTCGACGGGCTCTGGATTGTTTGGAGCAGGAGCTGGCGCGGTCAGGCGAACTTGTTTTACGGGAAAGAGTCAGCGTGCATGGAACTTGCAGGAAGTTCTTCAGGCTCCACCGCTTCGCCGTTTGGAGGCTGGGCACCCAAGAGGGCAGCCGACACGCCCCGACACTTCCCACTTCCTCGAACGGCGCTGAGGCACTTCAACGGGCTCCGGCTTGTTCGGCGCAGGCGCATATGGGCGCACAATGCACAGCCACTGCGCGCGCGGCAGGGCACCGTGTTTTTTTGACACAATGACAGGCGCTGTTTGGGTTTGCGTTGAGGAGCCTCTTCGAGCTCGAGCACTTCCCCGTTTGGAGGTCTGCAGTGAAGAGAAGACTCTGTACGGAAGACTGTCTGGCGCACTGCTTCTCTGGATAGGAGCCTCCACGGGTTCGGGCTTGTCCGGAGCCTTCGGCGGCGGCGGGGTACCCGACATGCGATGATGCGAGCGCCAGTACAGAGAGAGTGGACGGATGAATTGATGCATCACCGCTCTGCCCGCGAGGTGCCTCCACTGGATCTGGCTTGTTTGGATCAGGAGCATGTGGGTGCTGCGACGTACAGCAGACATGTGTCACATGTGTCACATGTGTCACATGTGCACGACGGCAACCCTGTGTGCAGGAGGTTCCACAGGCTCCACAGCTTCGCCCTTCGCAGCTGGCTGGAAGCCCGGACGGCCGTTCCTTGCAGCAGAGCCAGGTCGTTGGCACCTGCAGCGCCAAACGCTTGGGCTCAGGTGGTTCCTCGGGTTCCACAGCTTCACCCTTTGCTAGCGGCTGGGTGCTCAGGGAACTTAAACCGTGCAGCTTCGGCGACGGGCAATTCAATGTGGCTTGATGTTGTAGAGGTGTGTTGTGCGCGATGCACGGGGCTGCCAGTTTTGTTACACGTTGCTCGGAAGAACTATGCGGTTGTTGCACATCCTCAGGTGCTTCGACGGGCTCTGGATTGTTTGGAGCAGGAGCTGGCGCGGTCAGGCGAACTTGTTTTACGGGAAAGAGTCAGCGTGCATGGAACTTGCAGGAAGTTCTTCAGGCTCCACCGCTTCGCCGTTTGGAGGCTGGGCACCCAAGAGGGCAGCCGACACGCCCCGACACTTCCCACTTCCTCGAACGACGCTGAGGCACTTCAACGGGCTCCGGCTTGTTCGGCGCAGGAGCATATGGGCGCACAATGCACAGCCACTGCGCGCGCGGCAGGGCACCGTGTTTTTTTGACACAATGACAGGCGCTGTTTGGGTTTGCGTTGAGGAGCCTCTTCGAGCTCGAGCACTTCCCCGTTTGGAGGTCTGCAGTGAAGAGAAGACTCTGTACGGAAGACTGTCTGGCGCACTGCTTCTCTGGATAGGAGCCTCCACGGGTTCGGGCTTGTCCGGAGCCTTCGGCGGCGGCGGGGTACCCGACATGCGATGATGCGAGCGCCAGTACAGAGAGAGTGGACGGATGCAATTGATGCATCACCGCTCTGCCCGCGAGGTGCCTCCACTGGATCTGGCTTGTTTGGATCAGGAGCATGTGGGTGCTGCGACGTACAGCAGACATGTGTCACATGTGTCACATGTGTCACATGTGCACGACGGCAACCCTGTGTGCAGGAGGTTCCGCAGGCTCCACAGCTTCGCCCTTCGCAGCTGGCTGGAAGCCCGGACGGCCGTTCCTTGCAGCAGAGCCAGGTCGTTGGCACCTGCAGCGCCAAACGCTTGGGCTCAGGTGGTTCCTCGGGTTCCACAGCTTCACCCTTTGCTAGCGGCTGGGTGCTCAGGGAACTTAAACCGTGCAGCTTCGGCGACGGGCAATTCAATGTGGCTTGATGTTGTAGAGGTGTGTTGTGCGCGATGCACGGGGCTGCCAGTTTTGTTACACGTTGCTCGGAAGAACTATGCGGTTGTTGCACATCCTCAGGTGCTTCGACGGGCTCTGGATTGTTTGGAGCAGGAGCTGGCGCGGTCAGGCGAACTTGTTTTACGGGAAAGAGTCAGCATGCATGGAACTTGCAGGAAGTTCTTCAAGCTCCACCGCTTCGCCGTTTGGAGGCTGGGCACCCAAGAGGGCAGCCGACACGCCCCGACACTTCCCACTTCCTCGAACGACGCTGAGGCACTTCAACGGGCTCCGGCTTGTTCGGCGCAGGAGCATATGGGCGCACAATGCACAGCCACTGCGCGCGCGGCAGGGCACCGTGTTTTTTTGACACAATGACAGGCGCTGTTTGGGTTTGCATTGAGGAGCCTCTTCGAGCTCGAGCACTTCCCCGTTTGGAGGTCTGCAGTGAAGAGAAGACTCTGTACGGAAGACTGTCTGGCGCACTGCTTCTCTGGATAGGAGCCTCCACGGGTTCGGGCTTGTCCGGAGCCTTCGGCGGCGGCGGGGTACCCGACATGCGATGATGCGAGCGCCAGTACAGAGAGAGTGGACGGATGAATTGATGCATCACCGCTCTGCCCGCGAGGTGCCTCCACTGGATCTGGCTTGTTTGGATCAGGAGCATGTGGGTGCTGCGACGTACAGCAGACATGTGTCACATGTGTCACATGTGTCACATGTGCACGACGGCAACCCTGTGTGCAGGAGGTTCCGCAGGCTCCACAGCTTCGCCCTTCGCAGCTGGCTGGAAGCCCGGACGGCCGTTCCTTGCAGCAGAGCCAGGTCGTTGGCACCTGCAGCGCCAAACGCTTGGGCTCAGGTGGTTCCTCGGGTTCCACAGCTTCACCCTTTGCTAGCGGCTGGGTGCTCAGGGAACTTAAACCGTGCAGCTTCGGCGACGGGCAATTCAATGTGGCTTGATGTTGTAGAGGTGTGTTGTGCGCGATGCACGGGGCTGCCAGTTTTGTTACACGTTGCTCGGAAGAACTATGCGGTTGTTGCACATCCTCAGGTGCTTCGACGGGCTCTGGATTGTTTGGAGCAGGAGCTGGCGCGGTCAGGCGAACTTGTTTTACGGGAAAGAGTCAGCATGCATGGAACTTGCAGGAAGTTCTTCAAGCTCCACCGCTTCGCCGTTTGGAGGCTGGGCACCCAAGAGGGCAGCCGACACGCCCCGACACTTCCCACTTCCTCGAACGACGCTGAGGCACTTCAACGGGCTCCGGCTTGTTCGGCGCAGGAGCATATGGGCGCACAATGCACAGCCACTGCGCGCGCGGCAGGGCACCGTGTTTTTTTGACACAATGACAGGCGCTGTTTGGGTTTGCGTTGAGGAGCTTCTTCGAGCTCGAGCACTTCCCCGTTTGGAGGTCTGCAGTGAAGAGAAGACTCTGTACGGAAGACTGTCTGGCGCACTGCTTCTCTGGATAGGAGCCTCCACGGGTTCGGGCTTGTCCGGAGCCTTCGGCGGCGGCGGGGTACCCGACATGCGATGATGCGAGCGCCAGTACAGAGAGAGTGGACGGATGAATTGATGCATCACCGCTCTGCCCGCGAGGTGCCTCCACTGGATCTGGCTTGTTTGGATCAGGAGCATGTGGGTGCTGCGACGTACAGCAGACATGTGTCACATGTGTCACATGTGCACGACGGCAACCCTGTGTGCAGGAGGTTCCGCAGGCTCCACAGCTTCGCCCTTCACATCTGGCTGGGGACTTGTATCGACCACTCCATGCAGCAAGAGAGCATAGGACCCGTAAAGGTGACAAGCTGGGTAATCCTCGGACCTTCAGAACATGAACCTGTCGAGCACCAAATCGTGAGCCAAGACATGGCAATCGAGGCGCCAATGGCTCGGGCTCGTTCGGGACAAGTGCCTCCCTCAAAGCTATTTGCGGCGCGAAGGGCGAAGGTTAAGGTTTGCAGAAGGGGTTGTGATGTGAAGTGCAATCCAAGAATCGTTCTGAGTTAATTCAAGATGCGTTTTCGATCAGCAGAGCGAAGGGTATGCAGTGGTGGCGACTTTCACTGGTGCTGATTGGTCCCGATCGGTTCCGATTGGTTTGGGGCATCAGCGCAAAGGAGACATGGCCACAGAAGCCGCCCATGCCCCCCTTACCCGTCGTTTGGAACTGTGTGTCCGTCGGGTTGTGCCACATCTTGTATGTGACCCGTGTTCTCCTGGGCATCAGCCGTGCCGGCGCCGGAAAAAGCAGCGACCATCCCGGTTGCTCGCAGTGCCTTCCACGTCGAGTATGCTTCTGCTTGGCTGATGGTTCTTGAACGCGTGTTTTTTGGATTCATCTAAGCCCTAACCCCTAAACCCCTAAACCCCTAAACCCCTAAACCCCTAAACCCCTAAACCCCTAAACCCCTAAACCCCTAAACCCCTAAACCCCTAAACCCCTCAACCCTCAACCCTAAACCCCCAAACCCCAAACCCTCAACCCTCAACCCTCAACCCTCAACCCTCAACCCTCAACCCTCAACCCTAAACCATAACCATGAAAAAACACGGAACAAAACCAGAAAACATACGAAGAAAAACCTGGACCCCTTCTGCTTCAACTCGTCCGCTCTTTATAAAGGCTCTCTTTATAGAGAGCCTATTGTTCATCGGCTTGGTAAGGCACAGCGATGTCAAAGAGTTTGACAATTTGAGAAGGCCCACATCCAGCATGAAGGGATGCAACAGAGAGTCAAGAGACAGGGGGAGACCACCTTCCCGAAATCCTTGGCAGATAAGCTCGAAGATGTGAGAGGCAAGCTTCTAAAAGCCTTGGCAAAGTTCGCTCACACTGCCATCAATCAACTGTTTGGTGACAGACGCACCTCCGACAACCTTACCCTGCCCAACTCAAATTGACCCCGGCATGAAGGGAGACAAAGAGAGTTGCAAGCTCCATCAAATGCCGAAGACCGTCCCCACCCCCCACCGTTAGGATCTCTAGCAGACGTTGCAGACGTTTTCACAAAGTCAAGAATCCCTAAATCCCCTGAACTTAGGTAGAATCTGGCAGAATGTGGTAGAGCCAGTCCACTGCGGGTCAGGTGCACCCTTGGGCTCCGGTCCCGCAGTGGAACAAGGTGCCCAGAGGGAACTTGATGTTCAGACCCAGCCTTCCTGTAGCTAGACTCAGAATGAGACTTAGAGCTGCGTGCTGTGGACTGCAGTCTTTCGTCATGAGGCTCGTCTGCCACAAGCGGGCTGTCTGGAGTGCTTTCCGGACTTTCTGGCCGCCCGAGACCCATCTCAAGAATTGTTGGGCGATCCGTGTGGAGACCCCTGCCCCCTTCCGCCCCCCTCAAGATCCCTCCTTCAAGTTCCCATCCCCCTCTCAAGATCCTCCCCCCACCTAAAGATTCCCCCCCATGCTTTTCGATTCGTTGAACTTCATGTAATACCTCGACACTTCAATCCTTTGTTTTCGCTACCAGTGCTACTGCTATTGCTACTGTTACTGCTACTGCCACTGCCACTGCCACTCCTACTTACGACTACGACTACGACTACAACGACTACTAGTACTAGTACTAGTACTAGTACTAGTACTAGTACTAGTACTACTACTACTACTACTACTACTACTACTACTACTACTACTACTACTACTACTACTACTACTACTACTACTACTACTACTACTACTACTACTACTACTCTACTACTCTACTACTACTACTCTACGACTACTACTACTACTACTACTACTACTACTACTACTACTACTACTACTACTACTACTACTACTACTACTACTACTACTACTACTACTACTACTAGGCGTGACGTTCTTAATTGATCGCAGGGGTTTTGTGGCATGCAATTTTCGTGTTAAGAGACGAAAACCTCGGTATTTACAGTGTTTCCTGGCTTTGTCCGTTTACGGACACGAAAAATGGACGTGTAAAAAGTCCCGCAAACTACTTTCAACTACTTTAGGCGCAGGAGGAAAACATCGGTATTTACAGTGTTTTCGGGCTTCAAAAACGGTCAATTACAGGGCCTACTTTGCGCAGACGTGTTCTCAGAACAGAGGAAAAGACCGGTATTTACAGCGTTTCGCGGGTTTTCTAAGATGTGGCCAAACTTGTCCTTAAACCCGAACGCCTCCAGCAAGCCGAACAGTCGTGCACCCTGAAATCCGAAACCCCGAAACCTGAAGCAAGCCCAAGAGTCGTGCACCCTTAAAATCTCAACCCCACAGCGTCAAGCACGTCCCCAGAAAAAACACAAAACATCTGGAGCCTGAAACCCCAAACCCCATGTGTACCCTGAATGACAAAGCAGTCCCACAGTGCACCCCCTTAAACCTTAAATCCCATAGAAAAAGCCCAAAAGTCCTTTCACCTTACAGCCTCAACCCCAAACCCTTCCCTTAAACCCTCAACCCCAAATCCCAAAAAAACCCAGAAGATCCCTAAACCCTCCACTGTGAATCCCAAAAAGCCGAAAAGATCCCGAAACCCTCCACTGTGAGCCCAAAAGGTCTTACCCTTAAACCCTAAACCCCAAATCCCAAAAAACCTCAAAAGGTCTCTACCCTCAAGCCCCAAACCCTAAACCCTCCACTGTAAGCCCAAAATGTCTTGCCCTGAAACCCTAAACCCCAGATGCCAAAAAAAACCAAAAGATCTGTAGGCTGAAACCTCAAACCCCATATTTCCACTGGAAGCCCAAAAGGTTCCCAAAAAAGCCCAAAAGATCTGTACCTGCAAACCCTAAACCCTCCACTGTGAGCCCAAAAGATCTTGCCCCTAAACCAACCAAAAAAACAGAGGAAAACAGTAGACAGCGTGGTCAAGCGTGCACAAAGCCCAGCACGACCCCCATGTGTGCACAAAGCACAGCACGTAATTACCCCCCCACCCCCCCCCCCCCCAACCCCTCAGCATGGTCATGTGTGCACAAAGCACAGCACGTAATTACCCCCCCCCCACCCACCCCCCCCACCCCCCCCAACCCGTCAAACGCAGAAAAAACCAGAGAAAACGATAGAAAAAGTCAAAAAACAGCAGAAAACACCATGATCAGTTAAGAGCGTGTCACCTACTACTACTACTACTACTACTACTACTACTACTACTACTACTACTACTACTACTACTACTACTACTACTACTACTACTACTACTACTACTACTACTACTACTACTACTACTACTACTACTACTACTACTAGTAGTAGTAGTAGTAGTAGTAGTAGTAGTAGTAGTAGTAGTAGTAGTAGTAGTAGTAGTAGTAGTAGTAGTAGTAGTAGTAGTAGTAGTAGTAGTAGTAGTAGTAGTAGTAGTAGTAGTAGTAGTAGTAGTAGTAGTAGTAGTAGTAGTAGTAGTAGTAGTAGTAGTAGTAGTAGTAGTAGTAGTAGTAGTAGTAGTAGTAGTAGTAGTAGTAGTAGTAGTAGTAGTACTACTACTACTACTACTACGACGACTACTACTACTACTACTTTGACTTCCTCCGTCGCGAAGACCGGTCTGGGTCAGCCGTGCCTTTCATACGGGCGGTTTAACAAAAGCTTTCCCGTTGCTGGATAGACCTTTCATGAACTGGCCTCTCGACAGGTTGCTTCCAGACACTCCGGGATCCAAATAGGGCTCAGAAGTTGTTCCGACAGATGCAGGCCGGGTGAGCGTCACCACTTTACCACTTGTTGCCACGTATGGGTGGATCAGCTAAAAAGACTTGAAATTGTGAAAGCTCGGTTTTCAACAAAATCACAGTCTAAAACTCTTAAACATTCAAAAAGGCTTTTTGCAGGGCCTTGAGCTTCTAAATTGAAAACCGAACTTTCAAGGTTTTAAGGTTTTCGAACATTGAAATGTTACGGTTTCGGGACCCTTTGACCAGACAGGTTCGGAAAACAATTGTTGCTCTCTCTTGGCTTGCTTGGGTTTGGGCAAAGTTTGCTGTTATCGGCTCGTGTTGTTCTTGATCGAGAGAAAGCCGGGGGCCGATAGCAGCAAATTCTAGCCCAACAAATTTGGCAAAACTCTGTTGCTATCCGCCCGCTCGTTTTCGATGAAAAGAAGGCGCTGGCCGATAGAAAACAAAGTTGACCGCCTACTAGCAGCAGGAGGTGACGCAAAATGTGTTGCTATTGGCCCGGCCCCTCTCAGGTTTCAAAATGGTCCGGGCCGATATCCGCAAGTTTTGACCTCGCAGGTCTGGGCAGCAAGTGCTGCTATCGGCCAGCCTCGTCTCTGAATCATTCCTCCCGTCCTTCGGTTCCTCTTGTCTCTCGCTTTACAAATTGAAGGTTTTTGCAAAAGACAACGGTTCCCGCACTCCCCTCTGCCCCTGAAGGGGGAAAGATGGACAGTGAGAAGAAGCGGTCCTGTCCGAAACCGGCTTCCTCCCCTGCCCCTTCATATACACTAGTTTGGAAAGTCTGCAAGGGGGAGTTGTCCTTTCCAGCCCTATTTTTTTCAAGACAAGAATGCGAAAACACAAAAACACGATTCTGCCCTTCTTTTGTTTCCACCCCAGTTGCCCGAAGCCTGAGAGCGGCCGTTGTTCTGTCTCTTGTCTGTTTGTGTTGTGGGCAACGAGAAAGGTGCTTTAGTGGGTATGGGGGCAGTGAGAGGGGTGGTGGTTCAGATACTGCGTATGGGTACGAGCGTGAGCATTCATTTCTGGTTGAACGCTGGCTGCTGAAGTCTGTCCCGAACCTCCTTGAGCTGGCCCAAAGCGGTTTCAAGCACTTGCAACCGAAAAATGGTCTTGCGCTTGAGCAAGAATAGCAAGACACCTCTATGGATGTTGTGTGATTGAATTTAGACAGTCTCTGGATATTGTATGATTGATTTTCGGGATGCACCACTGTCTTGCTCAATGTGAATTGGGTTTGACCCATTGTCTGGTTTCTGAATCATTCAGTTGGGCTTCGCTGGCTTGCTTCTGCACAAATTAAATCTGGACCGCTGTGTTGCTTCTGGGTTTGGACCTCCCTCCCTGCCCCCCCAAACGGAAACAGCAAAAGACGCGAGCCGAGGCCCTGAAGCTGCCGAATCTGGTGTGAGCGATGGCCGGGCCCTCGAGTTCTCCCAAGTACCCCAGGTGGTCGCTGCGGTTTCTGAGTTCCTTCCGTGGGCACCATACATGGTGCTGTCCGTTGCCAGAAGCTGCTCCGAGCCCAATTTGTGACGGAAAAGTTGATAATTGGTCTCGAAGATCAAGATGTACATGTTACATGAGTTACATGTCACATGTTAAGCCTCTGGTGGTCTGAGAAGTCCTGTGCCCGAATCAGAGGCATGCAATTGTCAGGTGTGGCAGGCGCTCTGGCGAAGAGTGCCGCCAAGGCAGCGCTTCGACGGAGAGGGAAGAAGCTGCGTTAGAGTTGCACAAGGAATCTCCAGAAGCATCTTTCGGCTTTCCCATGGCCATGGCTCCCGAAAGTATCTCGGCATTGTCGAAATTGTTGGGTCTTTGAAATTTCCCCATGGGTGTTCCTTCCTTTCAGCTGCCAAGCGGCTCTTTCGTGCGTTTAGTCTCATACAGGGCATCTTGTCGTGTTCACCGTGCGCGGCTTCTCGGCTGAAGCCTCGGCTCATGGCACGACCGCTCATGTCGGCCTGGCGTGGACCCCGCAACCGAGCCTGGAGGCTCAGCCAGGGGCATGGCGACCCCATCCAAGCCGATGGCAAAGCCGATGGCAAAGCCGGTGGCAAGGGTTACCCAATGCCCGCAGAGGCAGAGGATGCGGCGGAAGCCAGTGGCGATCCCAAGCGCAGGTGGCGCCGCAAAGATGCCTTCCCTGCACCCGTGCCGCCACCTCCGGAACTTTCGCAAAGTTCTGCACGTGTGGTGTGGCTCCTGGGGAACCGCTGCGTGGAGCTGCTCTTACCCACGGGAAGGGTACGCTGCTCCACCCTGCCCGTAGATATCAAGGCTGGCTCCCGGTCAGTGACTGCCTCCGTGCCCGGCCGTGTTTACGTCCTTGAGAACGGCAGCTCGCGGGTGTGGCAGGTGCAGTGCAGGGGCTTCATGGCATGGCTGTGGGGTGTAGGTCGAAAATGAGCCACGTGCAGATTTTTGACAGTTTTGGCGTTTCGCAGCCATCCCGCCAGGTGGATTTGGGCAAAGGCGCGAGACCGCTCAGCGACGAGGCCGAGTCTGGGCGTTTCCGCTCTTCGCTGGGCTCCCGCTTTGTGTCCTGCGGCCCCAGTGGGCAGTGGCTACTGGTGACAGGCACGCCCCATCATGGGGCCCATAGCGCCTGGCTCTTTGATCTGGTCACGATGAGCTGGGAGGCTTTGCCCGCCGCACCGCATGCCATCCTGTCCTCAGCTGTGGCTGTGCAGCCCGGCCAGTCCGGGGGCTTGGAGGTAACGATCTTAGGGGGCTGGAGCAAGATGAGCAACTGTCACGGCCACGTGCAGAGGCTGATGCTCGGTCGAAGTCAGATATGCTGCAGAGCTGAGGAACGTTGATCTAAAGGTCTGTGTCTCTGGATTCGTGCGTAGTAGCGGTCGTATCCATGTTTGGACATATCCCCACGAACGTCCAGTGATGAATTAGAGTGTAACCACGACAACATGATGCGAGGCAACAGTGGGCCTGTGAAAGTTCACCCGCAAAGCCAATGAATCCATGAGCACGGCTGAAAGTTGTTGCATCCAGATGAACGGTATTAAGATCTCCGTCATCTTGCCCTCAATGCCTTGCACTTGGAAAAGAGAGCAATTTCTGAAGAAGATGAACAAAATCCATGAACATGTTCTTTGGAATTCGTTGAAGCACAGTCTACCCGTCACCCTACGCGTTATGCCCTGCTCTGAGCTTCAAGGATGCTGCCCGTTGGCGGGGTCGCAGCAAGCTGGGCCGTGCTGCCAGGGCAGCTACCTTGGCGCCGACCGGGAGCCGGAGCCTGTCTCGAGGCCTCGCAAGCGAGTCACTGAGCCTTTCTGAGAGTCCTTTCTGAGCCTTTCTGAGCCTGTCCAAACACTCTGACAATCCTCGACGCTAGAGAGCCCGGGCGTGGTACAAGTCCATCATGCCCGCATGATGCATTGGCGCATATTGGCGCACATTGACTCTTCTTGACACACATCGGCAGCTGTTACGTAGTCAGGACAAGCCTGTCACAGTTGAGAGGCCAAGTCTCAGAGATTAGATCAAACTTGCCCTGTAAACAGGATGGGCGACTGCTAGTCTCTTTGGGATGGATGGAGTGCCGCTCGTTTGCAATGAGATCCGCAGGGGTTGCAAATGTTTCCGGGTTCTGAACTGAAGCTGAAGGCGAGGCTGCGCTACGAACGATATAGGAGCGATAATGATAAGAATCAGCTCCCTCATTCCCTCAGAGCTTCAAGGCGAGGGCGCGGTGGGAAGCCACAGCTTCCGCCTGCTGCCCCGGAACGGCGCGGCGCAGCGCGCGCGCTCGTCGTCCTCCCGCCTTGTGGCACTCAGCGATGGGGTGCCTCGGTAGCGCATTTCATGGAGTCTGCTTCCTATCATTGTGCAAGCCTGCAAACCCTATGTGATGTTTCTTCTTCCGTTCTTGTTTGGGCAGAGATGCAGGCCTTGGGGGTTGAGGTGTGGAGTTGAGAAGCTTGCCTGACATTTGGCTTCCAGGGCCGTTGGGCAACCTGTGCGAACAGCCGCCCTGAGACATTGCTTGTGCTGGCAGAGTCTGCAAAGGACGAGTCAGTAAACAAACTGAGAGTCGCGCTGCTCCGAGAGGTGTGAAGCGTTGAGAGAAAAAACAGCAGTACGCTGTCGTTGTTAGATCATGTCTATTTTTTCTTCTCTCTCATGGCTTTCGAGATGTAGGCTAGGTTGTGTCGGGTTCAGGGATGCCTGCTTTCTGACTTCGTCTGCCTTTTGTTTTCGATGTTGCCGCTCGTTTTCCCCTCGGTGGGAGCCGTTTGAGTTCAAGTCACCCGTGCTTCTTGTCTCCTCACCGGTGTCCCGTCCCCCTCCTGGCCTGGTCCCTGGAGTGCCCACCCCAGAGAAGGCCGAGTACCCAACCCCAGACCATCCCCCCCGAGGAAACCCCTAGAAGGTCTCGCCGAGTATCCTTGGAGTGCTCACTCGCAGGGAATTGTGCAAAAGTTCCGCCGAGTATCCCTGGAGTGCCCACCTCCTTGCTTAAGAAGGCGGCGTTGCGCGAATGTTGCGCGTGTTGCGTGGCTGCCGCGCGGGTGTGGCGCCGTCGTTGTGCAGGTGCAGCAAACCCTGAGCTTGGAGAACTTTTTTGAGTCTTCTGAGATTCTGAGGCACGGCTCACGGAGGTGTCGGTGCTGCCCTTTGCCGCCGCTCGGCGGAACAAATCATTCAACAGCCAGCCTCACTGCCTCCGTCAGCGGAATGTAGCAAGATGCGGGTGAAGAGCCTTGTCTTCTGCCAGGACAGTTTCGAGAACCTTGGGCAGATTTTCGACCTGGGCGGCTCTTTGGTGTGTGTGGGCCGGGATCACGTCCAGGACAGGCCGTTGGCCCAAACCTGAAAGTTCTCGACGGCTGGCCTTCTCGAACAGAGCTGAGCAACAGCTCATGTATTTTGCGCGTGCTCCCGATAGTAATAACTCACTGACGTTGATCGACAAACTCCTCACCTACTCTAGTTTTTAGCTATCAAAGCCACTGAGGCCGCCCACTGACACCAACCCACTGTGAAGTCCAAGCTGCAAAGTGGGTCACGTAGAATCTCGATTTAGTTCCAAGTGTTTAAGTTCCAGTGCGCGCAAGCCTCAAATGCGCTGAGTTTTCTGCACGTATTGTTGTGTGGAGGCCATGGACAGGACGAGTGGAATTTGGCAGAGTTGGCCACTGCCAGCTGTTCCCTGGGATGAATTTGAGAGGAGGGGCCAAGTCATCAGAGGGATATGCGTTTGGAAGTGTAGCTTGGGGTCGACCATGATGCCAGGCAGTTTGGTTTATTAATTTAACATGGCTTTGCAACCGGGACTTCCGTTGTGTGGCTTCGCTACCGCAGCTTTCATTCTACTTTGATGTCGGATTCGGTGGAGCAGAGGTATGCCGCCAGCCTGCAGGGTCAACGAATCTTGTGTTGAAGGTCAAGGTTATGAGATCGCATGCTTTTTTTGGTTCGCTGTTGAGAGCCTTCAATCCGAAGCTAAACCCCACACACTCTTGGAAAGTCTTGAATCTTCTAGCGTTTCTAAAGGCTCGAACCAGAAAATCTGCTCCCCACCTAAGGAACTAGCCCGGGACGACAGCAGCTCTTGGGCAAAGCACTGCGGCTCCTGGGCCGTAGCCGTGGAATCCGTGGAAGGGACGCCACCAAGGAACGAAAAAAGGGAGCGCTCGGCCGAGCCCAAGTTACTCGAAGTATAGGCGCGACTGGCAGACTTGCCGGTCCAGCCCTAGTTAAGATCCTGGCAACATATATATATATATATGCATATAATGTATATGTGTATATGTTTCGTTCTCTCATGGAAGCACCTGACAAGCCAGGCCCCGCCGGCCAAAGCTGGCGATGTCCTCGGTGGCTTTCTTGCCTGAGCGCCAATTGCCACAGTGCCGGGGTTGTCTGCGCGGGTGTGCTCACAGCTCTGACCTTTGGTGCAGCTCGCGCGAGCTCGGCGCGAGCTCGGCTTGTGGAAATTAGCTCGACTCACTCGGCGCTCGAGTGATGCTTTCACAGCTTCCAAGTGACCCAGGCACAGACCGGCCGCCACCCCCCGTGGCGATCCAGCCGCGACTGACAGACGAGGCACGGGCCAGCTTAGAGGGGGTGGAGGCTTGAGATAGCCTGCACTGTACCGGCCTGTACATTTTGACACTCCACTCTCCTTTGGGTCTTTGTGCTTGCGCAGCATGCGCAACTGTAGGAGCATAAGCTCGTCGACGAGCTTTTCCGAAACTGGGAAGGCGGGGTGCAGGTTGCAGGGTACGGTGCCACTGGTCAATGATGGTGTTCTGTCAGCCTGCGATGGGATGGAGCCTCTTGCGGTCATGTTTATGTACAGATCGAGCGAGGCTTTTCCTGTCTTTTTCTGTCCAAGGCCGCATCAACCAACAGGCCAAGTCCGTGAAAGCGGCCGTCTCAGCTCTGGGCCATTGCCAGCACAAGCCCAGCTTGTGCAAGCTCAATCAAGCTCAGCATGAGCTCATGCAGCAGTTGCAGCAAAGACCGGATGATGACATGGCGCTCAACAGCTCATGTTGAGCTCATGTGGAGATCTGTGACCTGAGGCGGCCTGCTCTGCTGCATTGGAGGTGGAAAAAGAGTACACCGACGTCTACGAGAAGGTCCAGGCGACCGGTCCGCAGTATTCGTACTTAGTGTGCTTAGGTTGGGTGACGAGTGCAGGGCTCCGGGCGTGTCTACAGCAGCGGTCTTGTACTCAGATAGCAAACCTGCAACTTCAATTCCCAGCACCCGTGGGTTCCTTCAAGCTTTAGCCCTCCAGCTGGGGGCATACCCACGAAGCCACGAAGCCGCTAAGCCACCGGGGAGGCTCTCAAGGAAGAGCGCGAGGATCTCTCGTGAGAGCCTCTGCTTCTCTTCTGCCAAGGGAGCTTTCTTCATACATCCTTGTATACACATGCACTCGCATATATATATATATACACACATACATTTATACATATAGTCATGTATGATATATCATAAGTTATCTTTGCTGGCTTTGGTGTTTCCGGAATATTTTAACTTTCACTTTTGAAGCCATTTTTTCCTTAAGTTCTAAGAGTTTTAATCCGCCTTCTGTTACGCTTTCAGAGTTTGAGGCAAAACCTTCAGCTTTGGCTTTAGTTCAGTTGAAGTGTCTCTCAGAGGCGCAAGCAGGAAGTGGCCGAGGGCTCCATGCAGCTCATACACGAGCAACAGGCGGGGAGCTCAAAGGGTCACATTTTTGAACACCTTTGCCACTTTAGGTCCCCAATTTTGTGTTGCGATGGCTGCGTAAAGCTCCTTTTCTTGCCCCACGGGGTAGAGCTGTAATGGACATGCAGGTTAAGTGCGGGGTCTTCTCTGGGGATGGATGGCCTGCAGAATGCGCAATTTAGGGCATGACAGGACCTCTTGGCGAAACTGCTGGAGCAACTGGAGATGCAGCTGGATCTTGGCTCGTGGGGCTCTCTGAGGGTACAGCCGATGTTCGATTACAAGAACCGATGGAATTATTGCAAACTGCCACGCTGAGCACTTTCACTGAAACTCAGCCAAACCTTTCAGAGTTGGTTGGCCCAAGTCAGGCTTGGTCGTCGGGGCTTTGGCAATCAGCTGGTGTCGGCTCTTCTCGAGAACGCTTACAAAGCAATCGCCCCAAACCTCAGGATACTTCCGGTCAACCTGATCCCAGACCCAATCCCTTCTGGATGCACCCGAACTCTGCTTGGGATGATGGAGGACCTTGCAGACATCGCGGAGCATGATGAGGCACAGCGGCACATACTGTTCTGGCGCACTAAGCCAGTCTCTGACGCACGCTGCCAGGCTTGACGACCGCGCTGTGGCACTGGAAACCCAGCTGCAGGAGCTCACCTTTCAGGCGAGGGCAGGGCTTCCGTTCTATTGGGGCTGCTTTGCAAACTGGATCTTTGGTTGGAAGCTTTGCTCGGTCATTTCTGGGACTGCTGCACCTGCACAAGACCGTGGTTTCTTCAGCATGCTACCATGGAGACTGTTGGCGGAGAGGGTGCCAAGGACGTGCTGCTTGCTCATTGCCCAGCCCTGTTTCCTCGCTTCTCTCGTTTCTGGGGCTCCTTTTGGGTCATTTGTTGAGGTGCGGCAGCTGGCCGATGCGACCATTGCCTTCGAGGAGTCCCTGCATGGATGGGCAGCTCTTTGATTCCCCTTGTAGCTGGTCGGGAGGGGTATCCTCTTTTATTCTTGTTTTGTGGTTTTCTATTGGTTTTGCTTCTTTGATCCGCTTCTCTGGAAGGATAAAAGAAAAGGAGAGCGAGAGAGAGCGAGAGCGAGAGCGAGAGCGCGAGGGAGAGAAGCATAGAGAAGGAGAGAAAGAGAGAGGGAGAGAGAGACAGACAGAGCGAGGTTATATTGGCTCAAGTCGCGGAACCCCGGACCCCACCGCCGGGTCCTTCGGGGCTTGAGGCTTGAGGCTCGAACAATTTCGCCGTTAGTTGCAACTCCAACTGCGCAAAGACGGAATCCTGCACAAACCACCTCGCTCAGCCATGAATGCCTGGCAGTGTTGAAAGCGAGGAAGAGCCCAACAGGAGGGGAGGTCATAATTACGTAGTGGTACCCGGTTCCGCTGCTTGCTTCGACATGGCAAGTGTAATTGCGTGTTTTTTTGTGGAGAGCGCTGTTTCCAGAAAGTACTTTCCCCTGTCGATTTTCGAAGTTTCACGTGGAACGAGAACTGCGGCCGCGCCGCGGAGGGTTGGGGATGTCTGCGCCCTCCATGCCCTGAACCTTGAACCAACCAGGAACAACACAAAACAGATGGAACAACGCAGCCAAAAAGATAGAAAACCTGGCTCCCGCTGCCCAGCAACCACCGTAAACTCTAGCACCCGGCGATACAAAGTAGGAAGAGAGTAAAAAGAAGTCACGTAGCTTATTTGCTCCTTTTTGGCCAGCTCGGGCGACTCGGGCTTCAGGATTTTGGTCTTTGGGGTATCTGTAGCCGCTATCCTCCGAGAGCCCGCAGGCCGAGGGCGGCGGGGATCCCCTCGACCAGGTGGGAAGCCACTTTTGGCCCACGCTGTGATGGCACTACGTTGCGACTCAAAAGCTCGATGAAGCGCGCGTTGCTCGAGACCTCAAGCCTCCAAGCTCGAAGCGTGCAACTTTGCAGGGTTGCCTTGCTGTGTCGTGGACCCTTTGCTGACGGCCGCATCTCCTCAATCCCTTTCTTTCCCTTTCTTCGTAAGTCGCCGACGGCCAGGTTTCCCACCTCCTGGCTGCACACTCTAGCGAGCTGGATGCCGTGCAGGAGTCACCTGCGCAGTTGACGGTTTTGGTTGTGTGGCAGTTGTCTTGGAGACACGGGGCCGCAAGAGGGCAGTCGAGTTCAGGAGCGGCTCGATGCCACGGAGAAGAAGCTCAGGATAGTCGAGGCCGGTCAGGAAGCTTAAACAGCAACATGTTTTGCTTCTCATCTGCATCCCCACAGTGGCCCAACGAACCAACATGTATGCAGCCTTTGGACACCTTTGTGGGTCAAGAGAGTACTACTGAGCACAAGTGCCTTGCCATGCCTTGCCTGGCAGGGCTACGTGTGACAGCGCTGTCCACTTGATCGAGAGCTGGCCAAAAGATCCCGCGTACCAGCACGAACTGCCTGGATGCCCCAGAACCTAGCAGCACAAATTTGGCTCCAGTCCTCATAATACACAGGTCTGGCCCACAATAACGCAGGACTTCCGTTTTTGAGGCAGAACAGTGCGTGTCGACAGAGGAGGGAGAGATAGAGACGGGTGTCACTTGTGCCCAGATGCTAGGGAATTCCATGCCGTCCTTGTTGCGTTGCTGGGCCTCGGTGCGATTGTTTTGCTGACTGTTTCTCTTGGCTGCAGGCGCGGAACGTTAGCAACCTGTTATTGAAATGGTTTCCACAGGATCATTATCCCTAGCTCACTGTTTTGTTTTGTGTCTCGGCTGAGGCTTGCCGGCTCGGTTGGAGTACGAGGTACTGAGCTTCTTGAGGAACAGTACGCCCCAACACGTGGGTAGTGCCGCAGGCAGCAGCTGTCGCGCAACGTTGACGAAACCACACAGAAGGGCACCTTCCCTGAACGCCATGGCATGGTCTGCGGCGCCGAAAATCCGGAAGCTGAGCCCAGAGGTCGCCGCGAACCTTGGCTCGTTTCGGTGAAGCGCTTTGCCCTGAGTGGCAGGTGTCTACGCATTGCGGATTGTACTGTTTCCATCTGTTTCACAGACCGCCTCTGCAGTCCACTCGAGGAAGATTCGAGCTGACATCCAGGCGTGGTCGGCGTGGTGGCACGCTTTTTGATTTTATGCATGAACTCCTGCAAACAGCTCAACGACGCCGCTTGTTCCAACATGATGCCAATGTTGGCAATATGTCGGCTTTGATGGCAATCGCGCGGCAAGGTTCCTTGTCCCGCGCGTGTTGCCGAGGAGTGCGGACCAAGTGGATTCAGCATTCCTGACATCGCATTCCCGGCACTTCAACACGATGCGAAGCTTAGGGTTTTGTCATACTCTCTTTGTCTAAAAGATATACACTGCTGTTGCAGACAACGCTTCCTTGGAATGTCGCATGCAGGTCGTAGCCATGAGTTGTGGTTGAATCTGGGGAGCAAGTTCAGGAGCTGCTGATCTGCTCTCTGGCAGCTGGCGCCTCGGCCGTGGAGGCAAGATGCTGGTAGATGCTGCAGGACTCAGCAAGCTCTCAGATGCCGTAGAAAGCCTTTTTTTCGTTTGTTGCAACGCTCGTTTGTCATATTAGTGCCCCATGTGTTTTTGACACGTGCTGTGTAAAGAAGGTGGAGCTCCAGGAGTCCTCCATGGGTGCGGTGCTCACGCTGAGCGACGACGTCTTCGGCCGGGACATGGAGGCACCCGGGCACTCCGTATGGCTGCGAGAACTCTCGTGTGGCTCTCGTGTTTGCATGGGGGTTTAAAAAGTTTAATACGCCATTTGGTTGAAGCCGTGGTTGAAGCCATGCTTGCCTTCTTCTCTTGATCTTCCATGTGGTGTTTTTTTTGTGTTTTTGGGGTCGTGTTGTCACCATCTGTGGAAGCCTTTGAAGATGGAGAACTCACAACTCAGAGCAGCGGAGCCCAGGGGTTGATTACTGAGTAAACTGTGTTCCACAGTCGCCCTGAGGAAAAGGCTCCACAAAGCTACAAGTTTGCTCAGAACTTGAGAATCCCCACACTTCATCCACAGTTGTGCTACCTTGTTACAGCTCTTTCGTGGGCAGAAGGTCTCCGAGAGGGTGCATGATGCTCAAATCTAATCCCAGGAGAAAAACATTCGAAGGGTGCTAGCCCAGCAAGGTCAATACATTCTGTTACACAACGCTCTCGACAAGTTGTTGGCTTGATCTTGTCCCCGGACTTCCCACCCTTCCCTTCTCCCTCAAATGGTTTCTTTCCTTCCATGTGGACTTCTGGTTTTTTGTCGCTTCAAGTCCTGTGGATGACAGCTGTCGGGAATGTTGAGACATCATTGGGCGATGCGCGATTTGACACGACGAGGCACTCGGCCAGCTGGCATTTGAGGGCTTCTCCGCTGTGTGCGCCCGCTGTGGGCGGGTCGTCGTGCGCTCCAAGGCAGGGATGGATGCCCGCATTGCCGCCGTTTCCGTGTTTTTCGCCCAGCCCAGAATGATAAGGCCAAGGGCAAAGGGGACCATCCTGCGACCATCATGTAGAGATCTGACCACGTCTTACACGCCGAGGCCCCTGGTGAAAGGACCATGTGCAAGATCTTCGAGGAGGGAAGGGTGACCTACTTCGGCCCATCGGACAGCCCACATGGAGGCCTTGGCCTTGGCCTTTGCTTGGCCGTGCTTTTGGCCGTGCGTTCAGTGTTGGGTGTTGAAAGTCGAGCTCTGTTGAAAGCCGCTGTTTTTTTTGTGTTTTCTTGCGTGTAGGCCCAGGTGCCACTATCCGTGTGGAGGGCCTCGGCAAACTCAGCCGGCAACTCGAGGCCTGGCAGAAGGGTGGCAGAAGGAGTTCCGGAGCAGCCTAGCACTGGTTCTGATGTGGCCAGGTATCCTCTCTTCGCCAGCGACTGGAGCGCCAGGCACGTGTCGAAGAGGGGAGTTTGAGGCACCGGCATGCCATGGCCATGGCCAGGTCTTGCTCCGACCAGAGGTGTCGCTGCGGCTGCACTGTCCTGGCAAGGAGGCCGGAGGTCGTCAGGTCTTTGAGATTCTTTCAGAGATTCTTTCAGAGTTGTGGGGAGCCAGAATTGGAGCCAAGCATGCAGTGCTGGGCTTCTTTCCTGTGCCTTGGAAGGCAGAATGCCTGGACTTGCGATCAGAGAATGCTGCGGCAAGATTGGACCATGTGCTCGGGGCTTACTTGGCTCAGTGGATGTTTGGATGGATGGTCATTGAACTAAACTCAACGTTCACAGCTTGTTAGCTCCAGTTGGCTGAATGTGTGCTTCTAATCAGAGCCAAAAGCCAGGTTGGGATTTGGTTGTGCTCGTGCTCTTTGCAGGCAAAAGGGTCAGGGGGCCGAGACGAGCATGAGCTTGACCTCGCTGCAGGGTGCAGTCTTCCTCCGCGCATTGCGGCTGTGCGCTCGAAGGCTGCCGTTGGGGATGCTTCGCTAACGTGAAGGCTTCAAAGGTCCTGTGCAGAGCTGCATGAAAGGAAATTCAAAAACATTCTGAACAGCTGGCTTAACATGTTGATTTCGGCGCTTCACGGTCCCAAGAGCAGACCAGTAAAGGCGTTGTATCGGGCCTGGACGACGCCCAGAGCACCGACCGCTTCATGTACCTCTTCGTGAACGGCCGCTACGTAGAGTCGAGTCCAATCCATGAGTCCATTGTGCGATTGTACGCAGCTGCGAGTGCCGCGAGTCTCCAGACGGAACAAGGCGTGGCTTGGGATGTAAAGGGAGTGTGAATCGTCACGGCAACAGAGTAAATCAGTCCAGCGTCTTCGTGCAAGAAGTGTAGAGCACATGTTCTCTAAGGAGCCAGCTCGCTGTAGCACAGGGTGAGTGTCCGAGCAAGTCTTGTTGGACGGCGACCGAATAGAGTCTGCTCTACGGACCCCATCCCTCCCGCTGCCTCCCTCCCCCTTCCCTCCCCCACTTCCATCTCCCTCCCTTCCCTTCTCCCTTCCCTTCTCCTTCCCTCACGTCTCTCGCTCCCTCGCTTGCTCTTTCTGAGTCTTTTGGAGAGGCAAGGGTCCCAACGGCCAATTTTGTGGCCCAGCCTCGGTCAGCGCCGTGGCAGCAGGAGGACACACGTCTTTCTTGCACTCAAGCTGTAGCACGGCCGTACGCAGGCGTCGCATGCGTGTCCCAGGTCGTGTGGAGGCAAGATCAGGCGCTTGTCTCTTGTCGCATGTTGACTCCTGGCATTTAGCAGGAGCTTGGCCGCTGTTCGTCCTGAGCTTCCGTTGCTGCTCGTCGAGAGCAGAGCATGCCATAGCATACCGGAACTTTCAGAGCAAGCCTGCACCATAAGAAGGATGCTAAAAACGGAGATCGCCACACACAAGCAGAGCCCTGATCACTTCACACCGCATGTCCTTGACAGTTGCAAAGCCGCGAAGGCCGGGTGTAGAGTCTAAGCATTCAGGGTGTAGTCAGGGCACAATTCTGTGATTGGGGCTTCTTCTGCGTGTTTTTGCGATCATGCTTTGGGCCTCGCCCGAACTTACCTTTTTGCAAGAAGATTTGGGGCTGTAATCTGAGGCCCAGAAGATTGGCTTGATTTGACGTTCTCGTCCGATCGGTCCGTCATACAGCATCTTGCCTGAAGCCTCACCCATGCTTGGGTGGATAGGTTCTTGCTGTGCAATATTTGGTGCCTTGCAGGTTCAGCAACTGGAGGCAACCGATCCGGTTCATCCACTCATGCCTTCGCAACGTGTGGCTGCATGTGTAGCTCCGCCACCGTCTTGAGCACAGCACCTTAGATTCGAGCCTTACATGGCACAAACAAGTCTGACGAAGTACCTAGACCTTCGCCAGGGACCAGCACCAGGAAGTGGCGGCGGCGAGGCGGGCGAGATGTGAGTCGTAAGATGTCGTAAGAGTGTGGGTGCGTCGTGGGCACGAGACCTTGGCCACGCTATCGTTCTTGTCGGCTGGTCTCAATGATCACATCTTAGCGCAGGCCGCGTGCAAACCCTGAGCCAGCTGGGAAAAGGCTGGGTGCAGAGGGTCTGGATTCCTGGGAGGTTCCGCCTGAACTCTGCAGAACCAGGCGCCATGATGCGCATGGTGACGAAAGAGAGACGCTTTTGGCCCGGAGGCCATGATATGAGTCGTTAGAAAGATGTTGGTCTCATCTGGCAACACGAATCAACACGACTACGGAAGAGAATGCCATGCGGCTCCCCATGCAGGATATCAGCCCAAGCGGTGGCTGCGCAGTACTGCAGCCGCAGCACGAGGTGCACAGTATCTGGGTCACTGCGCAGTTTGTGCCAGAGCCCCCCCTCGTTGGCAGGCGCTTCTTGGCATAGATCTGATCACGGCAAACGATCGTTGTCGAAGGATGGTGCTCATCACTTTCTGCTTGAATTCGGTGACGAGACTTTGAGATGTCTCACAAAAGTTCAACAATTTGGAATTCGGAATTAACCGGTCCTTGACCATGCAACGGCAAAGTGGATCCTGCAGCCGAGTGTTTAAGGGCTCAGCAAATGAACAATGGGGCTCCCTGACTTTTTCTGTCTCCAGTCGAAGTATGTTGCAGCAGTTGCAGTAGCAGTTCGCTATGTGACCGTGTTGGCCAGCACGGTTGGACTTGTCGGATCAAAAATTGGCGTCGGGCGAATCCGGGAATCGAGCGAGATAGTGAGGGTTGCGTATGGCTTCTGCCTCCGCAGCTCAGCCGTCAGCCTCACTTGGGGGATAGTTCTCGGCATCCGAATCGCTTCGGCTCAGCTTCGGCTTCCAAGAGTCCAAGAGTCCACCGGCAAGCCCGAAACCAAGAACATCCCAACACAACATCCCGCCCACATCCCGCCCACATCCCACCCACATCCCACCCACATCCCACAACATCCCACGACATCCCACGACATCCCACAACATCCCACCCGCAGCCTCCAGCATCTCCAACAGCCAACATCTCTCATAGGAATCTTCTTGGGCAGACGTTTCCAGAAAGAGAGCACACCGACATGCCTTGACATAGACGCTGTTCTTTCGACCGTGGCCATGCCTGTAAGCCATGTGCTGTGGCTTGGAGCCCTTTGGCCAGGCTTGGATGGGTCCGTCATGTGAGTTGAGAGATTACCGAGGTCAGGAAGTCCTTGAGCTTTTGCAGTGCAGGGTCAGCCAGGGCCATCTGGCCCTTTGACGATGAGACTGCGAAGGGGGAGGTGAAGGCAGCTGTCATTTTGTAGTGGTGTCATATGGCACATGTGGCGTAATGCGTTGTGTGCTGAGTTTGCTTGATCACTTCACTTTGCCTCCCCCCCTGGCCACCTGCAGGCCATGCCGTCCATGCCGTCCATGCCTCATGGCGCCCACCTTGCCTTTGCCGGGTCACCAGCCAGGGCCCTTATGGGACTCAACAGCACATGGACTCCTGGAAGCACCCTCCGCGGAAATCTCGCCCAGGTCATTGTCGTCGAGCGCCACATGGGCCACAACCCATGGGAGGACCTTGCTCCGCACTTTCTCCGGCGCCTGTGCGCCGTTGAACAGAGCGTTGCGAATATCTGACGAGCGCCAGGACCTCCACAAGAACATGGAACGGGTCTTCCAACAGCAGGCGACAGAGTTGTTACTTGCTTTTGCCTCGCTGGGGGCATTCCATCTCCTTGCTGCCAGGTTGCCGGTGGCGCTGGTAGCCAGGCACTGGTGCCACGACCCATGCAGGCCGGCAAAGAGATCCGGCACTGCCTCTGAACTCCTTTGCAGTGTTGAAGCAACGTGTGGGTGCCTGGGTGTGCACCCTGAGATGCAAATGCAGCTGGGCGGCCTGCTGGACATGTTCGGTGACCACCACGCAGGCCCTAAGCGTGGCCCACTGTCCACCAGTGCTCGGTGGCTTTGGGGCAATTTTTGCTTTACAATCTGAACATCATGGAAAAAACACCATGAGAACATGCAGGACACGTCGGCCTTGCTCAGGGCAGCTTCCAGGCCAAATGCCATCACGCCATAAGCTTTTGTGTCTCCATCGGTCCCATTGTCATGAGCGAGGTGGCAGGTCACAGGCAACCCTCCTGTGCCACAGAGGTGCACGACGACCATGAGACACAGATCGTGATCTCGGCCGTTCTGCCTGGATACGAGGCCCACTATGGTTGTAGTCATATCCCGACCTTTGAATCTGAAACACAAGTAGTACTTTCTATTCGGACCCCATGTGTCCTTCTGAAGCCTGAAGCAGTTTGGCGCGGCCAGCGCTTCCAGCGAAAAGCCGCTGTCTGTCCGAGCCATCCGCGGCAGGCTGGAAACGTCAGAATTCCACACTGCCATTTTCTACCTTGACTTAACGCTTTTGCTATGCCGGCTTTGTAGCTTTGTGGACCGCCTTGAACATGTCAAGAGTGGGGGAGAGCATGAGGTCCCTGGTGATCAGCGGACGACACCGACAGGGACCGCTCATCAGTTCTTGGCAGGTTGGGGCCAACAAAGCAAGTCTTCTTGATAAGGCCTTCCTGTGACATTCGCAGTTGCGAGTGACTGTTAGCGTCTCCATGAGGCCTTAAACTGAGCGCCGACCCTTGGTTCGAAGAGCGTTGCCCAGCCTGCCCTGTCAGCGCGTCTTCTCGCTGCCGAAGGGAGCCGATGTGAACCATGTCTCTGTCACGTGCCCCCGAGATGTAAACAAGCACCAAGTCAAAGTCTTGACGGAAGCCCAGACCTAGGCAATTATTAGTTCTTGAAGTGGCTACGGAAATCATCCAGAGCACCAGGCATAGCAATGAACCCAAGCTCGCAACTAGACTTAGACTACAGAGTTTGAGTCTTGAGCTATGCAGATGTGCACTTCTGAACGCCTCAATCATGCCTGCAATGCGCTGTCCTCTTCTGCTGGCACTCTGGCACTCTGGCACACCCTCTATGCCCAGTGAGGTACAGCTCGGGCACTGGCAACCTGACCGTGACCGTCCCAAGGACGAACGAGACGGTGGCAGAGGCACGGGCGGGGCATTGAGCTGTTTGACGCGGTGAAGAGGGGGTTCGGTGTTTTCTTTTGACGCCTCCGTTTGGTCCTTGTGCTCTCTCTTGGAAGGAGCCCGAGGGTTCCGACACCGGTGGGATGGACGCTTGGCCTGCATTGAGAGAGGCTTCAGACCGTTCGGAGCCCTTCAGAGCCACCGAAGCCACCGAAGCCACCGAAGCGCGGGGCAAAACAGGACATGCTGCCACCAGCACTTCAGGCACTGCGGTTTGGCCCTCAGCCGTACACAGAGCTGCAGAGTAAAGGGGCCAAGGGGGAGTCCCACAGAGGACCGGGGTGCCTCTGCTGGTCGGCAACATGGGCGCCTTGCAGGCACCTGCTACTGCTTCTTGCGGGCTGCCTGTGGTGATGGTGATGTTGCTAGGCCTTGTGAAGCTATTTTGCAATCTTTTTTGCGAAGCGAGCTACCTGTCGCACCGCGAGCCGAGAGTCCGGCTCAAAAGCGCGGAGGGTTGGAGAGAGCCTGGGGCTCTCTGGGCTCTCTGGGCTCTCTGGGCTCCTGGATCCAGGAGTCCACTCCAAACACAGGATGCCGGGCACTCATATGCGCCCAAAGAAGTTGAAGAGTTGAGAGGCTCTGCTTGCGCTCTGCGAGGTCTATACACGGCGATGTCGCCTCGGCCATTGGCCAGCAGGTGGGGGGAGCTGGGCGAATGTGAGCGGGACATACGGCATTTTCTGAAGTACCCTGGTGTTCAGGTGGAACAAATGATCTTGCAGGCAAAGAAAGACTCTGAAGCCAGGGTCAGGCACGATGTTTTGGGGCCGTTCGTGCAAGCTTTCGTTGGACGCGTTGCACGCCCACTAGACCCACATCCACCGCACCTTGGCAGGCACGAGCTCAATGTTGCAAGGAGCCAGCTGACACAGATGGAGGCATCGTTTGGAAATCCAAATCGCTGCCGAACCACCATCCACTTGCATTCCGGAACGTTGTCAGAACTTCAGAATACAACAAATAAGGCTCCTCGGGATCAGCAAAGCAGACCTTGCACTCTATCGTGCAAGGCATATGTTACAAAGAGATATGGGCAGTGTTGTTTGCACACGTCCAAGACAAGCCCAGTGCAAGTGAAAGGATGCATTGAGTGACTAGTGAGTGACTACAACCAGTTCACTCTCTGCTTCAACGCCTTCACTCCCACTGCAGCGTCGAGTCAGAATGATTTCTCTGATAGAGGTACCTCCACGTCCGGACTATGATGTTGTTAGCTGCTAGCATTGGTTGGCCTGAAGACCCGGGCTCGTCAAAGTCTTAACTCCTTTTACCCATGCTAAACCCCCTTGGCGCCTCCCCATGTTCGCCACCTCTTGCAGTCCCACATCACGGAGCTGTCGGATCGCGTCTCTCGCTGCGTTCGAATGAACTCTTCAGGCTGCTTTGCTGCTTTGCGGGTTTGCTCACGTGTTAGTCTGTAGCCTCGTCAAGCACAGCATTACACGAGAACCTCCAAGTTTTCTGCGCAGTGGTCGCTCACGTAGCTTGTTCTGATGTTTCATCCCGCCAAGCTCACGTAGCTTTCTGCTTGAGGGTTCGGTGAGGACCTGATGCGCTTTGGATCCTCGAACAAGTCTAGATTTTGCTTCCCCTGCAGGCACTGGGAGTGGGCTAGATCCGTCAGTGACCGTGGACCGTGCCTTTTTGAGTCGGGGCCTTTAAGGATCTTTAAGGTGCCGCAAGCTTTGTCGGCCTGCATGCTGTGGGCTGTGCAAGGGGCCGATACGTTTGTGCCGGCACTAAGGCCAGAAGATCAAGCAGCTGGAGCAGAAATGGGGGTCCGAGGTAAAGGCTCTGAAGCAGGCCCTCCGGGATGAATCGGATTGTGACTAATGGAACTCATGGAGCGCAAAGCTTCAAGCAAGGATGGAGTGCGCATGTGGCGTTCTGCCCGGTTCGACCCTGTGCCAGGACCTTCATCGAACGATCCTCGCTCACAACCACAACTCTGACTTGATGCGCCACCATCGAGATGCGCTGGATGAGGCAGCTTCTTTCGATGTAGCGCAAATACCGGTAAACAAGATGTCGATCTAGAGAGGTTTCGAAACAGAAAGGAAACAGATGCGAAGAGAAAAGGAGAGAGCCTTCAGGCAAAGACTGTGAGTCCCAGAGGCTCTATCTGAGATGTCCAGGCTCGCCGGAAGCTGGACAGCCAACCTGCCCCAAAGGCAGACCAGGCACATCGACGCACGCGATCATCACTAAGTGCATTCCGGTGACATACTGCAGTCACACTCAGGCTCGTGTTCGCAGCTGTTGCCATGTAGTCGCCAGCAGGTGGATGCACAAATTGACAAAGTGGACCGGATGCTTCGTGCCGGCGCCGTGCTGACCCCGGGGCGGTGCGTAAGTTCGATTAAGGTAGGATGGGGATGGAGTGACCACTGGGGTGCGATGGAGTGGAGGTTCAGCCGTTGCAGTAGTCGTTGTCAGATGTGGCCGCTGATTCTGGAGCTAGCGTGTGGCATGAAGGACGCGAGCCTTCCAACACGCCACCAGCGGCCCCCCAGCCCCAAGAGGCCAAACAGCGAGCCTTGGACGCCCTCACCGAGCGTCTCACGCAGCTGGAGCAGCAGGAGCGGGGAGCGGGGCCCCAGGGTGGGCACGGCATGGCACGGCGTCGAATGCCAGGGCAGACCCATCCTCTCTCTTGCTTGCAGAGTTGAGGTTGACGCGGAATTGCAGAATTCAGATCAGTACAGCAAATCAGCTCTGACTTGTATGCCTGGAGCCTTTTGCCAGGCATCGCAGATGTTCCCGGCAGCACCCGGCTTCAGCACAACCAGCGTGCCACCAGGCCCTCCCACTGCACATGGCAGGGCAGGCCCCTCACTAAACGTGACCGACGAGACCCAAACCTGTCCCTTGCAAAGCCGGTGCTGCAAGGCTTGTCGGCCACGCCGGCCGCGGTTCCGCCAGGGCCCTGATTGCAAGGTAGTCTCTTCAGCCAGCGCTTGACGTGAAAATCAAGGCAGCTTTGCCTCCACAAGTCTCCGTTTAGGGCCTGAGGGCTTCAGTTTTACATTGTAGCATGCCTCCCAAGAAAAGCAGGTCAACGTAAGCATGCGCTTCCCCTAAGCTGGCATTCAGCCGAGCTGTCTACGTGCACTCTAAGGAAGAAGCCGGGAAAGAAGGCGCGGTTTCATATGGAGTAGGAGAACACAAACGTTCATGGTGCTCAGATTGTCCATCACACCTTTGCAGAGAGTTAAACGCAGTAGGCCCTGTTGGTCATTGAACCTCACGCACACTGGCGGTTGTCGGGTGCACAGGAGGGGGACCTGCCAAGCGAGCTCGAAGTCCGTGCACACTTGGAGAAGGCGCAGACTAGAATAAAGCTAAACTCTTCCAGGTGTTTTCAGGGCCTTGGGCCCTGTGTGGATAGGTGAGACCTCCTGGAAGATCTGATGAAGCAGTCCACAATAGGTGTGCTTCGCTCCACGTTGTGAGGCGGCTCTTGGACAGGGCAGCAGTTTCAACGCGGAGGCATCCGCCAAGCGCTTTAACATCTGCATGCCGGGAGTGTGTTGTAGATGCACGGATGTACGGGGATTGATGCGGATGCCGCTCCAAGGTTTGGCGTATGCCTTGACATTTTTTTCGCCTGGCGGTGCTCAAGTCACAAACTCCTTTTCACACATTCCAGCCTCCAGTAGCTCACACAAAAAGAAACGACGTAGCAAAGACAAGACTCTCCCGTCTTGAGACCTCATGTGTATTGCCCTGAAGCCTATCCCCGAAACCCCAACCATCCAAGTTTTTCGTGGCCATTGAAGAAAAAAGGGCCCAAACAGTATGGAAAGGATCGGCAGACTGAAGGAGAACATCATAAGTATCAAGTTCTCAATACAGCAGCTAAGGCAGAGCAGAAAAAGAGGAAGGGAAGGGAAGGGAAGGGAAGGGAAGGGGAGGGGAGGGGAGGGGAGGGGAGGGGAGGGGAAGGGAAGGGAAGGGAGGGAAGGGATGACGGAAAGAAGGAAGGAATCAAGATAATCCACGGCAAACGGGAAGAAAAGGGAAGAAAAGGGAAGAAAAGGGAAGAATCGGGAAGAAAAGGGAAGAATCGGGAAGAAAAGGGAAGAAAAGGGAAGAAAAGGAAGAAAAGGGAAGACTCGCGTTGGCCGAGCTCGGGGGCGATTGTGGGCAGACTTCGGAGGCTGAAGCAGGTACACTGTACTACCCAAAGCCGCCAAAAGCCCTGAACCCAGGAGCCTAGACCACTAAGCCACGGAATCCCTTCGAAAACCCAAAAGTGGGAACCAACCACATGACCCTTCTCCGCCTCCGTCAGACAACAGTCGTGTTGGCAAATGGGCGGGGGTGGGGGGGGGGGAGGTTGCACTGTTGAGCCGTGCAAGCTTGCTTCATGAACATCATACCGTTAAGAGGAATGGTTTCAACATACGGGTCTTCTCCAAATCCCGTCATGCGAGCATTGTGTGTGCACCCCGCCTGCTTCCCCGACCCCCTGGCTTCGTTTGCTTGACTGAGCATCAGTCAAAATAGATGCCTTCAATACGCATGAGTCGTGGCCGAAGGAGGGAGGGGGGGGGGAGCGAGGTCTTGCGTGAGTCGGGCCATGGTCGCTGTCGCGCGTTTTTAAGGTTTGAAAGGCTTGGAGTTCGAGGGTTCGAAGCTCGAGTCCCGTTCGAGCTCGCAAGAAATTTCGACGGAGAGAAGGTTAGTTTGATGCCCTTTCGAGTTCGCGAGTTCAATTTGTTCATCCCACGCCTCCCTACTTAAAACCCAAGTCTAGAAGTCTAACCCGATTATGCGGGTCCACTGGCAATTGGTTTAGTCATAAGCCACGCGGAAGAGGAGGAGTCAATGCCCTGACTGCCGTCTGTTGGCTCCACCATTTTCATCCTTGGAAGCCAGGCGCCCGTTTTCATCCCGCGTGGGGCGGTGGATGTAGAGGCCCCGAAGGCTTGGACGCTGCCATGTGTCCCACGTGCTTACACTGGATCAGTCTTTCACTGGTTGCAGGCTGCTGCTGTCCCAAAGGCAGATGCAGGCCAGAGACGTCCGAACCGCTCCCCGTTTCCCGATCTCCAAGACCCCAGACTCCTTAGACTTAGTACGCCAGGATGTGCAAGGTTGCAGATTTTGGGGCGACGGGCCTGGAAATCTCTGTCGGGGGGCTTCGGATTTGGGAAAGGAACTGGAGCTCCGTCAAAGCAGCCTGTGTGGGATCTTGCGGGGGCGCCCTGACTCAACCGTCAACTCTGTCGACTCCGTGCAGGCGCTCCCATCACCCTCCCGGTGCCCGCGGGAAGCTTGGAGGCCTCAATTTTATGGCCTTTTTAAGGGGAGGTTGTTGCTGCCTCTCCGTGCCACTTCTTGCCAGGTGCCCCCAGATGCAGGCCAAAGCAGATCGAACTGTTGAGAAGCCTGCCACCATCTGCTGCCGCTGTGCTGTCAGGTGACAAGGAGGTGGCCGTGGTCCCAGGCCTCCGCAAGAAAGCAAAACAAAGCAAAAGCCAAACAACAACCGAAGCAATAACCGAAACCCTGAATCCAGTGGGTTCCAAATCCGAAAGAGCTCCCGGAAAGCGCGGAGCAGAAGACGAAGCACTCAGGGCACGGTTTGCAAACTGGGAGATGGCGTTGAGACGTGTTGCGTTCTCCTCCTCCCTTGTCCTCCTTCGCTGCGTCTCTTATTTCCCTTCTCTCTCTCTCTCCCTCTCCCTCTCCCTCTGTCTCCCTCTCTCTCCCTCTCTCTCCCCGATTACTGACAGCGAGCGAAGTGGCGTGCAGAGTCGCGCTTGAGAGGCGAAGCAGCAACCACGCCGCCCGAAGACTCGGCGGAGGCCATGGACCAAAGCTGCCAGAAGATTCGTTTCTGCCTCTTCTGCTCGGCCTGAGGTGGAGGAGGCCCCCGCAGAAGCCGAAGAGGCCAGGACATTGTCTGCACCACCTCGAGCTTTCCAAACACGTTCAGAGCAGATTCTAAGCTGAAGTTGCTGAAGTCGCTCCAACCTTGTCCCGCAGCTCTTGCCAGTTCAGATTGCCAGACATGCTGAGACAGCACAGGCTACAGCTCCGACGACTGCTTGAGCGAACGCATTCGCAGGCTCTGCGCTTGGAGTGGCTGAGTTGTCTAGTTGCGAAAGGCTGAACAGAAGAAGCTGGCTTTCGCATCTCTCGACTCAAATGAACGTAAGCAACCAGAAGAGAGAGGGAGAGAGAGAGTCATCAAACCAAGGCTCCTTCTCCCCGACCGTCCCAACCAGAGGAACCCCGAATACCGGGGCGGGTGAGGATGCCCGGGGGCTTGCCCCCTTGCCCCCAAGGGAAAGAAAGAAAGAGAGTCAACAAAAGGGTTGAAGGGTTGAGTATGGGGAAAAGGGCCTTGTCCAAATAATGGTGTGTGGGGCATGAGCCCTCCGCAAAAACAGAACATGACTTCTCCAAGCTTCCATTCCGCTTCCGTCTTTCGAGTTGCTGTTGTGGGGCTGCAGTTTGATTTGTCAGAATTATCTGTCATTGAAAGAAACCCCAAAAGGAGAGGGAGTAGCTTGAGAGCCAAATCAATACTCAACCTAGAAGGTGTTGGAGGTGTGTTGACTCTTGACAGAGAGTTTTAATGGACGGATTTTGAAATGGAGATCGATGCCAGGCGCTCCTTGCGGTGCACTTGTCAAACAAAGCGTTTTGCTGGCAACAGGCTTGGCTGGGCGGACCAAGGGGTGACATGACGGCAACGTGATTGACTGTTCGAGATGTGTCCCAGCAGGTCGACTTCCTTGGCGTCCTTGCCACTCCTCCGCCGAGAGCGGCAAACAGCCCGAACTCTTTGCATGAGGTTAAAACAGCACGAGAGCCCGGAGGAATGCGCATGACGGTAGAATGAGATCATTCGAGAAACTCACAGCTGGCGCAGGGTGGACCTCAGGGTTTCTTGCGGGCCCGGAGACCTGTTGGTGGCTTGGCTACTGAAAAGCAATGCTTGTGCAAGCTGCGAACTGTAGAACCTGGAGTCAAAAAATGTTGGGGGCAGTGCTTGGGAATGCACGAGTTCATGACGAACTGTCATGAAACCGTTTTTTGGCCAAGGAATCGAGGATGTCTTGAATCAGGCGGGCCACACTTGCATCTATAGGTCTCTGTACATAGGTCTCTAGGCAGTGACTATGACTGCTGGCCGGCAACTGAAAGAGTTGCAATGAGCTTTGCGCAAGCCGAGTAAATTCGGAGGTCTTTGGACAACTGGACCAGATGCATCCCAGGCACGTGTCGCAGCTGCTTGCAGCCAGGTCATCATACACCAAGAGACGGCCTGGTTGCATTCTTCGACATGCAAAGCATCATCCAACAATGCTAGAAGATCACGCGGCCAGACAGCTGTGAGTGCACTGTAACCATGTGCGACCTTGAAATTGCTTCGAACAATCTTCAATCCCCTTTCAAGAAGCACTTCCATGTGCAACATGAATGACTACTTAGCTCGCACCAGGAACCAGCTTCCCGTGGCAAGGCAGGTGCCTGAGGCCTGAGGGCTTTTGTGGGAGGTTCGATGAAGTGGACGAGGTACCATACAGATTCCAGCAGAATCACCAGATTTCGCAATGCAAAGCCCCCATTCTGCAGGATGCTGTAGTGAACTTAGTCGGCTGCTTCGCCGAGTCGCAGCTGGAGCAGGCCTTGTGGGATGGAAACGTCCGGAACAGACTGCACGAATGCGCAGATAGGCCATGGAGTCGAGGTCAGGAGTTTCTCTCGTCGCAAAGCTGCAGGTGAAGCTCAAGTACTACGGTGACGAGAACGCTGCTAATTTCGCAGCCATGTGAGCTTCCGCTGTCTTTAAGTCGGTGCTGGGCTGAGATGTGCAGCTTATCAGGTACTGGCACGCTGAGAACGACCACGCGCCCCGTCGGCAAGCATACAGTAGCAAGAATGACAGACTTAAAGACTCGGCTAAACATACTTTAACATACAGCTTGCTCACAAAGAAGCCTAAGCTGTTGGAGTTTTTGTGCCTTCCAGAGTCCATGGCTTGGCCGCGCCTTTGCCTTTGTGATCCGTCACGGTCGCCGTACAGCTTCGACATGCCCGATTCACCATGGACCATGAAACATCACGCAGCCAAAGCAAGGCGGCCCAAGATTAAAAGGCGGATGGCATTTCATTTCGTCCTTGGCAAGACTCGCTGTATCTCGCTTTCGTGACAGCGTAGATGGCAGTTACCGGAAGACCCTGATGCTTGGAATTGCTTAGCTTCGGCCTCAATTTAATTCAGGGTTGGGATGCTGGTCCCGTGCCCCTCAGATGGCTCCGATGCTCTGCAGGCAGGGCTCCGACTACCCAGAATTCGCTTCTTTTGAGCGAGCTGAGCTCTGAAATTCCCAGGAGGGCCATTCCTCCGCTTCAGGCCTCTGCGGGTCGATGTTCCAGGAGTTTCCAGAGTTTCCAAGAGGTGCAAAGCGTGGACTTGTGTCTTCATCTTGCTTATCACGTGCTTATCACGTGCTCCTGGCTAAGACGGCTAAGAGTTGTTTGAAAGCATGATCAGATCTCCCAGCTTGACCCCGAAAGTACACCGCTAAAACTCACAGTCGAGCAACATGCCAACCAAAGATCAGGGCATCCTGCAACAGCTTTGCATCCTTGAAGGTTCTGTCCCAGAGGCTGAATCAGGTTGGCACCAATAGCAAGCTGGCACCATCCCCTAGACTCTTTCAAAAGGGGGGGGGGGTGGCACCGTGTACTGCCGTTTAAGTTCCCCGTCCTCTTCCCCCCGCGCAGCGCCCGCAGCGGCCGCAGAGCCCGCAGAGCCCGCAGCGCCCGCCTTGGTCGGGGAGGCGCCTGGTTTTTGCAGAGGTTTTTGCAGGTTTTCTTTCTGTGAAGTTGCTTGGGCTCGTTACTTTACTGGCCAAACCCAGCATTCAAGCAACGCTGGCAAGTTTAGTTCGTGAAATGTGCATCGCGCAGGCCGCAGAGTGGGCTTTTGTTCTGGGATGCTTCCTGTCATTCATGTCATTCATGTCATTCATGTCTCGGCAGCTGCATCTGCAGCCCGGTGAGCGTTTGGCCTGGGCACGTCCCTGAATCTATGGCTCGGTTCTCGGACTGTTCTCGGCAACACGGGCGGCAAGAATCGGACAACTGGTGACTCCCGGGATGCTCAGTGGAGCGAACGCTCCCACACACGATGCTGGCAGTCTCTCCACTCTGGGTCAAGTCCGTGCTTTCCATGCTTGCTTTCCTGTGACATCTCTTTCGAGTCTTGCCTGCATACCTCCTATCCCTCAGGCCTTGGTTCAGACCCGAATAAAGGACTTGCACGGTTTGGCGAGTTGATAGGGGGTGGGGAGCTAGGGCTTATCACGCAGAACCGGTCTTTGGTGTCTGCGCCGTGTACCCACTTGACAAGCTCTTGTCTTGTGTTGTTATGTTTGTGCTTGTGTCTTGCTTCACTCACAAATTCTGCTTTATCCCTCTATCTCTCTCTCTCTCTGTGTCTGCTTCTTTCACTCATTGCGGCGCTTTGGATGTTGGCAAGTACTGATGCAAATGTGTTGGTTCGATAAGTTCAAGTTGGATACTTTGGTGGTGCCTTGGAGCTCGCGGCGGCGCAGCGCCTCCGAGTTATCTGGCGGCAGGCCGAAGAGAGCCCTCGGCGAGCCTCAGTCCTACCTCTGGCTCAAGCCTTAGCTTGAGTCAATCCTGCCTCAAACTTTCAGGAACGCACCCCGGCAACATCCCGGCAAGCGGAGAGGATCGAAAGAAGCGCTTTGGGCGAACCCTCACTGTCTCAAGCTATGCAGAGTGCAGCGTGCAGAGACCCAGTGATCCGAGCAATCCGGGCAGTGTTTTGCGTCTCAGGCACAGCTAGCAGACGGCAGGCGCCCCAATTTCTCTCTTACACGTGGTTTTAGGGAGACGCAGGTGAGTATCTGACACAAATCGTGTTGTCCTCGTTTTCCTGCACTTCCATCGCCGGATCTTGTGAAGGTGACACGTGACCTAGGCCATGTACTGACCGCAGACCCTCGACACTGCACTTGTATGAAGAAGCCCTGCTGCCTCGGGTGTCCACCAAGGCCTCATCCAACGCAGCCAGCGCCTTCGATCCTTAGAGGGCTTGTGGATGCTTGCATGTCGGTACGCAGAAGCATCAGAAAGCCTCGGGGTCAGATGTCTGAGAAGATTTCCACCCTCCGAATGAGAGAAGTGGTGCTTTGGGCTGCTTTTTTGGCTGTACTTTTTGTTGCTGCTAAGATGCCGCTCTCAAGAAGTTCGGCTCGCGCAGAGGCCGCCGTGACCAGGGGAGGATGGCTTTTGGAGTAGCTGCTGTGCAAGCGTCTCGCCAACAGCAAAAACTTCCGTAACATTCTGGGCAACCATCAAGGCGTGAAACAAAGCACCGCATCAACCTTCTGAGGGGCCAGAACCCTGAGCCCCCTCCTTCCCGAGCCAGAAAGCGCCCAATCGCCCGCGCCCCACGCGGCCAACCTGCCAGAGGCACGGGCTCTTAGGCCTATCGGAGTAAGTGGAATGTTCCAGGAATGGTTTCTGGGTTCGGGCACAGGGTCAGAGGCCTTTCGACGTTTCCACCTTTGTCGAGAAAGTGGAAGGTAGTATGCAGCGTTCCGGCACAAGTTACATCAAGTTACTATGTGGCCAGGTGCAAAGCAGACTGTTTCTGAATCGGCCTAGGCAAGAATTCTTTCGTATCATCTACATTGCCGCAGTTGTACCATAGGACCCTGCCGGATGGTTGCGGCATGGTGCAGACACATCCGCAGGACGTGGCCGAAAGCTTTGTGTCGGACGACACCGAGTCAGACGTGGTCGGATGCCGCCCTGTCATGTGTTGCCTGTTCGGCAAAGGGCATCTAGGCGGAGGTAGCTGCACATGGGTTTCTGGCACCGACAAGCACCCTTAAGCCCGGAGACAGCCGAAGCTCCACACCAAGCCTATCGCCTTATCCCGATAAGGAGCACTTTTTAAGGGCCTGTAGTGTGAACTCTTCACAGAGGCCCGATACATGCGGCCAACGGCCAGCATTGCCTGGTGAGCAACGTTGGCCCTGCAAGGTGACCTGACAACCAGCGCCCTTTTCGGCGTGGTAAGCTCAGAATGACTCAGGGGATTCAAACACCTCGGCCCTGTCTGGTCATCCTGGTCATTTTGCTTGCTTTGGTCACTCTCGCTTACTTTGGTTACTTTTGGTTACTTTTGGTTACTTTTGGTTACTTTGGTCACTTTGGTCACTTTGGTCACTGGGCCAAGGCGCTTTTCCAGCGGCGGCGGAGCACCTCTGAGGCGTCGCCAGAGGGAGTTGGGGCCGACTCTTTGGTCCCTCTATTGGGTCTTGAGTTGTTCTTGACTGCGGCGAAGTTGACTCATAGGATCTCAGAGGCCAAATGCAGGCAGAAGAAGCTGGAGTTGTTGAGTGGGCTACGTAGTGATCCTTTTCTTGCTCTGACTTCGGGGTTTGCGACGCGATCATAGATTTGAGACTGCCAGAGGATACCGGAAAGCATTGCTCTGTGGGTTATCTGCGATTTGGGACTGTGGCTGTTCTGTGGTTTGCACATCTGTGGTCTGTTTGTGACTTTGTTGTGTGTCTTCTGTGATTTGCCTGTGATTTTGCTGTGGTTTGACTGTGGTTCTTGTTTCCTAGCCTTGTCATGTCGCTGTGATGTTGCTGTATCACAGATAACTCCCAATCGCAGCAAGAAGCACAGCCGGATCACAGCCCAAGCACAGGCCCGAAACGGGTGCCCAGCAAGTCACAGCAAAATCACAGACACGAGCCACGGCAACAATCACACCAGTTTCAAGACGTTGCCAGAAGGGGCTCTCAATCATAGATGCTGCTTCCGACTTGAATGGTTTGTAGATAACGCCTTCAAATACAGCAAAGATGTCCACGAGTTCCGAGGCTTGTCCGAGAACTCAAGGATCTGCATGTCCAGCCACTTATGTAAGTCAGCTTTCAAGTGGCAGTCGCCCAGATTGATCGAACACCTCCTGGCAAGATACGGGTCATCTGTTTGCGCTTTCCGCGCTGCTAAAGTCTTCCGACCTGATCGTTGCAGGCTCATTTTTTTTAGAGTGGCAGTAGCCACTTTGCCCTTCATTGAGCAGCTCACTGCTGCGTCGGCAAAGAGGCAAAGAGGCAAAAAACTCCTCACGTGGCAGCTGCTTGAGGCTTGTGCCACGGTGCTGTAGTGTGTGCAGGTCGCAGCACAGCGACCGCTCACACTAATGAACTCATGAATCACTCCCGGATGAATACCCCCCCCCCCCCCCCCATATCCCGATATCGCCCAGGCCTGGCCGCTGTGGCCCATTCTGTTTATTGCAAACAACAAGATGAACAAGATGTGCATACTGGCAGAGTCGCAGGCCGAGCAGCACGGCTTCTGCTCCAACACCTGCCGCCGCATCTGCGGCCTCGTCACGCCGAGGCGTTTGGCGCCGCTTGGCAGCCTTTCACAGGGCGTGTTGCTACACTGTGTAGTCGATGTAGTCTGTACAGCGAAATATCAGAGCTAAGCACATGAACCATCAGAGGGGTAAATGATGCAGAAGGTGGCTTTTGCAGTTTGTGTGGCTATATTGGCTGTGTAGGGTTTGATTGGACTGGGACGGGGGCTTTCTGCGTCGGACACAGCATGGTGCAGTTGTGGGATGTGCCAGACAGTCTACCTGTTTCCGGACTCCATGTTTGCACATTCCTTTGGTTCCTTCAAACCGGCCTTGTGCATTGTGACTTTGTGTTGTGCTTTCTCACCGTGCGAAATCCCCTCCTTTGTCCAAGGCACCTGGCGGAGCAGGCCTGGCCCGGTATTGAAGCGAAGTTAAGCGGGACTTAGCAGGTCATCGGGATTGGGCATATGAAACATCTATTGAATCATGCTGGGAGATGCTGGGAAGCAGGCCAAGCAGGCGACGTATCCAGTTTCTGAAGGCCATTAACACGATACGGTAACATCCGCCAAGCTTGCTCCACTCACACAGATTGCCGTCGACACTGCATTCTGCCATCTCAGCAACAACTGCACCTGTCGTATCTTGTTCGATAGGCGGGGGGCACGGAAATTCTTACTGCAGTTTCTCCAAATTCTGGCTACCTTATGGGGGGGGGGAGGGTGAGCCTCTCGCTTCTGCGGTTCGCTGGCGAGAGGCTCATGAGTCAGGTCTAGGCCTGGGCGGCGTCAGTCTTTCGGTGGGACGCTGATGCTGGCTGAGAAGACTCTTGGTGCGGGGGCAGGGGGTCGGTCAAAACCGGCGAGCTTGAAGTTTGCAGCTGCCCGTTTTTTCGTTTTCCAGGTGGTGCATGCAGGGGTCCTCACGAAGCGCTCCAAGTACTTGGGGGCCTGGCGGGTCCGGCCTGGCTCCCGGTTTTCGCGGTTCAAGTTCAGATTTTCTTTGTTAATGGGAACAAGTGCATGTCACCGCACATGTGCTCCACAAAGTTTCAGGATGCACCCTTGCGATAGCTCGGTGGAGTTTACTTCCGGCTTTCAGTGGCCTGAAGCCTCTGAGATTCTAAGACACTCGGTCCCAGTGGCAACAAAGCGGCTCGGCTTTTCAAATTGGCAACGTATGGCAACGGTTTTGATGCTTTGCGCCCGAGGTGGGCGGTGCTAACGCCAACGTGCCTGAAGATGTTCAAGGTGCGGGGCGTAGCAGCAGTAGCAGGAGCCGCACGAGGAGCAGTAGCAGTAGTAGCAGCAGCAGCAGTAGTAGTCGCAGTCGTCGCGGTCGTCGTGGTGGTCGTCGTCGCAGTTGTTGTTGCAGTCGTCGTCGCAGTCGTGGTCGCCGTCGTCACCGTCGCCGCCGCCGCCGCCGCCGCCGTCGCAGTGGTCGTGGCAGTGGTAGTGATCGTGGTCGTGGTATGGTGGTCGTGGTGGTCGTGGTGGTAGTGGTGGTAGTGTTGGTAGTGGCGGCGGCGGCGGTGGCGGCGGTGGCGGCGGTGGCGGCGGTGGCGGCGGTGGTGCTGTTCGCGGTCGCGGTCGTGGTCGTCGTCGAGGCACAAATTTGAGGACGGCCCCGCAACCGAGCCCTACTATTTTCCACCTCCGCCAAGTCTCCGGGCGCCTCACGCCTTCGCGAGAAACCTACGGAGTGCTTCCGGCTTCTCGAGGCGCGGCATGTGAGGCTTGAGAATTAGGGACTGCTTCGGGTTGGTCAGGTGTGCGTAAAATTTAGCTTCCCTTCGGACGGTTGAGGGGGCCTCGACCACCCCTCCGAACAAATCGCCAACACAGGATTTTTGATGGTCTTTGCGAGACGATGCGTTTCTCTACAGGTGGCGGACATCACTGTGGAGGGCCCCCTTCTGGTGTTAAGGCTGCCATGGAGGAGGCGGGCCAGTCAGTTTCATAGCTTCGACAGCTGAACTTCTTTGCCCACAGGTGCTCTCTCCGCTGCGAGGAGTCAGCAGTCGCAGAAACGCCTGGAAAGCCCAGCAAAGCATCACGTGAAGACCCGCAAGATAAACGTGTATTTGAGGCATCTCAGGGTCAGGTTGAGTAGTTGACTTGAGGTGTTGAGTTGAGGCATTGTTGAGACAAGCGTATATCTTAGATGCATGACTGATGCATGTCTCTACTCCCACACCCCACCCCCGTCCTCGGCTTGTGACTGCCTCCGTCCTCCGTTAAGGTGGGCCTGCCACATTCGCATGTGCTGCGAGCGCGCCGCGCAGATGACTCCGGCTTGAGGGCCGCGGATTCAAGGAGGGTCTCTGCAGTCTCGGATTCAAACGATACCAAGATGTGCTTCTTTTCAAGAAACAGCTTCGTGCTCCAATGCTAGAACTTACAAGTTTGCCTCGGCCGTGACATCCCCGAGACCCTCCTCGAACACACGCCGCTTGTTTGAACAGCGTGCGGCCCCTTCAAAGGAAAAAGCACCTGCTAGCAAAGTTGCACAAATAACAAGAGCTGATACGCAATGTGACTTTTCCGAAAGCACTAAAAGTCTGAGAGTTATCGTTCCCGTTGTTTCACAGTGTTTCCACCTCTTTTCGTAGTCCCAGCGTCCGTCGGAGAGGACGACGCTTCGGCCAATGCATGCAGAGAGACGGTGACGCATGTGCAATGAGCAGTCTTGCCAGCCATGAAATCCACGAAGTCGCTGCATGCTCTTGAGCCCGAGAGCGGAGGCATACCCGAAATCGTGGACTGTCAGATGCCACTAGGGTGCGTAGACCCACGGTTTCGTGCTCTATCATATAATCTACGCTCGTCTACAGCATTGCGAGATGGAGGTATACACGATGGTTGCAGAACAGCACACTTGTTGGCGGTATGCCCGGAGCTCTGATAGCTGCCTGGTTGGGTTCCTGTGCAAGGCTGCCCGTGGTTCACGACTTTATGGTGCTCGGACACCTCTGCGCGGCAAAGTTTGGTGCGTGCGCAAAAGGTTCAAGGGAGCTTCGCAGGCGAGCGACCTTGGGGTCGAAGCAGAAAGCTAGACTTGAAGGGTTTTTGGGGGGCTTAGAAATGACCTGGGTGTAGCAAGGCTTCAAAGGAGCTATGAAGCTTGAGACCTTCCAACTTCAGGTCATGTTGAACTCAAGCCACGGATCTCTTCAGCAAAGCTTTAGCTTTGTCCCTAAGCCTCTCACCTTGAACCCCATACTCCTTTGCACTGATGCGTGTCCAGGTGCCTTACTTTGCCATGGCAAGGCACGGCGTGGGGGCCTTGGAATGACGAACCCCATCCCCCCCCCCCCCCCCACCCCTCAAAGAAGAGCCCTCCCCTCCGCCGTGCTCGTGCGAAGCAAGAACACCCTGTCCACTCGCTTTGATCGAAACGGTCACGTTTTTTCAGGTTTGGATTTACCCAATACGTAGCAAAAGGGTTCTCGGCGGCGAAGGGTTCGACACCGTCGTCTGATTTTTGCAAGCGGTCCTCAAGCGGAGACCTGCGCACCGCCGATTTTTGCATGACGCTTTGACAACATTGAGAACGCATTGTGCTGAAAGGATTTACTTTGCAGGCCCTTCTGTGCCTTCTGTACACATGCTGTGATGGGCCAGTGATGGATTTCACATTCTCGTCCTCGCATCGGCGCGCGCGCGCGCGCGCGTGGGTGTGTGTGTGTGTGTGTGTGTGTGTGTGTGTGTGTGTGTGTGTGTGTGTGTGTGTGTGTGTGTGTGTGTGTGTGTGTGTGTGTGTGGGTGTGGGTGGTTGGTTCCTGGTGTCGTTGTCGCGGCTTAGGGTCTGAATAGTGCCTTTATTGCACTTTTGACAACAGCTTGAAAAGCAGATCTTGCAGCCTTCTTTGTTTTGGCGTTGCATTTGCAGTGCCTCAGGTGCCCCTGGGCCATGCCTTCACCGCGGCCGGCTTCCTCCACGAGAAAGAGGCAGGTGTTGGGCTCTGTGGCTGGGCTTGTTGCGCCGACCGGTTGTGCCTGGACCGTAAGCTCCAGCTTCGCGTCACCTGGCAGCGAGGTGCCTCAGTGGGGCGTCTATGATGGCTGCGGCTCCCCATGTCAGGACGCTCCTTGAGGGCGGAATGCCGGGCAGAATGCAAGTGGCGCCACGTGCGACTTGTGCGACCCGGCGGCTTGCACTTTTTGCACCCGAGCCTGCGCTGTTGCGCATTCTCGACTTTGTGACCAGACGCAGAGTGACCACTGAAACTTTGCACAGGACGATGACGAGCGGTGGTGTGGCTGCGCCAACGAGGCCTCCATTTCATTCAAATCGCCAGAAACGCTGCATCACGTGCGAACGGGTCGTGCCCAAAAGGCAGAACATGACCATCAGTTCACAAAGACTTGACCAACAAGGCTTCGCGAGGCTTTGCCAACCCTTCCTGTGTGGATGGTGAGAAGCGCTTCGCAGCAGGATTCCCAGCACAGAGTCGTGTGCGGTAGTTGCTTGTGTTCGAGAGTTCATGCCAATGTGTGTGTGTGTGTGTGCTGATGAACAGCCTTACTTAAAAGGCGTTGAGGGGAATCGTATCTTGGTGCTCTTGTAATCAAGTGTAAATCGCACCTGGAGCCGGCCGAGCATCCAACTGCTGGCAGATTGAGGTCTACAAGATAGGTGCTGCAAGCACCACTGAGGCGTGGGGCACCTAGTGTCGACATGCAATTTTGGCAGCAGCCGGAGCTCATTGGCAGTGACTAACAGTTGGAGTTGCTCCAACTACAATTACACACGTTGCAATGCTCCGCACATCTGGCCCTGAAGGCCGAAACTGCAGAGCTCTCGAAACCGAGATTGCAAACTCTCACCGGAACCTCTCGAAGCTCTTCCGAGGCCTGCGGCCAATGCTACGGCAGCGGAGCCCGCAAATGGTGAAGAGGCCGCAGGAACACTGCAGGAACTCATAGGTGGATTGCAGGCTTGCCGCCCTTATCTGCTTTGATTATGTTGAAATCATGATTCTTTCCTGTCCGGTGCAGCTACCGGTTTCTTGTTGCCACCACTGCGCCGTATTGCCGTGTTGATTCTGGATCGTCTTCGGGTCGGGGCCAGCAAGTTTCGAGGTTTGCCAACCTTGAGAATGACAACAGATCCGACGTGTTAAACAGATTCGCTGATAGGTTACCACTTCAGTACCAAGCGCATCTGCAGCACCAGCGGCACCAGGCCGCGCGCCAGGGTTTGGGCTGCAGGGTGAGCATAGTCTGCTCGGCGTATCTTTTCGGTCTTGTGAGGGTAGTCAACCACTGCATGGAGCCACTGACCCCAGGCCCATACTGGAAGCTGACCGGAGAAGCTGAAGGCAGAGCCGGCTGAAACAGTGCACTTTTTTGGGCATCGAGCTGGTGGCTTGCATTCGCTGCCTGCTTGCTGTCTGCCCGGATGTGTACACATCTGTACACTGCCGCAAGGCGACCCATCGATCGAGGTGGTGGTCCCTAAGGCTGGTTCTTGCTGGCTCTTACCCAACAGCTTCTGTCAGCCGAAGCAGAGAATTTGAGTACGCACTTGGAGGCTACGTTAAGCAGTTTTAGCGAGCACATGCCCCAGGGCACTGTTGCCTCTGCGAGCGGCTCCGAGGCCAGGATTTTGTGGCCACGAGATGTGAGCCATCATGAGCCTACAAATGAGCCTACAAGTGCACATCGTTGTGTTTGCAGGTCCTGCTCTTCAACGCCACAGCCACAGAAGGTGGGGTGGCTGCAGTACTTCTTGCTTCCACATCATTGCTGCTTGCTGAAGCAGGAAAGCAAGGAAGTCAGACATCCCAACACAAAGGCCCAAGTCCTGACGGGTGCATGACGGATGGCTCAGTATCTGAGCCACGCTCAGATTTTAATAGCTGAGGTTGTCTGAAGCAAAAAACAACTGGCCTGCGACTTTCAAACACCTGGGGCTTTGCGTGGTCGCCGCCGTGCAAGTTGGAAAGGCGTGCTAAGAATAAGACCTTTTGGCAGTTTGAGCCTTGAAATGGTAGAGGGTGGCCCAAAAATAGCTGGAGTCTCGGGCAAAGTTGGGAGTGCCTCAAAATCGAGGGGCATTGCAGAGCCAGGCCTCCCAAAAGCAACTCTGCGAATCCGGGGGGGGGGGGGGGGGGGCTGATTTTTACCTACTGAAGCACCGCATGTCACAGCTCACTGACAAGGCAGAGACACGGCAGGGGTGTTAGATCCCAGCACGTTGGGAGTCTGAATGGGGGGAGTGGTGTTCAAAGTTTTTGCGAGATGGCAAAGGCGGGCAAGCCTCAGCAAGCCTCATCGTTGCTCAGAAGCCGACATGGAGCTGGAGGGATGCGGGCCGTGGGGCCGCGGGGCTGTGTGAGGCGCATCTTCTCTCTCCGAGCAGCCTCCGGGAACAGATGTGCAGGCAAGATCTGCATGCGTTCCAGCTTTGAAGTCCGGAGCTTCTACATTTCAATCTAAAGGTGTTGGCCCTTGGATTGAGACTCAAGTGACTCAAGGGTTTTAAGCGTTGTGGTTTGTTGTTGGCAGTTCTAGCACGCTCACGTGTCGGCTTCACGTTCAAGGCTGACGCGTCACAGAGTCAGAGTCGACTCTTAGCTTTTGGGTTTTACCTTTGTGTTCCGATAAGGACGTGGGGGTCGAGACCGGTCGTCACAGAGTCGCGACACGTTTACAGCAGGAGAAGACTCCGATTGGGAAGGCTGGGCAGGGATACCCCATGTGTCAAGCTGTGAAGTGCATGCTGACCAGCTGGCAGCAGCCCTGACAGCTACGAACGCAGCCCATTCTAATTACACATGGAAAGAATGAGCACGCCAGCCCTGGATGCTGAATCGATACGCTCTGCTAGGACCGATACGCAAGGAAACCTACGGAGTCTGGTGCCTTTGGGCGAAAACAGCCCCCCCAATCCAAGCCGTCCAAATTCGGTCAGGTCAAACTCCCAGTCGACGTGTCCAAAGAGTCCTGCAAGCGGCCTGGCCTGTTTGGTAAAAATACCGCAAATTCAGGACGAAGTGGGATGTCTTTCTCGGGATGGTGGATGAAGCCGGATTGGAGGGTTGGGCCTCTCAAGTTATTGTCTTGGGGTGTCGGCATTTGGAAAAGCCACGCATTGTGATGCTGTGGCTCCGCCGTGCGCAAGTGAACTGCAGCCTTGTTAAGCGCGCAGAGACACAGGCTTGGGGAGACGGCCAAAGATGGCGGACAGGCGATGCCGCAGCTTGGGAGCTTAAGGGGCGGCCTGGGGGATTATTCTGGATATCAAGTATGGAATGAAATTGGACATGTGAAACGGGTAGAGAAAGGTGTTTTGTTTCAGACAGCGCTCGCAGGTTCTGAAGTGCAAGCTGGAGCAGGAGGACGTCCGCGAGGTGCCCATCAAGGCCGGGGCTTTATGACCGGGTCTTTATGGGGGGTTCCCTCTTTTCTTTTTTTGGGTATTCTCTGGGAAGCTGGGGTAGGAAGAAAGACAACACGAGCAAGACCTGAAGTACAGCTGTCACCATAGTGACTTCCGCACAACCTTTGGGTATTCCCTCATCTTGCCGTTGCCGGATGTGCCTGAGGTGATCGATGAGCTGTGACCGGAGAGCCGGAGAGGGAAGTGTGTCTTTCGCCGGCTGAGCCGCCCACCTCCACGTCACCACCCCTGCAATTGAGCTTCGGGAACGGATTCCCTTTCTGGAGTATCAGAGAAGTTGGTTTTCCCGTAGAAGTGCGGGCTGCTGCAAGACGAACTAGGGAGACCGGGTTTTGGACTTTGGAGTCAGCTTGCCTTGCGGCCTTGCACTTCAATCGCCCCGCAAAGACTGACGCGAAGCCGCGCAGCAAAAACAGAGTGCAGATTGCGCCGTGCAATCCGGACTTGGCACGTGTGACCTCATGACCTCAAGATACCTCAAGTCTATACCCAGCCATGAACCAGAGAGACCACAAACAAGCAAGACTTGTAGCTGGGATATGCCGGGATCATGCAGATGCGAGGACTTCACGACCTAGAATAAGGCCCTAGAAGGTCTCACAACACCTTGTTTTGATCTGTCTTGCCGCTCCGTGAGTGAGCTGCCATGGTCTATGAGGGACGCTTGGATGGTCACCGGGGTGGCGTCACTGCCCTCTCTTTCTCCGAGGCGGGGGCTAGATTCGTTTTGGAACATTCCATACCCTAGTTGGCCCTTGCTCGCACTTGGCGAACGGCCGAGGGTCGGCAAGCAGCTGAAGCAAAGGCCTGTGCCTGACCTTGATGAAACTTCTTGGTAACTCAAAGCGTTTGGAGCTTTCGGGAGGCCCAAAACGATTACAAACTAGAACTTGCAGCTCGCTCAAGACAAGGTTCAGCAAAACCAATAGCCGACCCTCTTTCAATTATGTGCAGTGCCTGGTATCACACTACCTCAAAGGAAGGAGAAGGTTGGCAGCATGTGGCAAGGAAACACCATTTGGATTTTGAGCGAGTGAGCACGCTGTCGAGCACCATTTGGACATCACAAAAATACCCGACATGACTCGACATGTTGTCGTTTACAGCATCTGGAGTCTGGAGCCAAACTGGGCTCAGCAAATCTCAGCGGTTCATCGAAAATGGCACTGCTCGAGGCAGACCCCCGTGCACTTACTAATTCACTGCGGGTTGTGATCTTGCGAAAATAAGGAGAATCAACAGCTCAACCCCCGAAGAAAGAATCCTGAAGCGAGGATGGCAAGCGCCTTCTTACTGCATCGGAGGACCGGACGCCCCTTGTTGTCGGCAGAGGGAGAGAAGAGAGAAAGAAGAGAGAGGAGAGAGACAGAGAGAGAGGGAGAGAAGAGGGAGAGAAGAGAGAGAGAGAGAGAGGGGACCTGAGTAATAAGAAAAGAGGGGCAACAAGTAGCAGTCAGCAGCCGCACAACCCCAGTGCGAACACTACTAATAAGAGGATTTGAGGGGGAGGGACGGCGAAGGTTGTTTTCGGAAGGTTGCAGGAGGGATTGTCCGTACGGCCTAGTTCGCATTTGCGGGGGCTGGAGAAAATGTGGGGGAAGGGGAGGTTGCTTTCGGAATGGTTGCGGGGGGATCGGTTGTCGTTGTGTTGAAGAAGTGGGGGGGGGGCTGGGAGTAGGAGGGGTACGTGTGCCTGGGGAACGATGAGACGGAGGATAAGAGGCCTCCAGGTGCCGCGCGCCAGCGCCGGGGTTTTCCCCCATGCCCCCAAAGAAAGGAAGAAAGATAGAAAGGAAGAGACAGAGGAGAAAGACGCAGAGACGGCTCGAGTTGAAGACGCCTGTTCTGTCGGGCGTTTTGTCGAATTCACCCAAGGCTTCGCTTGTGGGAGCGCAGCGAGGACGAAGGTGGCGAGGGCTTTGGAGGTCCCTCCAAGGCCTTTGCCCTGAAGAGGACGCTGCGGCACAGCGACGTCGTGTCCGCAGCGGTGCTGGAGAAGGGCGGCGATTTTGCGCTCTCGTGTTCCTGGGATAGGACAGTGAAGCTCTGGAAGCTGGACGAAGAGGACGAAGACCCTTGCTTGCGCACGATGCGCGGCCACAAGCACCAGGTGAACGCTGTCGTGTGGTCTCCCGATGTGCGTGTGATCGTCACGGCCTCTTGTGACAAGCAGCTCAAGATCTGGAACAACCTCGGAGAGTGCAAGTTCTCCCTCCAGTACAACGATGGTCACGAGGACTGGGTTTCAGCGGTTGCCTACGGTGACGAGTGCCTGCTGTCCGCCGGCTGGGACCGCACGGTGAAGCTCTGGAACACCAAGGCCGGGTCCCCTGGAAGAAGGGGACATAGTCGTCACCTTAAGACTTGGATAGATTTGGTAAGATCAGGCAACTATAGACAAAACATGTTTTTTCGTCTCAGTTTCAGTTTCCTCAGTCGCACACTTGTGCTGTCTCGTGCTGTCAGAACTTCAGCATGGAGTGGGAGATGAAGAATCACACGGCTCCTGTGCACGCAGTGGCCATCGCGCCGGATAGCCGCCATGCAGCTTCCGGCGGTGCAGACCGCACTGTGCTCGTCTCGGACCTGAAGGAGTCGCGGGGGGCAATTCGAGGAGCAGTTTTATGGGACCCCTCTCGTAGCATCAGCGCAGGAGAAGAAGGTCATCGGTGCTTGCGAGGTCGATGGAACCATCCGATCGCTGGACTTCTGGGGATTCTGCAAAAATCGCAACATGGCTCTGCCATGCTGGGCTTCTTTGTGCCTGCCACGGCCGCGTTTTGCCCACCCCTTTGTGCTCTCCCCTGAAGGATTTCCACCCAACTGAAGCATGGCTGGCAGCAATGGTGGAGCTGCCGACGGGCGGAGCTATTTGGGTCACCCCGATCATGTTTGATGGATTTGGGGGGGGGGGGGGGGGGGAAGGGCGGGGAACGAATGGGAGGATCCTCGCGATATGGATCGCATGAAGGTCACCATGATAGAGTCGGGTAGTGGCCAAGTGATCATTGATAAAGTGTGGAGCTGTGCCTATGGCATATTATGGCATCCCACCCTGCTATGACAAGCATTTGAAAGTTCGAGTTGTTCCAGGTGCTGGACGTAATGGCCCGGACCTCCGTGGCGAGATTGGTGGCACCATCAGGTGCCAATGCGTGCCGGGGCCTGGCTGTGAAATGGGATCCGAAAGGCACGCGCGTCTTCGGCGGCTTCTCTGACGGTTCCGTGCAAGTGACATGCCTTTGTTATGCACACACACCACACACACCGCACACGGCCGGCAGTGCTTTTGGCTTTTTGCGGTCCAGGGCAATGAGTGTGTGTTATGAGGTATGGCGGACACCTTCGCCGGCTGCAGCGCCTTCCCGCAGGTGATTGTGTCACGTGTCGTGAATCTTCACACAAGGAGGCCGAGGAGGGCGGTGTTTCTCGCGGTACCCAGATCAGCCAGCATGAGGCAGCACAACCTGAATTGCCGTGGCCGCAACCATAACCATTGCAAGTGGAGCGGCGGAAGCGGGCGGAAGCCGTGGAGTGAAGATTGCGGGGCCGTTGGCGCGTACACCGACATTGATTCGCAGCTGATGGGGAAGGCCGGAGACATTTCGGACCGACTGAGACCGTGCATTTCCAGCCCGCCAGGAGACAATGCTTGCCTGCCGGGTCTCTGTTTACGATGTACATGCATATGAATATAATATATACATACGCATGCAAAAATGTATACATATGTATACATATATATATATATAGTGATATACATGTGTTGTTTTTGCTGTTTGTGACACTCGGCATGGTATGGAATGCTTGTGGAGTCCAGTTTCCGTTTAGGGGCCCTCGTGCTGGGTCCTGGCTAATGTTCAGCGAAGTGGTCACATGTGGTCACCAGCCAGGAACTTCAGGTGGGCTTTGAATCTGGAAACACCCCATGTAGAACCTGCAGGTGTGTGCTCATGAGCTCCAGGGCCCTGGGGGTGCACTTATCAGAGTTGAGGCTGCGATGACCCCGCATCTGACAAGTTTTTTGTTGTCGAACCCCAAGACTATGACCACTGTGACTGAAACTGCGCCTCCATGCAACAAAAGGCTCAAGCTCCAGACGGCTATAGGAAGACCAGCCATGATTCGTTGGCTTTCATCAATCGCTTGGGCCTGAGAGATACCCAAAAAGCCTTACTTTGTGCACACTTTCTGCCAAGTTCTTGATCGGCTGCAAGGTTTTGGCATGGCATCTAGCGCTGCAACCTGCCCAAGCGGACAACAACACGAGTTGCCTTCTGTGGCAGGCGTTGACGGTCCTGACATGTCCTGATGGGGGTGCTTGGAACCGTTCCGCCTGCGCAGGGAAGTGGCTGCGAAAAAATCTATGACAAGAAACTTTGCGCCCAGAACTCACACTTTGCGCCTCTTGAGCAGCAGCTTGTCGTGCTCGTACCATGCGCGACGTGACAATGAGAAAAGGTGAGCAGTCGGGATGGCTTTGCAAGCGATCCGTTTGTCCGGACGCGGGCAGGTGTGGCTTGTGTGTACTGTTGATCAACGGCACGCATCATGTTCCAGAGCAGGCAACCCGTGTGCTTGGCACAACACCGGCGTGTGCACGTGCGGCGCTCGCTGGTGCACATAGTGGTGCTCGTGGTGCATGACTCGCGTCCCGACTGTTGAGGCGCATGGCGATGATGGGCCCCTGGGCAGGCCTTGACAATGACTTTAGTGACCAGCTAATGATTGTGTTACCTTCTCTTGCACGCTTCAACCAAGCTTTGGCGAGACTTATGTGACCGGCTGAAATGGCTACAGCATGATCAGGCGACTATGAGGTCGCCACTTGCAAGGCCTTGCAATCTCCTTGCAGCGTCGCTTCTACACGGTTGCAGGTTGCCTTCGCTTGCAGCCAAAGTCCGCCAGGCGTCGGCGACCATTGAGGAGACCCTGGCCAATGTGCAGTCTCCGGGCGCGACGGTCGGCACGCAGGCTCGGAATCGGACATTTGGGACAGATTGGGATACGCTGAGGTTTTTTAGGGTGTTTGAGGGTCCTGCGTACCTGAACGAAGGTGAAGATCCTGCCGATGGATGGCGGGGCCGATCGATCATGCCGTGGCTCTTCACCAGTGCAGACCGGGTGGGCTCGGGGACACTTCTACGGGTCATGGAAGATACAGGATGATGCAGGATCACATATGGGAGGATATAGGCAACATGCTGCAAGGGCCTAGGATGCCTTATCCCGTCCCTTGAGGTTGACTACCGGACTTTACGATGTCTGGACCGGGCACCGCACAAGAACACACCCTTGAGTGCCTGAAAAGCGTGTGAAAGCTGAGAGCTCAGGGAGAAGTACTTCATTTGTCTGATTCGCAGGACAGCACAGACCCTGGACGAGTGCAAGGCCTTGCTGCGCCCTGCCTCCAAGCTGCTCTTTCGCAGCAAATCGCAAAACGCTGCAAGGCGCTCTGCACCGGTCCGTGCAAAGGCATCGAGTACCATGCCAAAGGCAAGTACTGCGAGGCGACTACTTCGGCATCTTCACTTAAACGAACGCCGGCACCCATATTCTCGTGCAAAACGGGGGGGGGGGGGGAGGTGACAATCGGGCCCCGCTTGCACATGTTGCTGGTGTGCTGAATAGTACCAGAATTGCCGGGACAACGATCGTTTCCCGGACACACGCGGGCGGGGGAAGGGGGGGGGGGGGGGGGGGGGGGTCTTTTGTGTTTTGGCGTTTTTTGTTATTCGTTGTTTTGTTGTTTCAAAAAGTTCTTTTGGGTTTTTAGCTTTGAGACTTGAGCAAGTCTTTTGTTTTGTTTTTGTTTTGTTGTTGCTGCTATCGGTACACATACAGACTGCCCTCGAAAGGACACGTCTCATTGTTTGGAGCAGGTCCGGGGGGGGTTTGTTTGGACTGTTGGGTTTCCAGAGCTTGGGCTGGGTAAAAGTATATTGAAGACGTGAGGCAAGGTGAACACGCAGGATGCAATCCGCAGGTCACGTAGTCATGCGTGCTTCGGGCTTCTTCGGGTTGCAAGCAGGTCTGGAAAGCAACCATCGAACATTCTGTACCGAATCCGGGCTTTGAGTGTGCGGCTCTCGGGTGTAGACTTTGAGTGAGATTGCCGTTGCTGGTTTGCGGCATGCTCAGGCTACGCGAGGCCAAACGAGGCAGCTCGGTTACACCAATTGCTGGACTCCACGCACATAGCAGACATAGCACATCACTCACTGAATTTCACAGCGGCCTTGCCCGGCCATTGCTCGACAGGGCGAGACTAAATCTTCGATGCTGAGCCTGAGTCCACCTGACATGGTCCGTGGTGGCTTGTTTAGCTGCAGCTTGTGAACTCTTGTCTTCAACTTGCGCCGTTTCTTTTGTTATGGTGCTTTCGTTGCGCTTGTTGACTGCTTGTTGCATGCTTGTGTGGGCCACGCCAGGCAAACCTGGGATGCCTCATCAGCCAGGCCGGTCCGGATATTTGGAGGGTTGACCACGGAGACCGTGCCGTTCCACCATTTTCCACCAATCAATCTGACAAGAGCAATATTATGTGACATCATTCCCTGGGCAGCCTACGGGGTGCATGTCGGTCAGAGACAAGCTCTCCTGCATCAGCCACCATCTCGGCCCTGGCAGCATGCAATAGCCTTGCTACGAGTTGTTGACTTACAGAAGTGTCCGAGGTAGCGTCGACGGCTCCAACACCTCCTTCGCAGGCATCACCATCCGTGGCCAGCCCTGTGTTTGGTGCGGAGGCTTGTCCTACGCTCAGCCAGAGTGCATGCTTTGTCGGTGTGGCACTCACTCGGGACTCGCGATTGGCTAAGGCCGTGCACAGATGCAGGCATGTATGGATGTGCTCCCTACAGCCTCCTGTCCCAGGGTGACCAAGGTGAGACCAAGGCCCGGCAAGGGCTTGAACGTGTAACGTGTCGTAACGTGTCGTAACGCGGTGTTCAGCAGCTTTGCTCAGGCATTTTCGCAGATGACGGCTCCTGACTCAGAAGCGCTGTTGGCGCAGTCTGGCAGTCTGGCACTTTCAGAGAACCCTGAGGCCATCACAACAACCGTGGCAGAATGTCACGTGGGCACGTCAGAGCGTGGGGGGAGAGCAGGAGAGCATGAATACACTGAATGCACTTGAACACATGCTTAGATGCTTAGGATGGAGCTTAGGCCAAGCAGCTGGACTTCGCGTCTGAGGAGTTGGAGTGCCTCAAGCCGGGAACTGGACAACGATGTCATCGATTCTGAAATCTGCAGTCGTGCAGACTAGCAGTTACCTCCGTGAGGTCAGCACCACTGGGCTGCATGGCCATCAAGGTTCTGCTGTTTCTTGTTTCACACGTGCTGGCAATCCACTCCTTCTCCAGAACTGGTCAGGACAAGGAGGAGTGTACCTCCAGCAAGCAAGGAGATCAGTTTGACTCCATCGCTGGGTTCAAGGCATCCAACGGCATTCCTCTTAAGAGTGTGGAGGAGAGAGACTTTGAGTTTTTCAGCAGCTCTTTTTCTAGGCCGAAGGCCGGCCCTGTGTGTGGTGCGGCGGTGGGCCGGGGCCTCACAGCTGTTTGAGTGACTCTCTGAGTGACTCAGACAGTGTTCCCGAATGGAAACCCACGACAGTTGATGGTTTAGAGCTGCAGGTTGTGCAACGATGGGGCTCCAAACCTATGTGAGCCATTTGACTACACCATGCATGGTGAAGGCTGGACAGTGTGACAGTCTGGAGTTGGTGGTACAGATGGGGACTGTTTTTGACTACACGTCTTCATTGTGGCGTATCTCGAGGGTATGCCTTCCACACCAAGCACAGCGACTTGGATGCAGACTCTGGAAGGGGAGATGCAGCAAGGGCTCTTCGGGGATCTTTGCCTATGCACGGCTCAGGTATTTCCTTTTCCCGAGCGTCCTGTGACAAGGCATGATGCACAAGCAGCCCCTGCGTTGCAGCTTTCTTGTTGCAGCGTGCGCAGCATTGTAGAGCAGCTCCAGGACGACAACCCTGCTCCTCTCGTTATGCCCCTTGAGAAGTGGTGGCCCTACCCTAGTTGAACGAGTTCTCAGGAGGCCCAGGCCAGACCCAGGCTAGCCACTTCCTTGGTGCCCAGGTTCACTCAGGGAGGAAATTCCCGAGTCGGGCCCTTGAAGAGTCAAGCAGTGTGGAATAGAAGAGAGGGCTGCGCTTTGCTGGTTTTCTGCTGGCGCCTCAGAACTCCGAGGTTTTCTTAGGAGCCGGTAGGAACGCTTAAGGCTCTATGAGCATCGAAAAGACAAACAATCAAAAGATGCAACGCAGGAGGAAAGAACCAAAGAGTGAACACTTACGGTGAAGCACGAACAAATTCAATCGAATGATATCGAATGCCCATGCGCTGGCAGGGCTGCTGACCGGCTTGCAATGGGCTGCACAAACCCCATCCCACAGGTCTACTTAAAAATTTCGAAGCTTGAGGGCTACTGGTAAGGCTGGTAAGGGTTTTCTCTGTTGGCGGGCCCTGCTAGGCCACATGCTCGTATAACTTCAGGTCAGAAGTTCATGCGAACTCTTTTCTCAGGTTTCATTTCAAGCCCGAAAACTTCATCCTCATCACTCAAAAACAATCACGAATTCTCCAGCACCGAGCCGGAAGCAGCAGCAAGGCGCTCCCTTCCCAACACTGCAACTTTAAATCCTTGCAGTGGCGCTTTACGGACAGGTTGGGGATGTTCGAAGTTGTGATATTGCTTTTGCCCCGCTTTTCGACTTGGCGCGTAACGTGATCTTAATCCTGAGCACAGCAGTCCGAAGCAACTGCGCATGAGGGGCCTGCCAACTGTGAAGCCTTCACCAAGCTGTTTCCACTGCTTACAGCATGAAATTCGCCAAGACTCGCTGGCTTGCTTGTCAGTATCGCGGCCCTGAGCCTCTGCCCTCCCTTTGAAGGCCACAATCGCTGAAGTATCACTGGGCGTTTCTGGCCCACGTATCAAGAGTCAGGACCCGGCACAGTCCACGTAGAGTCGCCTGAGCTTCCTGGGGCCGACCACGTGCGAGCACTGACACCGCTATGGCCAGTAAGTGGAGCTGGCACATGCAACCTCAATCACAGCGCCGCCACTAGCGAGTGCAAGCAATTTCCTGAGCCTGTACATGGCCTGCGTGTTAAGAATGTTAAGATTTCAGAAATCAACATTCCGGTTCAAGTAGCCCACCTAAGCCTCCCTCGCCCGCTGCAGCTCGTTCGGGCAATATGTCGGTCAAATCAAAGAAAGATTCCGGTGCGGTTGCCCGCTTGAACCTCCCGGCATTCTGCTTAGTACGGCAACATTTTGGTACAGTCACGTGCCTCTTGATCCTCGCTGGCTGGCTGACTGAAACAGCATCTCCGGTGCGGTTGCATGCCGGCTGCGACATTTCGGTTCAATGGCCCACCTGGGCCTGCCCGGGTTTTTGTTTTCAAGTAACACTCCTGCACAGTTGCTTTGCCCTGCCGGGCCGCCGCGACAACACCAGCCGGAGTAGCGAAAGCAACAGAAACAACAACGACGACGGCGATGACGACGACGACGACGACGACGACGACGACGACGACGACGACGACGACGACGACGACGACGACGACGACGACGACGACGACGACGACGACGACGACGACGACGACGACGACGACGACACTTTGTTCAAACCAACGGCAGCTTTCGCTCGAACACCTTCTGATAAGGCCTGCGTGACAGTTATGATGCATGCAAATACTATAGGTTTGGCGGTTTTGTACTCAGGGCTGGTAGGGTAGGGCATTGCGCGGTCTGCATTTCAAGCTAGTCTAACCATTTCATCGATTGGAAGGTTGATTGCGGCCATCCGTATCCACTCTGGAGGGGGGTCGGCGGCAGCCTGAGGGGATCGCCGCATTTGAGATGGTAAGACCTCGTCTCGCAGCTGTGTGCTAGCTGAGGTCAGCGGTGTGGCTTCTGCAAGGTGTTGGTCCCGAACATCCAGGCATGAAATAAAGCTTAGACCCTCATGGTTCGGCTCAGTTCTGGCAGTGTGAAGTGCAGGCGAAGTACAGAACCTGCGCCGACTACTGTGCGCATCAAGGAGAGCCGAAAACAAAAAGAGCACAGCAGAGAGCAGAGATGCTGCAGATGAGATAACCAGATAGAGCCAGATAGAGGGCCGTACAATTTCTGTATCAGAGGTATGATGTAGCCGCGTTGTGTCAGTGTAGCGCATGCATTCCGCAGGAGGCTTGGTGTGTAGGTCGGCGGCCTTGGGTGCCCTCCACAGCTGCGTTGTGTGCGCCCGGGGGTGCACGTGAAGTTGCAGATGTTGCCATCATGTTGTCATTATATCAATCTGGGCTGATTCGCCAGGAAGAGCAAGAAGTCCTGCACCGATGAGTTCGATGCCGCTTGGCAAGTCCCAAAAGTGCATCGTCAGAGTTGACCCCCAACAAGAAGGCTGGCCTTGACGACTGACGAGCATTTGTAGCATTGGCTATAACATGTACTGAGGTTTTCGAACCCGGCCTCTGTGAGTGCGACCCAGCCAAGAGCTTCCAGGCAATGCGACTGGGTAAGAGGGGACTTTGCTGAGTGCCTCTTCTGTTGCGTGAATAGCTACACGATGCCAGACTTGATGCTCCGGTTTCCTTTTCACTGCCGAGAATTGCCCTTCCCATGGGAAGACGATGTACGCAAAGAGGTCAAGGAAGATAATGAAGTGACACCTTGGCCGGTGGCAAGAGGGCTCGGAGCTGGTCCAACGGGAATCCACATGACCTGGTGGCCATGTGGACATCGGTGTGTGATGTGTGATGACGTGTGTAAGGGGACATTCGCACCTTCCACCACTCCCCAGTTCCGGCTATGCATGGCTTGTGGTCAAGCCTTCCACTGTCGTCGAGATCTGCAAGATCCAAGCATCTGCAAAAGCAGCTTGAACCACTCCGAAAAATGCGAGTTTTCACTTCTTGAGGAACGATGCTAGGCGGATGCACGAGAACAGAAAGGAGTGTGCTTGACCTTGGCTGCGGCTCTAGGCACAAAACACCGACTTCGCAGTGAAGGTCCATGCACCGAATCAGGTGCCTGGCAGTTTGCTTGCTCCCCCGCCTGCAATGTTTTTCAGACAACTTCCGCCTGGCTTCAGAGTGCTGTGCAGGAGCAGAAGGCGTGCTTGAAGCCTGTCGTTTGGGTCCAAGATTTTCAAGATGACCATCCCGAGACGGCTAGAGTTGCGCCCCAAATTCATCCAAGGCCAGGGGCTGCGCCTCCATCCAGGACAAGGAGACATGCCTGAGACGCTTGGCAAGCATGCGCATGCCGCATCTGCAATCTGTAGGTGCGCATTCGCTGCTGGCCATGTTGAGCTGTTGCTGTTTCGAGGCAGCACCGATGGCAGCCCCATCGCGGAGCAATATGGGTTCAAGGTCGCAGGGGAGGCTTGCGTGTGGTGTGGTGGGGTGCCGGAGGCTCAGGACTTCAAACACTGTCTCTCAACCCTCGCATCTTAAGGAGTCATGCTTTAGCCGCTCTAGGTCGTGCGCCTCTCGTCATCCAGACGTTAAGTGTCAAGCACGTGACTTGTTGGTGAACGGGGCGGGCTTGGCCCGGCACTCAAAACTGCTAGCAACTTCGTAACTTTGCTGGCCCGGCAGAAAGCCAAGAACTGCAGCGCACAGGCCTTTGCAACACGATACGCGGTGCCCGGCTCAGTGAGTCCACGTGAGTCCACATGAGTCCACAGAATCCACGCATCTGGCGGCCCTGGACTGGCAGGATGCAAGCGTTCTGGCGGTGGCAACGTGCAAGGCATGGGTTTTTCATGGGTTGTACAGGCTTTTGTTCGACCTATCCTGAATCATCTTGAATCCATCTTGAATCATCTATTTAATCTATTGCAATTATTATCAATTATTGGTGCGCTCTTCTGGCACCTCTTTCCGGGGCTTTGCCAGGACGGCCAACCGGTCCTGGCTGATGCAGCAACGACAGGTATCAGCCCACCGGGGCTCCACTTGCCGGTGCCGGTCTCTGCGTGTCACCCCTGCGTATTAGAGCACCTGCAGAGCCGTGTTGCATGTTGAAGCATGTTGAAGCATGTTGAATTCTGAACGGATGTAAACAGAGTCTCGATTGAACCTGAGGTTGATTGCGGCGTGCCATATCCCATTTGGCGGGGCATTGGCTCGGGCCTTCAGCCATGCTGCAACCGCAACACTGCAACCCACACAGCCCCAGCGTTTCGGCTTCGGCATGCGTTCCTCGTTGAGGCCAGCAGTGTGGTTTCTGCCGAGTTCGGGTTGCAAGGAAGGTGCGCAGACGTGGACTCTGGAGTTTAGGTTTCAGTTTTCATGACTGACGGTGGCTGTTGCGTGGCGAGCGCCAGGCATCGACCTCCTACAAAACCTGCGACTCTTACTGCAATGCCCAAGGTCCGACCACAAGATGCGAGCTCATGCCGAGTGTGCACACTCGGCATTGCAAAAGCCCCAGGTGGCATCGCCTGCGAGAAGGCGTTCATTGGGACGGACACTGACTGCGACACCAAGCCGGATGCCCAGACAAAAATGACGAGACTTAGACAGTTGTGGACACTGCACTATACCGCAGTATGTGGACACTTGTCATGTGCAGCTCATGAGACCAAGGTCGGAGATCACCTGTTCCGACTCCATTGACGATGTCGATGCTTTGTGTCAGTGCGCAGCACCAAAGGTGAAGGACTGATATGCGAGAAGTGCATACAGTATGATGCCGAGTGCACATGCCGAGCACATGCCACGAGTTCCACGGAGAGAGAGAGAGAGATGTAGAGAGAGAGATGTAGAGAGATGTAGAGAGATGTAGAGATGCTTTGGTCAAGATGCTGGAGTTCGAGGATTCAAGCGCCAACCTTGACTATGCCGCAGCCTTGCCGCGCACCGCCGAGGCCCGCGGCACCCGGAAAATGAACGCAAGGTCTAAACTCGACAGGCACTTTGTTTTTTTTCTGGTTCTTGCCACTCAGTCAGGCTGACATGAACTGCCTAGAGTTGGCAGCTCCTGGCTCAGAAGGGCGCAAACGTCAAATTTGCAACATACTCAAGACTATACTCAAGAAAAGAGGGAAGGTCTGTCGTACAGTGTCGCACAGTCCCTCTGCCAAGACATTGTAGTCGGCCGGATCGGAGAGCTCAGGAGTCGGGATGCGGAGCCATCAAGGACAAGGAGACCTGCCTGGGAAGCTTTGGCTGGCAGAGCTGTAGGAAAAGAGGACTTGGCTGGGTTGTTCAGATCTGTTGACGGAATCCGGCGCCGCACTCTGATCATGTTCCAAGGAAGTCGCGATGGAGGCATGGAGTCCCTTCGCGGCCTCGCGATCTACGGCGAGCCCTGCGTTTGGTGCGGCGGTGGGCGAGGGGCTTAGTCGGCTTAGTGGAATGCGGGAGGCAGAGATTATCGAAAGCATAGCGGCGTAGCGGTTTCACTACAGCAGGTATTGATGGCAGGCGTGAGGAAGTTAAAGGAGAGAATTTGAGAATCCCACAACCCTTCCAACGATGCGTGCACGTGGGGCCATTGGCAACATTTTGTGACAGCATTGGATGAATTTGTTATGCCTGCAGACAACGTTTCTCGATCAAGCGTAGTACAACTTCATGTAAATCTTGAATCCCTTGTGTCCTTAGCAAGCAGTGGTGAGTGTGAACTTTGCATGCCGATGCCGTTTCCAGAGACCCTTGCAAGACTTAACCCGCAAAACCCCATGCCGTGCAAGGTTGTGCAGTGACCAAAGTGCCTCTGTCTGCAGTGCCTACGACTTCCTGGCAAATGGTTTGGGCTTGGTTGGGGCCCAAAGAAGATAGTATTTGACAGGGCAGAGCGGTTTGAACAACCACGTTGGCCGCAGGCTTTCGGTGTTCGGGCCACCCTGGCCATGGTTTGGTGATCCTCAGTTTAGGGGATGCTACTCTGTTTTGCATGTTTTGCGCTTGAGGTGCAGAGTCTATTGCATCTTGGCACAGAGCAATTTGCGTTGCTCCTGGCCTGCCAGGCGCCAGCTTCCGTTTCGGCGGTTGCTACGTGCAAGAAGGCTTGCGTGGGTGCGGGTGATGGACCATGGCTGTCCTGTTGCACCTGTCTTGTCGGGGTATGGCCCAGGGTCTTCAACCCACTGAGAGTGTCGGGGGGGGGGGGGGGGGGGGTCTTACGACATTATTCGCAACGCTGCGAGATGCTTCGGCAAGTTGCTGGGAGCCGCCAGGCGGCCGCGGCGCCTGAGAGCGAGGCGCCACTTGGAGCGGAGCCGCAGTTGCTGGGAGCGCCTGCCTCAGCACATCTCAGCACTGGCCACGAGATGCCAGGAGTTTCCAGAAGCTCTTAATACGGACATGTGGCAACGGCCTTTGATGCCCATTGTCTGTAGCTAGACACAACCCTGTTGAGCTTTTAGCTCTGTACTTCAGCAGCTCCATTTCCTAAACCTCCAAGTTTGGCCAGGCTGGAGCGCCCCCTGCTGCCGATGTGCCCCCCTCAACGCCTGCGATGGTGGCAGCCTCGGATGACAAAGTACGAGTCGAAGGGGCCTCCCTCCACTCATCCTTGGGCTTCTTCGGCTCGTACTTCGGCTCGTCCTCGTCCTTCGGCTCGTCCTTCGGCTCGTCCTTCTCGGCGTTCGAGGCCAAGGCGCAGGCTGGCGCTCACCTCAGCAGCCACAGGTTCGTGGTGTTGTTGCGATCTGCTGCGTATTCTGCTTATGCGTCACCCACCACACTGCTAAGGTTCCGGTGCCATGTGCTCCAGCCATCCGGGGTGTGCCAAGCTATTATCTTAGTTTCTTAGTTCTGGAACAAAGTGTGGATTGATGCGCATTGCCCCCGACTGTAAAGGCTCAGTGGCAGCTGCTGCCCGAATGCTGCTGGGGTTTTCCTTGCATGTTGCCCCAAGCCGAAGAGTGTTTCCAGAGGCACAGGGTGCTGGCCGTAGCCATGGCAGCCATGGATGCCAGGTCCTCCTCGACTGTTGCAACGGGATTGAGCCAGTGGCTTTGCCCTCGTCTCCCACACTGGAGGCTGCGACTGTTCGTAAATATGCGCTGTGTTGCATCATTGCATGCTCATCGCATGCTCATTGCGTGATGCTTTCAGACCTCGCCTGCCGCGCCTGGCGTGCCACCCGTGGCTGTGGTGACCGTCCCCCCTTCCGTTGTGGCCGTCCCGCACGTCGTCATCCCCAAGGCAAGGGCGAGATGGAGCGCGATGGGCGACATACAGACATGTGCAAATTCGACTGCGGGAGCCTTAACCTCTTCAATCGAGGCGCCCGGCTCACTGGAGGCACCCGCACCAGAACTGGCGGCGCCAGAGCTGGCAGCACCGGCGGCGCCCGAGTTGCATCTAAGAGCATCTCGCTGTGTCACAGCTGTGTCGCAGTGTGACTGCCGCAAACGTTGGCTCAGCACACCACGCACTGCGCAACTACCGCGACAGTACTGTGCACTGCAGGTCGTGAGCGCGCGCATTCGGCAATTCGGCATCCGTAATACGTACAAGACAGAATTTGGCTTGTGTACAGTATTTGGTTGTGTCGAGCCCCAAATCCCTCCCACGGTCCGCATGCTGCTCAGTTTATCAGCTTTCTTGCAGTATCGCATGCACCAGCAAGGAGCCTGCCAAGCTGACGTACATGGACGAAATGCCGGCCAAGGGCTTTCTCTGGACTGTCATTTGTGGCCGACGCTGCTCAGCCCATGCTTGTGTCTGAGGATCACCTTCCTGGGCCACCCAAACTACCAGAGGTGAATCTTGCCGGGGCCTCGGATGACGCGCTCCATTCATTTGCTTCCCCAGTCTCCTTCTACTTCCCCAGTCCTTCTCCAACATAGACCTTTCCTGGCTTTCCAGCACGCAGGGGTCCCTGGCTGCCAACTGGGTGCCTCCGCGCCCATCCCAGGTCCGGGCATGTTTGGCATAAGCCGTAGCCGCCATGGCCACTTGTAGCATTGTAGCTCCCAGTATGTCCAGGGAATGGCGCTTGGTAGTTCTTGTCGACTGGCCCTGACAGGATCAACTGAAGTGTATGCTTCCAGAACCAAACGGATGCGGCAGCTTGGCAGAATGCAGTTGAACTCGGCGGCGAGCTATGCAGCCATGTCGTTCTGTCTTCCAAGATTGCTACATTTCTCTCCGTGCTCTTGAGGCTCCATTCGGCACAAGCTGATGTGCCTCAGCCGGGAACTCGAAAGAACATGCAAAGATTGCTAGCAATTTTTGCTATAGCTGCGCGCTGATAACCATATCTACCCCCAAGCCTTCTTAAAGCCCTGGTCCCTTTAAAAGCCCTCTCCAGAGGCCGAGTCGACGGCCGCACGGGCTACAAGTCTCATGGTTTGAACGTGGGGGGTGAGCCTTGCGTGTGGTGCGGCGGAGGGCGCCTCCCCCAGCGTCCTCAGGATTCGAGGCGATCGGTGCTCCTCTCTCTAAAAGTGGAATTTGACACCAGGCCGTGCACCACCAACAATGATGCCATGTGCGAGCCATACGATTGGCTCATGAACGGTGAGGGCAAGGCCTCGGCCCTCTCCACCGCTCCACGCCTTTTTTTGGACAGTCACTGCCCGGCTCTGCCTCCAGGCCTTCAACAAGCGGAACGCTGGGAGACCTTGCAGGGGGTTTCGGGTTCCACACCTCCTTTCAGAATTCACATTATCTCCTTGGCCCTCTTCTCTTCTTTCACGAGAGCTTCTTTTGGCTGAAGCATTTCTGAGCAGAGAGCACCGAGGCCGCCTCCTGGCTGGTGGCCAAGTGCCAGGCAGTGAAGAGATGCATGGTGAAACATGTGAAACGCAAGAGGTCTGTATGGAAGTACGGTATGTATGCATGTTTTTTTTATGGGTGAATAAGACATACATGTGTGGGGGGGGAGAGAGACGCAGAGAGAGAGAGGGGGAGAGAGAGATGGGGGAGTGTGTGTTCTTCACTGTGCATCGACGGAGAATACGGACGCATCGCTCGCGCGGCGTGGCTCCATGCCCAGCAGAAGAAGCAGGGAGGGAGAGAGAGCGAGAGCGTGAGAATGAGAGAGGGAGCAGACGCGGGGAGAAGAAGGGGGATAGGGGTGGCACAGCGGATGCAAATCAGAGAGGGAAAGAAAAGAGCGAGGAGCAACAACCGACGAGCGGACGATGCCTCCCAAGAGATGGTCTCATAATCACAGGGTCTTTTTTCGGTGAAATACGGAAGAAGCAGGGCCAGAGACCAACGGGCATGCACAGGGGGTTGCTACAACGACGCCGAGAGCTGAGGATGATGGCACAGTCGTGTGTGAGACAAGCAGCGACTCAAGCACATCATAGAACAGACTCTCTCTGAAAGACGACCAGCCAACACTAGGACAAGTGTTTGGATGTTCGGAGCAGCAGGGTTTCTCTTTACGGCAGGGTTTCGGGATTGGGGATGTTTGTCGGAGTTTTCAGGTCGGGGGACACAGGCTATTGCCAGGACTAAATTATGAGAGATACAGGCCGATGTCATTCGTGACTTAATGGGTGACATACCACATGAGACAGGTGTGCACAGTTTTCCTGGGAGGTTGAAGATTCGGCATAGTAAGGTAGCCCTCCTTCCCGTTTCCCTCGGGCGCTATACCTCACACTCGCCCGAACACAGGGGGTTGGATCTGCCATCACAAACCTTTCGATCCCTCAATCCGACTTCTTCCTCATCCACCGCAGAGGAAGACGGAGGGAAGAGCTCCCTCTAGAGGGATGAAGCATCGCATGGAAGCCGAACACACAAGGACGATTCACGAGAGGGGCACCTCGCCATGATGGAGAAGATGATGTACAGGAAGGGCCAACCATGGCCTGGAGGGAGAGGCCACGATGGCCGCATAGGATGGGGAGCCACTTGCCTCCATCAAGACCGGAGTTTATTGCAAGGGGGGGGGGGGGGTGGTGGAGGGCGGGGGGCAGGAGGAAAACGGACAACGGGGTGGGGAGGGGGCAAAGACAGACGTTGTTAGAAGCGAGGGCGCGACTGAGAGAGGGGAAGGTCGCAGGGGCCGACCTGCTCACGAAGGACTGGGGTTGTGATAGCCTCTACCTAAAATCTCAGAAAAAATCAAAAGCAATCAAACAAGAATCAAAGAAACATCAGAAAAATAATCAACACTCGAAAAATCCCATGAAAATCCAAAAATATCCAGAACACAATGAAAAAAAGAAGCACAATAGTTAGCCACATCCCGGCCCCAAGCTCCGTTTTGTTCTTGATGTTTGTTTGTTTTTTTCTGAGTCTCTGGGATTGGGCAGGTTGTGAGTTGATTTTTTGGGCGAGTTGTTTTTTGATTGTTATTTGATTCTATGTTGTTTTTTGAATAAACCCCCGAAAACCTTCTCCTGTGGGTAAGAGGCCATCACAAGACTAGGGGACCAGCTGAGTAATCCTGTTAGAGCACTGTTTAGCTGTTGCTTAGCTACGGGGAACCAGCAAGTGAGCCTGCGCACCAGGGACCTGGCAGAGGGTCACACACCGCCCCAAGCGAAGTTAGCAGGACAAGACTCTCACTCTGCAAAAGGAGACGCCAATTGGGGTTTTCACGACTTAGAAAGAGTACTGAGCAAATGGGCTTTGCGGAGGAGCTTTTTCAAAAGAGCAAATCGATTGGGAAAAGCTGCCGTGCGTAAATTGGACCTGCCGCTGGCATAGTAGTTTGTTCTGGAGGCATTATACCTCGCCGTTCAGGGCCGGTCTTGGGTGGCTCCTCAAAAACAGCTCCAACACTTTTTTGTTTCGCAAGGTTCCTTCACTGACTTCCCGATATGCGGTTCCCGACTCTCATACCAGCTGAAATGCATATCCAGAACAAGAAGAAAAGCGGAATAGCAGAAGAAGGAGACGATGATCAATAAAAGAAGAAAAGTGAGGCCAACCACGGAAATCTAAAACGGCGTGTTGCGTGTGTTGCCAGGATGATCGCAATGCCGTGTTTGACAACCTGAGCTGCTTGAAGCGCTCTGAGATCGGATGCAATCACATCAAGGCCAGAACTTGAGCTTCTCACCATATGAATCATATGAAGGTATTTGAAGAGATTTGTCTTGGATGTCTTGGGCAGGACAAGAGCCAGTGCCTGGCCAGCATGGATGCCCGCCCCTTCGACGAGGTGGCCGGCTTCAAGGTGCCACGGCACGGTGACTGCCTGTTAACTGCCTTGACCCCTCTTTCACTACCTGGTCACTACTTTTCCCTTTCGCTCCACACCGATCTCTGATCTCTTCCGTAGGCGAGGCACCAGCCCTGCGTCTGGTGTGGTGGCGGGCCCACGCCCCAGCCTACCGCATGCTTCAGCCATCTTCTGCTCCTTCTGCACAGCCTGCAGATGTCTGAATCAGATTGGACTCTTGAGGAGCTGCCACTCCAACAACGACAATGCCTGCGAGCCTTACGACTTCGTAATGAACGGCGCAGGCGACGTGTTTGTTTCACAAAGGCACACGGGGAAATCCTTAGCCGCTCTGCTGTTTCAGGTCAAGCTTTCGACTACACCTATGCTTCGAACACCTACTTGGTGGCTGAGTGCCAGGTGTGCTCCACGCAGTACTGAGTAATGTACTGTCCATGGCCGCTTTAAGCTGCCAGGAGGGCCATGCAAAACCTGGCAGCTATCCTGCTGCCCACATCGATCGAGGCTTGCCCGCGCAGGCGTGGGATCTTCTTTGTGTTCAAGAGTGCCATGGCGTGGGAATGTGCTGCTAGCAAGTGTGGTTGGTTCAGGTGAAATGTGGAGAGAACACTCGCACATGGGACTCCGTTGGTCCTAGTCTCAGTCAAGTTTTCTAGCAACTTGTAGTACGCTGTGCAGGGGCCTGTGGCCCAAAAGTAGCTGCCTCCTGGCATCGTAGCACTGGCAAGGCAAAGTCTGCGGCCATTGTGATGTCACAGTGCCCAACATCAACGCCCTGACCTTGTTTCGAGTTGCAGAATGTTGTATCGGATTCTGACGCTCCCTTTGTGAGGCGACGTTCGTGACTTGTGAGAAGTACTGTCAATCTCACGGCTGGATCCCCTTTTCACACTGTGTCGCGGGCTTGGCAGTGTCCCACAGCTTCTTGCGCACTTTTTCCTCGGAGGTCTTAAGTGCCTGAACTCGGACCGAGCCTTCACTCACAGCTGCGAAGTACAGAATTCGGAGTGCGCAAATCTGGGGCGCAAGTTGTGTGGAGTGGGGCCCTTGGCGCCATGGTGACCATCATGGTGACTGCGGTCCTTCTTGACAGGTACATTCACAACTGCAATCACGCGTTTGAGATGGGTGACTTCGCCCGCTGCGAGTGCTCCCACGAGGCTCGGATCCCCTCAAGAAGACGCATCCGAGACACATCCAACAGGCATTCCAATGATCTGCACTCGTTCCAGGGTCAGCCAAGGAAGCGAGAGAGCCTTTGCAAACTCCTGCTGTAGGCTTCGCCGGCTGGAGAGCAAGGGGCTGCAGCGCAAGGGGCTGCAGCGCAAGGGGCTGCAGGAGAAGGGGCTGCAGGACCAGGGGCTGCAGGACCAGGGGCTGCAGGACCAGGGGCTGCAGAGCAAGGGGCAGCAGAGCAAGGGCCGATGCTCGTGCCTGCCTTCCCGCAGAAGCCCCGGCAGGGCCAAAGCTTCCGAGAGAAGGCCTGCAAGTGTCTGCAAGTCAGAATCTGACTTTTCTCAGGTATGCGCAGTGCGGCGGCAAGCTGTGGAAGGGCACCCAGAGGTGTCAGGCAACACGGCAAGACTCGATAACAGAATGCTGCAAAATGCATCTTGCCATCTTGCTGGAAGCGCACTTTGCAGCGCAGTTGGCAGATCTTGTGTTGCAGGCGGAGAGTCGTTGCGTTGCACCTCTCTCAGAGACTTAGAGCAGCTCAAAGCTAGAGCCAAGCTTGTAGGGACGAGACCCGTTGCTTATACCCAGAGGCCATCAACGAGTGGTACAGCCAATGCCTGCCTGGTGTGAGCTCCCTAAGTTACTGCAATTTCCAGCTTGCATGTTGCCACGACTTGGACCCTTCTATCACCGAGGACCTGTCAAATCCTGACCAAGCTGCCACCGCAGCGAAGGTCGCGGCACAGGCCAGCGCTCACGGAGGTGAAACGAAGCACAAGCATCCTCAAGAATGTGAGCACATACAAAGATGAGTCGTTCGCGCGGTTTTGCTTAGTGCCTCAGCGACAGAGGAGGATCCATTAGACTTGGCTAGAATTGTTACCTAACAGTTTATCAGGCCAGGGGAGGGTTAAAGTGGAACAACTTGTATTTGATGAGCGCCCACTCCAAAACAGGTCCTTCAAAGTCCCACCCATCCCACCCACGAATGATCCCTGAGTGCCCGGGGCGGTGCAAAAAGAGGACTGTGCCCAAGCTGCTGCAGCGTGAGTCCTGAAAAGGGGTTCGAGAAGTGGGAAAACTTGGTCCGCATGAACCACTGACACCGTTGAGGGGCCGAGACGGGCCGAGATGCGATTTTTCAAGGGATGCTAAGGTTGAACAACTTGGTTTTGGGGGATCAAGGGGGCGACACAATCTCAGCAGCAGGCGCAGGGCAAGACCGTCGAGGAGCAGGCTCCCCACTTGACGGCACCTTTTCGTGCCCAGCCTTGACTAGCTGGGATCGACGGATGTGCAGGCGAACTACGCGGGGGATGCGGCCAGCAAGGCTGCCCAAGCGGCAGGCATGGCGGTGACGTCGCAGGTGCAAGTCGCACCTTCACCCTGGAAGACTAGGTGCCGTGAATTATAGTTGACTGATGGCAGGCGACTCGCGCCTACGTGGGTTCCGCAGGAACTGGCGTTGCAGGTGGACTGACAAAGGACCAGGCAAGGGGGAACATGCCGGTGGTTCCTCAAGCGATAGCAGCGCATACGGTTCCTGCGTCTTTTGGCAGGCGGACAAGATCGGATCAGCAGCTGCGAGAGCGGCTGTGAGTGGGGCAGGCTTGACCGGAGACGAGGCTCTCTCTTCGCGAAGCCGCGAAGCGTGACCAAGTCGCGTGATCCTTTGCTGTGGGGGCCTTTTGCAATTTTGCAAGTTCACTCGCTTTTCCAGGCCAAGACCGCAGCGGATGAGGCCCGAGTCGCCGAGTCGCCGAGTCGCCTTGCAATCGCGCATGATGGCACGCGAATGCTTGCAGGCCATTGAGGAAGGACAGGCCGGACCGGGCGAGTTGTTGGTGACGGAAGTTAACTGCTCGTATCCTTTTGCTGTGGCAGTACATGAGTTCGGATGAGATTTCCTGCTTGGCTTCACAGCAGGTGATCGTTTTCGGCGACAAGTCCATAGCTCAGTGCTGTGCGGAAAGCTTCGAAGCGAATGCTTCCGTCTGAAGGGACTGCAAGGTGTAAACCGATGTCCTTTCGTCATGTTGCCCAGCAGTTGGAGCAAAGGGCGGCACCAGATGCTGTCGCCGTTGCGGCCGATACTGCGTCACAGCTGGCCAAGGCAGATCCTTGCGCGGCATCGTTTCGAATCATTTCCATTAGTGCCACTTTGCCCCATTCTTGGGTTGATAAAGTTTGGAGCTGTGACTTGATTCGTGACCAGGACCAGGGCAAGGGTCCAAAGGAGCGCTGGTGCGTGGTACTTTCGTAGAAGACGGGCGAACCCGGTTCTGATCGCATTGGCACAGGTGCACGAACGCAGGACGAACGCACATGCGTGTCTCCATTGTCCGCCAGGATACCTGCAAGGCTGTTTACAAAGCGGCCGCCAAGATGAGCCAGGCCGGAGAACCCAGACCTGCACTGACCTGCACTGATCTCTCCCCTCTGACTCACCCCTCTCTCTCTCTCGCCTTATATTTCTCTGGCTCTGTGTTTTGTTCCTCTCTCTCTCTCTCTCTCATTGTCTTGGTCTTGGTCATTGTCTTTGACTTTGTCTTGGTGATTGTCTCTTTCTCAGATCGTCTCTGTCTCTGATTGTCTCTCTGATTGTGTCTCAGATCGTCTCTGATTGTCTCTGTCTCTGTTCTCCGTGCCAACACTTCCAGTTCTGGTAGGCCTTTCGGGGTGACTGGAACTGTACATCATGGTTTTCTCACGGGATGTATGGTTGTATAACAATGATACAAGCACACAGTGCCGGGTGCTACCCCGCCAAATAGCCGCAAAGCGTGAGCAAATCTCACTGCGTAAGAGGGAATGACAACATGTCTCTGTCTCTGTCTCCGTCTCTGTTATATATATATATATGGGTCACCGCCTATAGCGGTTCCCCTGTGTTTTTGCACATTCCCTTAAACCATCTAACCAAAAATCCCTCAAACTATTATACCATTAAACCAATGGTTTCCCCCATATGAGAATCCCCTTAACCATTAATTAAACCATTAAACCATTAAACCAATGGTCTCCCCCCCCAAACCATTAAACCATTAAACCATTAAACCATACCATTAAACCATTAAACCAATGGTTTCCCGCTTCTGAAAATCCCCTAAACCATTAAACGATTAAACCATTAAACCATTAAACCAATGGTTTCCCCCTTATGAAAATCCCCTAAACCATTAAACCATTAAACCATTAAACCAATGGTTTCCCCCATATGAGAATCCCCTAAACCATTAAACCATTTTCATGGCGGGCAACCAGTGGTTTAATGGTTTAATGGTTTAATGGTTTAATGGTTTAATGGTTTAATGGTTTAAGGGATTTTCATAAGGGGGAAACCATTGGTTTAATGGTTTAATGGTTTAATAGTTTAGGGGATTCTCATAAGGGGGAAACCATTGGTTTAATGGTTTAATGGTTTATTGGTTAAATGGTTTAATGGTTCTCCTGCCGAGGTACCTCTACCGCATCTTTTCTGCTCCTAAAGTTCTGATTCGCAAGCAGTGTCCCCTGTATCCTTTCTGCTCCGAATATTCTGAATCGCAAGCAGTGTCTCCCGTATCTTTTCTGCTCATAAGTATACGTATACTATATGGGATTGCGCCTTAAACCCTAACTCTTAAACCCTGACTCTATAGGGTTTTAAGGTTAGGGTTTAGGTTGAATTGCCGGCTTAGGCTTCAATGCTTCTTTCTTTAACCCTAAACCTGTCAACCTTAACCCTCTAGGGTTGGGGTGCTTACATCATCATCGGATTTGACAAGCTCTGCGGAAATTTCTATATGACAAGGTTATAACTTATTGCTGTGGTTATAACTATGGTTAGGGTTTGATTTTTATACACTTATGTAAACCTATTAGAATCAGGGGAACCCCATCACGCCCCAACAAGCAAAATATCCCAAATACTTTACCTTAGCCAAAATATCTCAAGCAACCATTCCCCGATACGCAACACCTGAATTCCATCATTTAACGATATAGTTTGTGTATATGTTGAATCCCAGCAAGTAGTGAAAGTGACGAGCTCTATATGTACATGACAAGGTTATAACTTTTTGCTGCGGTTATAACTATGGTTCAGGGTTTGATTGATATACATGTAAATTCACCTATAAGAAAATGAGGGCAACCCCATCACGCCCCAATAAGCAAAACAAAACCTCTATCCCAAAAGCTTTACCTTACCTAAGATCGCTCAAGCAACCATCCCCCGATAAGCAAAACTTGAATTATCCTCTTTGTTTATATTTTGAATCCCATGAAGTAGTTTTCAGGACATTCTCTCACAGTATTCTCGCGTCACCGGGGCGAAAGAGCCCTACAAACGTAGGCATAGCCCTGTGGGGTTTAAGGTTTGGGGATTTAAGCTCTAAGTGCTCTGGGGTTTTATGGTTCTATTGTATAGGTAATTAATGCCCAAACCTTAAACCTAAACCTTTAAACCCTATAGGGTTCAATGGTTCGACAACCTAAGGTCTGGGCATGTATACCTTCAGCACCCTTTAGGGTTAAAACCTTTGAACCTTTGGGAGCCCTGTAGGGTTTTACGATTCTGACCCTAAACGAATCAGGGTTAAGGTCTGAATGCCCGAACTTTAATCCCTCAAGATTAAAACTCTTTGAGTTTTCGTTTTAAATGCCTAAGTCCTAAACCCCAACCCCTTACACCTTAACTCTATAGGGTTTTAAGGTTCGGGTTTAGGTTGAATTGCCGGCTTAGGTTTAAATGCCTCAATCTTAAACCCTAAACCTGTCAACCTTAACCCTCTAGGGTTGGGGCGCCTACATCATGATCGGATTTGACAAGCTCTGCGGAAATTTCTATATGACAAGGTTATAACTTTTTGCTGCGGTTATAGCTATGGTTCAGGGTTTGATTTATATACATGTAAATATCCTATAAGAAAATGAGGGTAACCCCATCACGCCCCAGTAAGCAAAACAAAACCTCTTTCCCAAAAACTTTACTTTACCTAAGATAGCTCAAGCAACCATCCCCCGATAAGCAAAACCTGAATTCTATCATGTAACCATATGGTTTGTTTATATTTTGAATCCCAGGAAGTAGTGAAAAGGACATTTGCTCACAGTATTCTCGCGTCATTGGGAAGAAAGCCCTACAAACGTAGGTAGCCCTATGGGATTTAAGGTTTAGGGATTTAAGCTCCAAGCCCTATAGGGCTTTAAGGTTCTATCGTACACGTAATGCCTAAACCTTAAACCCTGAGCCTTTAAACCCTGTAGGGTTGAATGGTTCAAGAAAACCTAAGGTCTGGGCATGTATACCTTCAGCACCCTTTAGGGTCAAAACCTTTGTTCCTTGTAGAGCCCTATCGGGTTTTAGGGTTCTGACCCTAAACGGTTCAGGGTTAAGGTTTAACTGCCCGAACTTTCAACCCTTAAGGTTAAATCTCTATGGGTTTAGGCTAACCGCTTAGCCTTAACTCTATCGGGTTGAACGGTTAGGGTTTAGGTTTCATTGCGGGCTTACGTTTAAATGCCTCAATCTTAAGCCCTAAACCTGTCAAACTTAACCCTATAGGTTTGGGGTACCTACATCATCATCGATTTGTTGCTGTGGTTATAACGATGGTTTAGGGTTTAAAATATATACATTTATGTAAACCTTTAAAAATAAGGGGAACCGCAATAGGCGGACGCCCATATATATATATATATATATATATATATATATATATATATATATGGTCACGCCCCCCCGCAAGATCTACACCCTCCTTGTCTACACTACCCTGCTGCTTGCTTCCTGTGCCGTTCATCGCTCTGTATGTCTGTTATTGTGTACTGTGACTCGGAGGTCCAAGGCGATCCTTCACCAGCGACGGAAGCCGGGAAGTTGGGCGCCCTCAAGGCGGCCAAGATGGGCCTTTCGCCGAAGGAGCAGGTGGACTGCGTGGTGAAGGCTGCGCAGGCACACGGGAGGCAGGGGGTTGACGACGGAGGGATGGCCCCCAGCCCCTGACCCAAAGGAGTACGCGAGGGACAACGGGTTCGAGCCCTCCAAGATCGCGGCCGATATGCACGATGCCGGTATAGCAGCAGCTGCGACCAATCAGGAGGCATGCCGGCCCATTCCAGCTGACATTGTTGCATGTTGAGGGAGGTGCATCGGAGCAGGTTAAGCCTTTGAGCTCGAATTTCGATCGTGATCCGCTTCGGGCATGAAGCAACAACAATCAGTTGGCTGTCTATTATTGCCAGCAACACCGCCGAGTGGCAAGCTCCGTCCCTCGACTTGTGATGCTTTTGAGAAGGCCGCCAGCACCGTGTCCGACAGCATGAAGGCTGCTGAGCTAGAACTTGGAGCAAAGCTGAGCCAGTGGAGTGCCAGGACACGGAAGTGGGGCCTGCAGAGAAGCTGCGCATCCCCGACGAGCTCTATGACAACTGTTTGAAAGCTGGCAAGGCGCAGGCCCCTTCGTGAGACTGCAGAGACTGCAATCGCTGCAGTATACAGCAGTCATTATGCAGTCGCTCCAGTCATGGGCATGTCATGGGCATGTCATGGACACGGCGCTTTTGGAGTCTTGGAGGCCACCATTGCGGAAGCCGCGAGTGAGGCGGCCATGATAGCAACAAAGCTGGGGAAGACCTGGGGCCTCTCTGCTTCCGACACTGCAGAGTCGGCCAGGACAGATTCCTGCGAAAACTACATGGCGCATGTGTTTTCTCACGATTTCCCGATATTTCCCCATCTCCCTGCCAGGAAGTGCGCCTATGAGGCGGCGGAGGCCGCCCAAGCTACTGTGACCCAGGCGCTGAACTCTGAGCAAACTCAGTGTGAAGTCTGTTTGGCCCTTTTTGGCATCCAGGCCACGGCGGCAGGCGAGGCTGCAAGGAGCACGGCAAGACACTCAGAGGGCTTTCGCAGGCGAAATCAGAACCGGCAGCGCGTGGGCACAGTCAGCTGAGGCAGACTCGGCTGTCACTGGGCCATCGGACGGCGTTAAGATAAAGCCCCAGCCCCTCCAGAACATCGGCTCGACCCTAAGATTGCTCTGCTTGGCTGGGGGTGTGCAGGGCTGAAGCTGGATGCTGCTGGTGGTTGCATCTGCATCTTCGTCACCAGGAGAGAATTGCTGGTACTCCTGCTCCAAGAGGCACCTGCTTTGGTCACCGGGATGCTGTTTGGCTACGAGTGGCACTCTTTTGATCTCCAGGAACGGCCTGTGTGCATTCTGCGGGATCGGCAACGCTTGCTGCAAGAGGCCAGTTTCTGGGATGCCGAAGTGTGTATGAGGTGATAACAGCATCATCCAAATTCATCTTGTAGCAGCTGCTGAGCACGGTCTCGTGTGGCTGCAGGGATGATGAGGCTCCTTCGAAAGAGTGCACGGATGCAAGAGTCCCGGATGCTCATACCCTGTCAGGCAGACTTAGAGAGACTCCGTGCAACTTCTGCCCCATGATCTAAGATCACGACCTTCACCACCGATCATCACGAGTGCGTAACTCCGGTGCACCAGCCTTTGGCCTGAGCCCAAGACTGAACACCGAGCGCTGAGGGTCTGAGTACGGTTCAACCGAGGACTTGAAGGATGTGGGAGCAGAAGTTGCCACGGCTGTGGTGGTAGCTGGCGGGTCCAAGACTCCTGTCCCCGTGGTGGTGCCCATCGCCATCGGCGGCGCCACCGCGGCTGGCACGGCTGGCTCGGTGACTGGGGCAACGCCGGGCACAGCCACCGGCTCCACACCTGGCACGGCGACCGGCTCGACGCCGGGCACGGCAGCGACCGGCTCCACGCCTGGCACTGCAGCCGGCTCGACGCCTGGCACGGCGACCGGCTCGACGCCCGGCTCAACACCTGGCACAGCGACCGGCTCCACGGTGACGCCTGGCACAGAAACCGGAGCCGGCTCGACGCCGGGCACGGCCACTGGCTCGACACCTGGCACAGCGACTGACTTCTACCCTGGCACGGCGGGCACAGAAACTGGAGCCGGCTCGACACCTGGCACGGCGACTGAGTTCTACCCTGGCACAGCGGCTGGCTCAACGCCTGGAACAGAAGCTGGCGCCGGCTCGACGCCTGGCACGGCCACTGGCTCCACACCTGGCGCCGCGACCGGCTCCACACCAGCCGGCTCGACACCTGGCTCGACGCCTGGCACGGCCACTGGCTCCACACCTGGCGCCGCGACCGGCTCCACACCAGCCGGCTCGACGCCTGGAGCCGGCACGGTCCCTGGCACTGCGACGGGCTCGACGCCTGGCGCAGAGGCTGGAGCCGGCTCGGTCCCTGGCACTGCAACTGGCTCGACGCCTGGCACAGAGGCTGGAGCCGGCTCGACACCTGGTGGGGTCACCGGCTCGACGACTGGCACAGAGGCTGGCTCTTCAACACCTGGCGCACCAGGAGCAACTGGTTCGACTGGCTCCACGCCTGGCGCGGTGATCGTTTTGCCGCCTGGCAAAGAGGGCGGCTCGGGGACTGATTCGGCAGCCATTTCAGCGGCGGCTGCCGCGGCAGCCGCAGCGGCCAGCGCAGCGGCCAACGCAGCGGCCAACGGAGCTGCCAACGGAGCTACCAACGGAGCGGCAGGGGTGACGAGCCTCGCACCGACAACAGAGGCCAGCGCAACGCTGTCGCCAATTGCCACCCCAAATACCAATCCCACCATTGCTCCAATGGCCGGTGCAACGACCATTGCTCCAATGACCGGTGCAACGACCATTCCAGCGGCTTCGCTGGTGACTACATCTGTTGCAGGAGTAGTCGGTGGCCTGACCACGCTGCCACCGGGTGGCGCCTCCACACCCACGCTTCCTGGCACGCCGACCGGTGCTACGCTGCCCAGCGCCACGCTGGCTCCACTATCACCGTCGACAGGGGGAGCAGGGGGTGCAGAGGCCGACTGCTTGAATCGAATTCGTCAAGTCAACCTTGCATGCATTGCTTGTCAGGCTGGTGACGCCTGGCCCCTAGCAGACTGGGGAACACCATGCAGCGACTCCCAACGACCTCCAAAGCTTCCAAGGAGGCGATCCTGCCGAATCCGATTCCTCCACCTATCAAGGCCAGAAATGCTTGGGGCTTCTACGTATGACTGATGAGCCTCATGGAAACTCGGAAAGAGTGAAAAGCAGTGATAGCAGGCTGGTCTGCAAGTGGCGGAGGAGGAGAAGAAGAACCAAGCCACCGTCGAGAAAGAGGCGACACAGAAGAAGCACTGGATTTAGATCACCGGCTCGTTCCTTCCCACACTTTGCGAAGGCAGTTGCTGCAGCTGCCGCAACTGGCTCGGCAGCCACGGCCTTGAGACTTGAGACCAACTGAGACCAACTGCATGTGCCGGGGCTAGATGGAGCTGTTTTCCTGCTTCTTCCTCCCGAGCTATATGCAAGGCGGTGGGTCAGGACGATTCGCAACAGGATGCCAAGGACATGGCCACGAAGGCGAGTGCCGTGGGGTGACAGGGGAAGATGCTATACCATTTGCAGTTCTTGTTGAGCACATCGCTCTACGGCGCACTGCTCGGCGCACTGCTCAAAGCCAGGTGGCAACCTACGTCTTCCACAAAGACGGTGGCCAGAGTGTCAACGAGGTTCGGTGTCTTGAGTTGTGAGATGTTTTGAGTGATGTCCACAGTGAGAGTCTTGGCGTTGATCTAGGCCAGGATTTCTGCAGAGAAGGCCGTCAAGCCACTTGGCGTGCAGGGCAGTTGGAAAGTAATTGTTAATGCTGCGCGTCGCCCACTTCGGCCCGACGTGCAGAGACCTGTTCGTTGCCAGCCTCAGTCGGTACAGCCGTGGCAGGGCGGTGTCTTTTTTCCCTCAGCGCCAGCCTAGTGTGAGTTCGGGAAGAGGCGGAACAGTTAACAAATCGAATTGGCATGTCGCATGACGACGCGGCGGCCACAAGATTCAACGCGCAAAAACTGAAGCAGAGTGCGCAGTTCAGGTATGACACAGCAATCGCACATCATTCAAAAGGAGCCCATTGAAAGATCTTTTTAGTCTTAGAAATTTTCATTCACTACAAGAAGTAACGTAGCAAAAAGGCCGTTGCGCGTGTAAAGCCATATTGTTAGATTTACCATATGCCCCAGCCGACCGCAATGGTGTGAACATCAGCTGCAAAGAGGGACCTAAGGGTCTCTCAAGAGGGACTTCAGGTGCTTTTAAGGTGCAATACACGGTGCATGTGCGGTGACGTAGTGACGTAGCGGCAGTTCACCGATTTCAGCCCGGCCCTACGAAGACCATCCCTGAAGACCATCCCTGATTCGTCTGGACTTGGAGGATCCTTCCCCCACCTCTCCACCCCCGCCTCCCTTTGCGTGAATCATGCCCACACAGCAGTGAGTGTCACTAAAACTCACTAACATGAAGGAAAACCTGAAGGAAAGCCTTCCCCTTGAAGCTTTGACTTGCCCTTGCCAGTCTCAGCCTCTCGGGATTTTTTCCGAGGTTTTCCTATGGGGAAGCTTCATCCTTTAAATCGCCTTCCAAGATTCCGGCTTTCCAGAGCATTCGTTGTTCTTTCATGTTCTTTCGGGGAAAGTCTTCCCCATTCGTGCCTCTCTGTCACTTCAGGATTGTCCCAGCCACACTCTTCTTCGCCTACAGACGCGCCTTTCGCCTGGTTGCAACGTCTCCACCGTCCTGTGCTGGTTCCCCCATCACAGAACTTGAGCCAGAGAAGCAGGGACCCCGCCTCTCCCCCCTGCTTTGCCAAATTGGCCAAAAGGGGAAGCAGCCATCTGCAGGAGGTGGTTTGATCGAGATGTCCTGGAGAACAAGCATGCTGGTGTTCGACACTTCAAACGGTTTCTGACCAACGTCTTCCTTTCAGCTCCTGAACTTGCACAGAGGCAGCGGCGACCTTCATCTTGGGATTACCGCAAGAAAACAAGCAACGATCACATGAATCGCTTCACCCAGTACGTGAGAGACTCAAGAAGCAACATTCACGAGCAGTATGGTTTCGTCCCGTTTCGGCGCTCCCAACAGAACTGCGCGCCCTGCTCAGCTCGGTTGACTGCTTCATCGAGGCGTGCGGACAAAACGACGTCGAGACCTCGACTGCCATCGTCGTTCGAATGATGAGCAGTGGAGTCTGGTCCCAGCACCGAGAGAGTACGCCAGATTCGTGTCTCTAGCAGCAGCATTCAACAAGAACCACTTCCTTATATCAATCCGACGGATGATGATTTTGTTAGATGTCGCACTCTGAAGAAAGCGCTCTTCCAAGGATTCTTCGCATTTCTGGCTTCCATCTGCTTGAACAGTGCGTACCAGGAATCGCCTGGATGCCTCTGCGAGAACAGAGCGCTCCAGGTAACACCCGTCCGCCACTGACTCGGTGCAGCTGGCAAGGCGGCCAGGTGTCTGTCTCATGGGGAGGCGGGTGGGGGCAACAAGGGGAGGGGTGAGGGAAGGTCTGTCTCTCCGTCTTTAACAAAAACCTCCGAAAATGTTTCATGTCCATACCTTGGGAGGTCAGGGCGAGGAGCCCAATTCCCAGCGCGTGAAGTGAATACCTCCGTTTTCCAATTGAAAAACCCCAAAAGGGGGAGGTTTCCAGGGGGGGCGGGGTCGCAAAGTCCTACTATCAGGAAGTTCGGAATGCCTCACGGCCTCTCACGGGCTTCACGGCCGAGGCCTAGGCGAGTTCTGCGCATGGAAATCGCTCAGGACAGCCATGGATGCCGAGGGCGGTGAGTTCGCAGATCCCTTAGGGCCTTAGGGCGCCATTCTGCTGCGATTGCGCGATATTCTATACGCCTGCGGCAGAACTTGCGCTTTCAGGTCGCCCGAGGGCGATTGACGAACCAGCTCAAGGACATCTGAAACTCTGAAACAGCAATAGGTGCATGTGAAAGCATCGTACTCTCATGAAACTTATTGGACGAATCTGCCACGACTTCAACCTCGTCGCGGATTAGGAGGCGCTTCATGAGCATGGGATAGATGAATCAAATGCACGTCAGATTTCGTTTTTCGGTGCCGGCCGTGCTCGCGTAGCAGGGATGGCGGGGCATGCTGTGCTTTTGTTGGACTCAAGACTTTCTGACTTTAAGCTCCAACCGAAGGACTGCTGGGAGGCATGCGGCGAGAAGCCTGGCTACTGCGACGACTTCTGCGGACGGGGCAACGCTTGTCTGCCACTTACAGGGTACTCGCTACATTGTTTGTGAAGAAAGCTACCAGGTAGGAGCCCTTGCCACCAAGGCTGCCGCAAGACGGGTGACACGGTCGTCCCTGAGGAGTGCACAAAGGCCCGGAACGAAAACCGAGGGCCTTAGTTTCTCTGACTCTGTGGCTTGCATGTCTCACATCTGCACACATGCAGACAAAGAGAACGGACAGAGACACAGACAGCAGGAGGTTTAGTTTAGGCACGGTCGGGATTTTTCGAAACGTCCTCGGCTTCAGCCAAGCTTGCTGGAAAGTCGAGCATGTCAACAGTCACAGGGATCGGGCACGTCGGGTTCGCCGTGGCATCGGGTCGCCGGCCTTGTTTCTCTCGTCGTGGTTGGGTTTTTGATGCCTCGTCGCACGTCAAGAGTTGTCAGCAGTCACAGGTTTGCTGTCTTCTTACGTCTTCTTGTCGAGTCGAGTCGTGTCGTGTCGTCCCATATGTCTCTGTGTCGTGTCCTCGTGACGGACTCAGAAAGACAGACGCTTAGAGACCAAGTGTTTATGATCCCGCCCACGATAACAAAATCCAAATCCCGGAACTCAATTACAACCCCTCAGTCAACAGAAAACTAATCCCGCAGCGTTTTGGGTTAGGCCAGGGCTCCTTCTATAGTTACCAAAAGCCATCCTCTAATTAGCCCCTCCATGAACTCTTTTCAGTGCCTCGCGCAGGTCTACAGTTTCTACACTCCACACTACGAGTGCATCGTGCCCACGGCATGCGCCACAGAGCTGCCTGCATTCTGACATGGCCTGATGAGCTGCCACGTCCAGGTCCCCTACACGCCGAAATCGGTGCTCACTGAACCTTCAGTCAAGGCCAAAGAGGACTGCTTTGAGAGCTTTGAGAAGCTGGTGAAATGTGAGTTCTCTCCACACTGTGATGCGTGAGGATGGCACAGGCTCGGCTGCAATGATGGTGACAGATGAGGGAGCCAAGGAGGACGCCGTTGCATGAATTTGGATGCACCCACAATCATTCACGTGGGCGCAATCAAGCTGCCCAATTGCTGCCCTTCAGAATCCCGAGTATAGCGGTGATGGCCTCGGCGTCTGGAAGTGGATCCTGGTCCGGGACTTCTTTTTTTTGGGAAAGCCTGCTTGGCCTTCTGCAACAGTCACAACAAAACAACTCCATGTGACCAGATCCTCTTCACACTCCTGGCCATCTGCGCCGCATGCATCGCAGGCGCCCAGAGGAGCTTGGATTCGGGTTTACCCGGTTTTTCTCCCGTTCGCCGGACCGTTTTGACATGCCTTTGTTCGCGAAAGAAAACAAAGAAAAGCCGTCACTAGGTTGGGAGCTCTCGAAGGGAACCAGAGCGAGCACCCTCAAGGTCTCGCGCGATGCCGAGGAGCGGGGAGTGGGGAGGTGAGTGAAAGCAGGACGTGGGATTCAAGGGCTCTGAGGTAAGACCTGCGCTCGTGCAGGCTCTGTGCAGGCTGTAAGCTATGTAGCCCGACAGCGTCAGTGGGGACTCGCATGCGCAGGGCGAATTTTCATGAAGTTTCGACGAAGTTCTAACCATCCCTTAGACATCCGGAAGCGCTTGAAAGGAAAGTCCCAAGCTCGACTCGAGTGCCAGGTTTCTGGGCCTGAGGCCGCGAGCCCTCACAGTGGAGATCTGGAGCTGCAGGTGCCGACGGGCCCCACCGGCCCCACCGGCCCCACCGGCCCCAGGGGCTGGGGATTCCGGCTTGATCTGTGGTTGAAACTTTGTGGAGTTGAAAGCATATGGGTGTAAGGTTAAACTATTAACTCGGAAGTATCGTGACGTTCTTTGCAAGACATCGGGCTTCTTGTTTGAGTGTAGGCAACGGTTCCGGTTCCGTCTGAATTTTCACAGTAAGCCCATAGAACCCCAGCCTTCACCACAACGCACGTGCCCAGCTTATCCTTGAGCCTCGCTGCAGGCTCCGCTCGTGGGGGCGGCCAAGCCCGGCGCCGTCAGGGCTGGTGCGGCCAGACCTGCCAGGGCTGGTGCGGCGCCGCCTGTCCCGGTTGCAGGGGCGGCAATGCCAGCGATGGCGTCCATGCCAGGGATGACGTCCATGCCAGCGATGGCGTCCATGCCAGCCACGGGGCCCATGCCAGCGATGGGGCCCATGCCGGCGATGGCACCCATGCCAGCGGTGACGGGCATGCCAGCTTCGCAGGCGCCAAATGCCACAACACATCTTGCACATGCTTCCCCCAGCAGTTGGACCCTGGAACGGTGGTTCCCCCAAATGGATTTTAAGTAAGGAATACAGGGAGGGAGGGGCAGGAGGTGAAGGGGGTTGAGGGTTTAGGAGGGTTTAGGGTTAAAGATGGGTCACAAAGAAAACCAGGACCCATGTCGGCCCGGAAAGCTTCTCTTTGCAGAGGATTTTTTCTGGACCTCCCGAACAGTCGCTGGATCCTGTTTAAGCCGGTGAACGTCTGGAAAAACCGAGAGCGTTCGAGAACTTCCCGTCCAAACTCGAAGACGACGAGGTTTCCGGGCCAACGACGGCAGAGTTTGGAGAAATTCGCAAGAAGAACGCAACAAATCTTTCCCACGCAAGTATAGAGGAATACGTGGAAAAACTCTTTTGAAAATATGGGATGTCCTCAAACAATCCAGAGTGCCGAACCCGAAACGCAAAACACATGAATTCCGAGCCCCTTTAACCTTTAGCAGTCGTGGCTTACAGGATTAGGATGATTGATGTAAGTTTAGCTCGAAATGCCATCAGGTGTCCAAGAACAAGGGAAGGAGAGAAACTGAGAATATCCGATGAAAGCAACCAAAGAGGTAAGTTCAGCCCTTGTTGAAGTCTCCAGGTGGCATCATCCGGGAGGCCGCATCCCCAGTCTGTCGAGTGTCTCCGTCCCTTGCAGCCCACCTGAGCCCACCGAAAGCATGCCAATGTGAACTGGAAGGTATCAGTACATGCCGGCATCTTCCCAAGGCCTGCCTTCAGCGTGCTGCCATGCTTGCATAGCTTTCCCAGTCTCTCCTTCTCTCCTTCTCTCCTTCTCTCCTTCTCTCCTTCTCTCCTTCTCTCCTTCTCTCCTTCTCTCCTTCTCTCCTTCTCTCCTTCTCTCCTTCTTTTTTTCTCTCTCTCTCTCTCTCTCTCTTTCTCTTTCTCTCTCTGTCTGTGTCTCGGTGTGTTGTCAGCATCGTGGCATAGTTTGCGGCTGCAAAACGAGTTTTGTCAAACAATGTGCGCACTCAGTGGGCTTCGTTAGACGTCGCCGAAGAGGTTCCGCTGCTCTTGCCTATATACACCTCACATCTTAGGTCCGAGCTTTCTCGGCGTCGTTATCATTGCGAAAAGGGCATCATAGCATATACGCCACGTGCCATGAAAACGCGCTGCGTTTTGGAGTTTGCTCGGCTAATGCCGAGAATGCTTTTCGCAAAGTGCAGAGTGTCTTCGCTTCTGGGCATTCAATCAAAGCGAGGGTCACCTGTGATGCACGTGCCCGGTAGTCCTGACACAGGCTCCGTGCCTTTACAGACGTATTATACCAGGTGTCAATGCCTGACTTTGCCACCGGCCATGTTTCAGCCTGACATTCATAGGGATAAGTTGTCACTGTTTCGAGTGAAAGGACTCGGCTAACAGCAAAGCCCGGAACCCAACGGAAATGCAACCAGATCCCAGCATCTGAAGGCCACGATCTCTGGAGGACCTCCCAGCAGCTGAATCGAAACCGACGGAAAGTGGCTAAGTTCAGACATTCCTACATGTGCTTTTCCACCTCCCCTCGAGGTTTTCAAATCATACCAAATCCAGCGCCCTGGACAAGACATTTTCCGATCTAGCTAGCAATCGCAGAAGACGCAACCGCAGAGAGAGAGAGAGAGAGAGAGAGAGAGAGAGAAAGAGATAGAGGTGTCACGCCGACTCGATTTCGCGTCACAAGGGCGCGCCTAGTGCGCGGGGAGTAGGGTGAACTTCCCTGCTCCTCAAGCCCGGAAGAAGAAGACAGAGGTGGCGACCGCGGGGCTGCCAACTGGGCAGCGATGCGAGGTGGCAGAATGTAGTGATTCGCGAGACGCGGGATCGGGGCGAGCCTAGGCGCAGGGTTCGTCCCTGTGCCCCGAAAAAAGAAAGAAAGAAAGAAAGAAAGAAAGAAAGAAAGAAAGAAAGAAAGAAAGAAAGAAAGAAAGAAAGAAAGAAAGAAAGAGAGAGACAGAGAAAGAGAGAGCGCGAGATGTGGCAAGACGAATAGCCTGTCAGATCTGTCACGGGGGCTTCACGCAATGGGCTACCCGAGAGAAGTCTCACAGGAGATCGTTGTTCGGGAGCGCTCGCGCGTGGGGAGCCCTTCGAGCTCCAGCAGAAAAAGTCGATGTGGCAAGCAGTCGCCCAACAACCCAACTGAGCTTTAGGTAGTTGAGAGAACGGCGCGACCTTTTGAATAAGTCAGTGCCCTCTCCAGCTCAGCATGCTCACCTGCATCTGGCTTGGACATTCGAGGTGCTGCACCGACTGCATAAAAATGAAAAGTCGGCAAAGAAGGACCCCGTAGGATTCTTGACGATGCCCCTGCCACGCATGCTCGTTTTCGCTTCGATGGGAGTAGGTTTGATGTCATCATGGCTCGGCGATGCGCATCCCATCTTAAAACCATCAAAAAACGTTTCCAATCAAAACGACGTCCGTACGATAAGCAGTGTTGTGCGAGGGATGCCTTGCGATGCAGGTGTGTTCCCAGCCGGCTCGGCGGCACCAGCACTAGCACCAATGCTTTCTCCTGCCGGGCTCCAAATCTATGCCTTCATCTATCGACATTTTAGGGGGTTTTCTGTGGACCCAGGACCTCTTCGACCGCATTGACGCGAACCACGATGGCATCATGCAAAGAGGGGAGTGGGAAAGGGCCTTGCAGGCCCGACACCATAGCAGTAGTACACAGCACGAAGCCCACGTAACTTGAGTGCACTGCAGGCCGGCTCCGTGGCTGTGTCTACCAGTGCTTCGGCGGCACTCGCCGCCCTCGCAAACCAGAGGGACACGCAGAGCAGCTGAAACCCAGAATTACCAACGTCAGCGCAACGACCCTGACAGCCTTTCACAAACAGGCACTGTGCGCAATAGGCACTGTGTGCAAGGAATATCAGATCAGTCTTTTGCATTGAGACGTCGGAAGCGCCAGCTTCTCGATGCAGAATCTCACTTGCTCCAATTGCTTAGGGCTGCAGGCCGCACAAATCACGCGGACTTTGATCCTTCCGCGGAGTTAGTTTGTTATTTTAGGCGCGGGTGTGGATGCAACGTGAGTTGAGTGGGTGTGTGCTGGACATATGCTTCGTGTTCATCGGACGCAGAACTGACTCGGTAGTCAAAAATGTCCAGAGCATCTTGGCATCCAGACCCCACGACGAAGTCGAAGGTTTTTCATTCGGCCGCTGGCCAATATTGCTTTGTGTTGCTTTGGAGCGAAGTCTCCGAGGCACTTGACTTGACTGCAGGATGCAGACCCAGAGACCTTTCCAATGTGGGGGCAAAAGCAGCAAATGAAAGCGTTTTCTTTCTGTGCTTGCCGTTCGAGTCGATGCTTGGGTCGTCAAGATCGCAGAGTCAAACAGCAAGTCATGAACAGTCCTTCACCAAAGTTTGAGCAGCTCTCCTCCGTGGCCATGGACGTCCGCTTCCGCACATGTCCACACAAAACTACACTGTAACTACAGTCGCTGGGTGCTCTGAATCTGGGGCAGCTGCCGCTCTGCGGGAGAAGCAAAGTTTCGCTCCTCCTCTTGTCAGTTTTGGTTGTCCACATTACCTACTTCTGTATCTCCTACCTCCACCCTCGTGATCTCGACTTGGGCGCTTCGCGTCGCATTCTGTCGTCCAATCCTGCAACATGCTGCAATATGCACAATTTGAAAAGCCCTGCATTCAGCCAGAGTGGCTCAGTGCCTTGACGTGCTTCAGGCTGCAGCCTTGCCTATGTGCCTTCTAGATTCCGGAAAGTTGCCGGGGTTTACATGTCATCCAGGAAGCCACGTCAATGACCCAAACATTCCATTCCCCGTAGCCTGCGCAGCGTGAGAATGGGTCCTCAATGGATGCGGCTGCCCGCCAACACCTTGGGTCTGCCCTTGGCTAGTGTTAGGGTGCGTCTGATACAGCACACAAGAGCTCCTTAGGTTTAGGGTTTAAACATATTCGTATACTACTAATCTTATTATGAAGAATACGAACAATAATACGAATCTTAGGTATATTAGTGCTGCAGACTCAGGTGCTCGGCATGCTCGGGCAGCTCGGGCAGCTCGGGCCTCTGCCGATAGAGGCAGCATGGCTGTCGGCCGAGACCGTCCGGCACCAAGCTTCAAATATCGCAGGAATACATTCACACGCGCGTACATGTGTGAAGAAGGGAGAGACGCTGTGCACTGCGAGGAGCACCGCTTGGGGTCGGCAGCGGCCCGGATCATGGAGGCGGCGGATGGTTTCGACAGGCCCTGGGAAGATTTTCTGTTCACAGCTTTACGGGGGGGCATGAGGCCGTCTCGTCTCAATTACTTGAGCATAGAGGACACCTCAAAAAGAAAGGAGACACTAGCAGTTGCACTTTCTTAGCATTCTTGCGGGGGGTTCGCAGCTATCGGCTGGCCCTCAGATACTGATAGGATGGGCGAAGAAGGGGGGGTTGTTGAGGCGGCGAAGCATATCTACTTTCGCTAGGTGGGGCACGGAGTCCTGTAAACACCGGCCCAGAGGGCTATCAGGGCTCAGTTCGCTGCAGACGCCCCAAGCCTCTAAGCCTCTAAGCCTTCGGGCCACGGACTTCCCTCAAACACTGGCTGTGCGGAAGGGTGCGCTCGGAGCTGGCGGCAGCTGGACCCACGACCGACCGTCTCATGGCAGGCGGGAGACACTCGTGAAACTCTCGAGGGTCGAGGGCTACGAGGGCTAGAATGGACCGATCTTGTGCTGTCACGCGCTGTCAGACCTGTCGCTCGCCGACCTGAACCTGCTCCGAGGAGGCACCGGACTTAGCACATGTCTTCACACGTCTTCGCATGTCAAGTCGCATGTCAAGTCACATGTCAAGTCACATGTCTTCACATTGTGTAGTAGCACAAGACGAGGCGAGTCTCAGCTTACGGCACGATTCGTCAACCTGCAGAGTGGAGCCCCCAGTCAAAAGACAAAATTAGGGCAAGCAACCAAAGAGGACAAATATGGCAATGGGGACAGCCGCACTTCGGCGCATGGGAGGACCTTAGAGGATCTGACCAGCATGTCTACGCACTGCCTGCTTGCACCTTGTGATGTATTGCCAAACAGCCAGTCGAGGGTGTACGAGGGATCGCCCGCAATTTGGCTCTCAGAGACTACGAAACCTCGTCCTCTGCCCGTTTCTACCTCAGACGTTCCTGGTGGGAAGCTTTTCCTGATTCGATTCTTCCGGTTCCTCGCACATGACAAATCCTGCAGAGGCTTAGCTAGCAATGGCGACCGTGCCAGTCAACCCGAAGCCGTTCCTCAATGATCTTACTGGCAAGCTGGTCGGGCTCTGAGATCTGCAGATGCCCACTCAAGTTGTCATGTCTACTGTGGCATACTCTGTGTGTGTGTGTGTGTGTGTGTGTGTGTTGCAGAATATCCTGAGGTGCTCACGAAGCTGAAGTGGGGGATGGAGTACAAGGGCACTCTGAAGTGCGCATTCCCTGCCCGTGTCTGTTTTTGCCTGTGTTTGCTGGGATGCTTGCAGTTGTGACTTGAGTGGCTCCACCTACTTGCCTTGCAACAGCCGAATGCAGCCGTGTGGTCCAGAGATGGGCTCTGAGACCGCCACGAGTGGATATTGAGGCCAGGCCCAAGGGTCGAGAGCCGTCGTGTCGCCTAAATCCGTAAAGGAAGCAGAGCACTGAAAGCTATTGGACGCTATCGGACACTATCGTGAGGCGGCATGCGGTTGCTGTTGGTTGCCCTGGTGGGGGGTGCCTGCAGCCAGGAGGTGCGGAGTCCCAAGAAGAGGGCCTGGATCATGGCATGTCCATGTCTGAGGTGAAGAAGCCCATTGTCACGACCGACCTCATCCATGGAACAGGGGAATTGCTCTACGACATGTACACGGCTGGGGTTGTCGAACAGTGTTTCTGCATTGCACTCTTGTATAGAGAACGAGACAAGCACGAGCTGCAGGCGGCATATCACAGGTTCTTGGCCCACCACGTGGACAAGCACAGCAAGTCGGCGCTTCCGGCAAAGGGTTCCTGCTGTGTGTTGTGTGTGGTTGTGTCGTTGTGGTGTGTGTCGTTGTGTGTCGTTGTGTGTCGTTGTGTGTCGTTGTGTGTCGTGTGTCGTGTGTCGTGTGTTGTGTGTTGTGTGTTGTGTGTTGTGTGTTGTGTGTTGTGTGTTGTGTGTTGTGTGTTGCGTTGTGTGTGCGTGCGCAGTTCTGAACCCGTCGGAGAACAGGTGCGAGAGGCCCTCGAGCCCATGATGCCGCAGGACACCGTGATCGTAGTGGCATGTATATATACTGTATTCCAAACAGAAGGTACCTGGTGCCTTAGGATTGTCTTTGACATGAGTCAATGAGGGCTGGTGCAGGACCCTGTGGGAGACCTTTGCCAAAAGGTGGGCGTCGAGAAGCAGGAGATTTTCCGCAGGGTGGACTCAGCTGCAGAGCTGGCCAGCAATGCGCGGGAGACAGCGCAGGCGCGTGCACAGGCTGCAGTAACAGAGCCTGAAGCCACGATGAACACAGGTGCACGGCTCCAAAGTTCACTTGGTCCTGTCGCAAGGTGCCTTCCTCAAGCTTCTGATATGTTCTGTCGTGACCTGCCACGAGCTGTCTTGATCTGTGATTTCCTGGCCAGTCACTCACGCCGTGATCGATGGCTTTGAGACGCTGGCTCAGACTCGGACAGCGTGTGGACTTTGGAGAGCATGTGAGTCTGAGGCGGCTTCTCCCTGCGCACAAGGGCATCATCTCCCGAACACCTGGGGACTTGCTGCTCTTCTGCCTCTGGGTGGTGACCGTGCCTCACATAAACAGATTTGGCCCCGCACGTCCCCCCACCGTAGCCCGCACCATAGCCCGCACCATCGCCCCAGGTGCTCTACATCACTCTGCAGGCCGAACCAGCACGCAGGGTTTCAGGGCTTGTCGATGTCGTGGGACATCCTTGTCCTTGTAACCGGGCCGCATGCACGTCTGGCCAGTGAGTGGTCTGAAACACCTCGAAAAGTGGTCTGCATGTGCCATCCCGATGTCTCTGTGCGGTCGGAGCTCTTCCAGAAGTGATCGAGAGCCATGTCAGTCTGCGAACCGGTCAGGAACTTGCAGTCAGAGTTTGTAGCGACGATTCTGCATCGGCATGAATCCACACTCCGCAGCGAATCAAAAGCAGACATGCGCAGATTGCTCTCGTCGCCTTCCGCATCTCCTGGCGCGTCTTCCTTTTCGGGCTGAAGCTCATGTGCTGTTGCGGCTGCCTTGCGCCTATCCGCCTATCCGCCTGCGTCGGGGCGTGGTGACAGTCTGAAGAATTTCTTCCTAGGATGTTCTGATCTGAAGATCCTAAGGCTGTGGGCTCTGCTTCGGGAGAGGCACACAGCCAGGTGATGTTTGCGCGTCGAGTTTTTTTGTGGAGTGCAGGTAAAACCTCCAGCAGCAAGACCAAAACACAGGCCGGGAAGGCTAAAGACACTGAGCTACTCGAAGCAGCTGCTTCGCAACTTCTCCGCCTTGGCCACACCCGACCTAGGGACTCTACTTCCCAGGGCTTGCAAGGATCGGGATTCGGGTCCAGGTGCTTTTACCAGTACGTGTTCTGGCGTCTTGACGGGGGTGCTCTGGCCGTGATTCATCTGAATCCGGCATGGCTCTTTTGTCTTTTGTCGTGAGTGCTGCCGTTGCTCCGTGTGCTTCCTGCGGGCTTTATGCCCAAGGCAGGTGCATGGTGTCCGGGCCGCGGGCGGCCAAAAAGAAATTGAAAGCCCCGCGCACATTGTGCCGTTGCCGTGCAACTTAGTGCTATAGGGCAGGCCGCAAGGCAAGCCATCCCAAAATCGTCACTCTCTCCCTCAGGGCTCTTTGAGTTTTCAAGTGTTCCCCAGCCTCGAAGGGTCCTGAATAGCTTGAATCGCTTTTCACTGTGGGGCTCTGCCTCAGCGGACACTTCTGATACCGCCTTGGTCTCCTGGCGCAGGGAAATGCCAAGAACAGTGCCGGCAAGAAGAAGTGAAAGGGGGCATAAGGGACTTAGCAGTTGGTCTGGGCCTCGTTCTCCGACATGCCCAGAGTCCACGCGTACTCTGTAGTGAACGGAGTGCAGTGCAACAAAGCTGCACAATCTTGCAAAGTACAACTCCAGAGCGGCTGTTCACACTGTATGCCTAATTGACAATGCTATACGAATTACATAAGATACATGAGATTTACACGACATTCGCATAGCGTATGTGATCACTTATCTCGTAAACTTTGAGATAGACCCTTATAGATGCTTGACCACTACGGGAACGAACTTTCGTTAATGCGATGGCTGCCGAGCCAATGTGAGCAAGTAAGAGACTGCTCCAACTTTGCTCAGGACACTGCTGCTGCCAGAGTTGCCCAAAAAGCGATAAACCCAGAACGCAACTAGATGTGGCTCAAATGTGGGGCACCGTGGCGCATTCTGTCCAACGAGTCCAACGTCCATTGCGCCAGCTGTTGCGCGGCTGCAAAGACGGCAGAGATGGGTAGTGATTTCCAAAAGAAAAGTGGCTGAACGTGACTGACTCGTGGCAGCTGCAACGTACTGGTCCACTAGTGATGTTCTGCAGCTGCAACGGGGAATGACTGCGCAGGTCCATCGACCCATACATGAACCTCCAACTGTGACCCCTGCAAGTTTACAAATGTGCATCCTGCCTTGTTTTGGGGGGACAGCTTGCCGTGAGAGTTGCTCAGCAGGCTGAATACCGAAGAGTGGGTCTGGCCCTCAAGCGCTCGTGGAGCCTCTTCAGATCTCTTCAGCTTCAAGTCACCGCAAGTCGTCCCCAGAATGTGCAAGAAGTTTTTGGGTCCTGTCGGAAGGTTGATGGCAGCTTCCGCGGCAACCTGGGGGAAGTGTTCATCCGCTGCAACAATGTGCCTTGAGAGAACCTGCAATAGTGGGCCAGCACGGCCAAGGAGTGCAGAATCTGGTTCCGTTTTGCGGGGGCTGTGTCAGGTACTGTACATCCGCGGAATGGCTGATGAGGAGTCCGATATGGACTGAGTATGACTGAGGGCAAGGCGACGTCAAGCCTATTTGGAGTCGCTTCTGCGGAGCCTCCAGTCGGGAGGGCAAGCGCCCAGAAGTTTTGGGCAGTGAAAGGCGCGGAGGAGTGCCTTTGACTGTGTCCAGCGACCCTATCACCGCTATGGAGTGCGAAAGAAAACCCGAGCTTTTGTTATCTTAAGTATGCTTTTGGTGATTTTGGACGGTTTGTGTGCAGACGCTGCGTGGCAGCTTGAGCTCCAACCTGCAATTTGTGCCCAGGCCAGGGCGTGCAACTCACAAAGTGGGAGCCTCGCTTTTCAGACCCGCAGAACTCTTGGGGGCAGCACAAGTTTGCTCCGCGGCCGGTTGTCAACGTATTGATTGGGAGGGTGTATTAGCTGTCATCTTGTGCGTGCTCCCAGAGTCCCAGACACATCTTTGAAAGGTGCGAGAGTCGGATTTAGAGCTGTGAAGCATGGTTTGCTCGACTTAGTTTGTGTTCGAATGCCATGCTTTGAGATGCTCACGCAGTAGGGGCCGGGAGCAGAACATAAATGAGGGGCTCGGCTGTATTTTGGCCATGCGACACGGTGATGAAGAGCTGTCAGTCTGTTGTACGCTGAGCTCAGCGCATCTGCACTAAGGCTGTGGCGTCAATGTGCCTCGGCAGCCTTGGCTAAGCCAGATGTTGCTGCAAGAGAGCGGGCCGCTGTGGGGCTGTGGACTGGCTGTTGTTTTTGATTCCTTTTTTGGTGCACATATTATACATATATTTATAGATACATATACATATGCTCACACCCCTCCATGATCTAGGTCGGAAAGCCGGCCCCATCAAGTTCAATTCTCAATCGAATTCGAAATTTAGATTCAAAGGCCACGCCCTTAAGGGGTCTTCCTCTGAGCGATCCTCTGGCCTGATTCGTAATAAAGTCTAATTGACATCTAAATTCTAAGGCCACACTATAAGATATCCTCTTCGGGGCCTCGTTCGAATTTAGATTTGCCTAGATGGTTGTAACATGGTATAAAAAGTCTGCACCCCATGAAATCCTCCTCTGGGGCATGCCTGTTCCTAACATTAGAACTTTCTATTCGGAAGTTAAAACCCAAGAAATCTTCATCTGGGCTTCCTTCGTTTAATTGCCCCCCGCCCCCCCCACCAAGACCTCTGAACTTCAGTTCACCGGATTCCCAGGCAAGTTTAGAATGGAAAGAAAGCAAGATCCGCTGTAGTCTGGCCGGTTCGAATACTCGGCCCTCACCCGAGCCTGGCTCAAGTCCTGGTGGCTGCATTTTTTGAAGTTATCTCCCCAGTGATGCTATTTGAACTTGGCCTCCACGTGTGAAGCAAGTGCTTCTGGCATCGCAATGAGAGCCAAGACAAGGAGCAGGGGAAACTAGAAGCCGAGCCTGTATTGCTGGCTTCCCAGAATCCCAGAGTCCCAAGATTGGCACCTAATAACCTCTCACTACATTAGGACAAGCTACCCCTATGACATGAAACCACCCTAAATATGCTTCAAAAGCTTTCGAAACTTTTTTTTTTTGGGGGGGGGGGGGGGGGGGGGGGGGGGGAGGTCTTAGTAGCAGGAAGAGTTTGGGGTTTAGGGTTTCGGGTTAACGGAGGTACAGGTCCTAGATACTAAATACAGCTACCTCCAGCACCCAGCATCCATGACATGCAGCCGCCTGCTCCCCAAATGTCCCTTAAACAAAGCTCCAAACACGTCTGCCTATGGTATTCTCGTTAGGCAAGGCTCTTACATGCAAAGGCCCCCTTTTTATAATCGTTGTGTAATCTTTGGTACGGCACCTGCTCACACGGCCTTTTTTTGAAATCAAGGATTGCATTTTTTCCATCCCCGTAATAGGATGTTGCAAAGATATTTTACAGCTCTGTGCACATTGGAAAAATGTTGTTGGGAGGCTTTTTTGTATGAACACCATCCGTCATGTTCATGTCGCTAATTGGGAAAATCCCGGAAACTTGTGAAACGACGGTATTCTGGTTTCCCTCGGACTTTCAAAGGCAGATAAATGCCCAAGTCACCACTTCCCTGACCTTTCTCAGAAATGCCGGCTTTCTTCTCAAGCTCCTTTCAGGTTCCAAACAAATCTAGGCCTTTGGAGGAGCTCAAGACACTACATCCTTGAATGCCCACCAAAACTCTACATACAGCTAGCCCGAGAGTCTTAGAGCACCGAATGGCAGATCAAGCGCCTCATAACTCCATTGAGAACATCTAAATCGTAGAACAGCATGGCTAACTTTCAACATATAGACAATGGGCAAATCAACTGAAACTATCCAAAAGGCAGTATTGCCGCTCTCCAGACTGAAGTCTGTATATCCGCATATCTCCATATCTGGATATCTGGTGATGTGTGGAGACGTAGAATGACGTAGAATGACGTAGAATGACGTCGATATGCCTTCCAGGCAACCGCAGCCAAGAGATGCGGGACCTGGATGAGTTGGATCAATCATCGCTCTTGGACTTGAAGGCAGGTGCACTTCTTCGTTCAGACACCTCTCAGACACTTCTCACAGACTGATCAGGACGCTGGGGGCTCCGGCCCGAACCGGTCGAGGACTTGTCGCTTGTGATGTCATGTGATGTTCAGAGTGGTTGTGAATTTGTCGCGGATTGAGGAGCACGGGAGAGGCCGTCGAAGCAGACTGGGACGCAGACCCAGAGCAGGCTGACAACACGTCGGACTGCAGGGACGGCCTGGCGTCCAGCTGTGACCGGGACTTCCTGGAAGCTCCGGAAGCTCCGGAAGCTCCGGAAGCTCCGGTGAGTGTCTCTGAGTCCGAGAACTGGCCGGCTTCTCTTGCGGGCTTGCCTGACGATGATGTTGCCAGCAAGGATGCATTCGCCGAAGATGCTGGTGAGGAACCTGAGCCCGACGAGTCCGAAGTAGTCACAGGGGACCTCAGCCTCCACACGCTGCCAGAAGCAAACGTTACAAGGTCCGAGACGCTTGATAATCTGACCAAACGCGGGGGGAACACTCTCTCTAACTCTAACTCTTCCCTGTGTCTACCTGTTGAGAACATGACTGGATATGTCGTGACGGAAGACTCCCTGCAGCTACAGCACTTCTCCGTGAATGCGGCATGCGCCATCGGCTTCTATGGAGCTGCGACCGTCGCAGAGTGCGATGGACCAGGGAAGCCATACAGGCTGAGTGGATGCAGGCATCAGTCGGAGGAGTTGTGCCTAATGGCAAACACTACAGGCTATCTCGTCACGGAGTCGTCCCTACACCGGGCACACTTTGAGGTCTTGGCCGTTTGTCTTCCAGGCTGGAGAGGCCAGGCAATGGCACAGCCCTGTGAAGACCCGGGCCAACCATACCAGCTGAAGGGCTGTGAGAGGACCGAAAGTGATAGCCATGAAAGCCTCGCGGAGCCACAGTCAGAGCCACGGTCAACACCGTCAGCGTGGCCCTGTGGCTTTGGCCCCGATGACTCTTGGAACGCCGATCGTCTTGCGGTTTTTGTGGAGGATCTCACCGCCTTGGCCACAGACCTGGAAGGTCACCTGCACAAGGTGCAGAGGATGGCCAACCTCTCGGCCTTGCCTCCAACGGACGAGGCCACAGCCGCCAACGCGGCGCTTGCGCGGCTGCAGGCCGCTGGGAGATCGGGAAGCTCCTCTTTGCTTCACCTTGCGCGTCGCCTCGGCGCGCAGGCCGCACGCTTGGATCCCCGAAGCCCCGAGAGTGAGACCCTGCGTGCCTGGGAGGATGTGGCGGAGGAGGCCGAGGAGGCTTTGCGAGAGGCTTTGCGAGCCGATGGGGAGGTGGACCGAGACACGAACACGGCAGAGGCGATAGGGGCAGCGAGAGGCTGTAACCTTCGTGGCGTAGAGGCTGCAGGCAAACGCTTTGAGGAGACCATTCAGGGATTTCGGGGCCAGGTGCTTTCCAACATGCTTCCTCGCGAAGTCGACAATTTGCACAGGGTGGTGCACACTCTGGAAGTGCTGCGCAACTCACTTCTCCAGCACTTTGAAGAGCCGGCACAAGATCCATTAATGCCATTGTCGGATTGTGAGCGGTATGTTTCGGGCGTCAGCCAGCTGGAATCGGACCTTGCCCATTACCGCAGCCTCTTGGAGCCGACGAAAGCTGCGAAAGCCCCGGCAAGTGCAAGGCCTGTGTCGCAGCCACTCAACGGGCAGCTGCCACCGCTGGAGCTGGCGCCCAACATGCCGAGACCGAGGGCAACAGCCACAGGCCTTGTGTTAACTGTTACGTGTTGGGATGTGTTGCGGCAGGGTGCTCAAGTGTACGCCGCCGTCATCACTCAGTGATCTATTCAAATGCTGCGGAATTGTGAATTGTGAGATACGAAGGAGAATTCATCATAAGATTCTCGAAGAGAGACTGCGATGTTTCGCACAGCACGCTTGCAGCTTCCCCTGTTCAAGGTGCTCCGGCTCTCGATGCAAGGCTGGGCTTCCCCGGCCTCCCCGGGCTTTTCCCAGCCAACTGCTCCCAAAGCCGAGGAAGTTGTAAATGAAGCAGGCAATTGTACAATTGGGCTCTCGTGTTTCGTAGTGAAATGTATGATAATGTATGCTTTTGCCATCTTTCCCCCCCCCCCCCGACGCAGATGCTTGAATGCCGCTAAGTATCCCTTCGTTTCGCGGCTCGAGGTCCTTCCGATGACTGCAACATGGATGTTGTGAAGGGCTTCTGGCAGCGGACGCCTCGTTTGAGAGGTGCTCTCACGCGCCAACATGTAGTCATGAGAAGTGCCTTTTCCTGTTTTCTTGCTAGTTCTGCAGCTCTGAAGTTCACCGAACATGTACTGTAGCTGATTGTGGTCGCATACGCTGTCGATTGCTGGAAAAAATTTTGTGATACTACACGCCAGTCTGTCGCAGGCGATGCGCTGCTCCGAGCTAATCTTGCCGGAATGCGGAGGAAAGAGATGCAGTTTGAGCATGTTTGAGCTGAATGCACTGAAGTAGCCGGAGTGCACGTGTCAAGCTGTGATTGATGCAGCGTTGAACAACATACGCACCGGCAGCCGCAGCCGCGGCAGCAGCAACAACGACAGCAACAGCAGCAGCAACGAATGCGAAGAAGTAAACTAGCCACTTCAAGAAGAGACATCGAAAAAAAAACAAGCAAGCAGTAACACGCATCTTCACAAAGACGCGGTCGACTCGGGCTCGGACATGAGGCCGAGGCTGGAGGGCAAACTGAATCCAATTGCAGCGATTCCTTGAGAGCCCTTACTACTCATCGAGTTTGCAATTTCTTTGAAGTCTGGAAATTTTGTTTTCAGGTGACCCATGGCACCATGGCCCCGGTGGAGGCCACTACTGGGCCGCATCTGAACGGAGGAACATGGGGGTTGTTTGAAAAAGAACGCCCTGCCGCTGCTAACTTTTGGCCCAACTCAGACCTTCGAAGGGGCTTGTCGGACCGGGACAAGGCGATCCGGGGATGTGGACTGTGGATCTTCTGTTTCGAATATCCGTGCTTATCCTTCGTCCTTCCGTTTTCATATAGGAGCAGGTGTTTGTGGGCATCTGGTGCATGCAAGGCTCACCTTATTGCCCTGCATCCCCCTCACAGTTCGACGGCATGTGACAGCCCGACAGCCCCTGGCATGGCAATTGATGAGATGAAGTGAGAGCTCCTTTGCGTCATGGGTGGGGATGGCCCGGGCGCCCTGATAGACAACATTGCACTTCAGGCCTGGGTTCATGCGCTTCCCACGTCTTTGTCACGTCGATATCATACTCAGCAGTCTCGCTTGAGTGAGAGTCTGAGAGGACATTGATCGCAACTTGGCAACGGGGACATGGCGGCGATCTCTCTGTGACTACTCTCGCCGCTTCAAAGCCAAAGTGAAACTTAGCCTTGGGGAAGGCGCATGTCAGAAATGGTCTCCCAGCTGTCCCTTCCTACTCTGAGACGCATTGAGACGCATGTTGATTCCCCTTACACGATCCTTACACGTGCAGGCCAGACCGCTAGCGCAACGACGGTGATCGTGTCGCAAGCTGCGCATGTCCAGGGCTGGGAGAGCAGCGACCCGATGACGACAGGCGCCATGGCGCCATCACTGATTGACTAGATGCAAAACATGTAGCAGAAATGGCTGCAGTGTCGGTGGTACAAGTAGGTAGCCAGCAGGACCCCGTCTGCCGTAGATTCCTGAGACTTTCCGAAGATGTGGCAAGCGCCCAGCATCATCAACTTGCGCTCCTCGTGAAGTTAGCTTGGATTCCACCGTATACTTGTGCTCTGGTTGCCTTTTGTGAACCCGTAATCTCCTTGGCATACCTGATTCCGAATGAAATTTAGGCATGTGCTGTCTTTCAGCTTGTTTGTTTTCTCGTCCCGTGAGGTGGCACCGTTTGGGATTCGGCGCTGCTGTTGCTGCACTGCCTCTGGATGGAGGAGGGAAGAGTTGCTGGAGGTGCTGGAGGGGTTGAGAGAAGAGCGGAAGGAGAAGGCTCCAGCTTTGCTGGAGCTTTCTCTGTTGCAGGGGAGGCGGTGTTGGAGCTCGGCGCCGGGACAGGTTTGGTTGGGTTGGCAGCCCGGAAGCTCTTTGGGGCAAAGAAGCTTTTGCTCACCGACTTGCCGCCTCTCTGCCCCCTGCTTGAAGCGAACCTCCGGCTCAATGGCGAGGAAGTTGAGGGAAGCGTCCGGCCTTTACTCTGGCAGGAGGCAGGTGTGAGCTGGCTGTCGGAAGGCCACAGCTACAGCAGGGTTCTTATGTCGGACGTGTTGTACCACCAGCCGCAGTACGCTCCGCTGCACAATGCCCTGCGGGTCCTCGTCCGCTGTTATCGGGGAGCGCAGCCTTTGAAGGTATTCTGGGCACAGGAGGCGCACAACCCCAAGCTGTGCTCTCGTTTCAAGAAGGCTTTGACCAAGGAGGGTTGGGCCGTGGAACTCGTGACGTGCGTCGACGACGGCATGGGGGCCGAAATCTTTGTCTGCAAGCTGGCTGCACCGACCTTTGTGAAGCGAGTGAGGCGAGTGCACAAAAGGAGCAAGAATATCCGCCTGTGGAGAAGGGGCAGGCGGCTGCGCAAGCTGCTTTTCCTGAGATTGCGCTTGCGCAAGAGACACTCATGCTGCACGCGCACACCAGCCCGGGGATGACTGCGACTCATGGCCAACAGAGAGGACAGTGTGTGTGGGAGAATGAACTGCTGACGTGGGGCCTGTGAGCGTGAGCCTGCGCGATTGGGAGACAGAAAGCAGATGAAAGCAGTGGCACTTCTGGCATTGTGACATAGGCTAGCTGCTACTAGCCATCTATGGGCCATGTCCGAGCATTGCCAGGCTTCAAATATGGCTACGGCACGTATACTGGAGCTGTTGAAGGGTGCAGGCCAGCCCGAAGCAGCGCCATTGGTTCCACAGCTCGACTCGCCTCGTTCATTGCCCCATAGGTACACCAGAGACCAAGGACTTCGAGTTGTGCGCCCATTGCGTTCCTATCCATGTCTGAGCATCTCTCTGCATGTCTTTGCAAATCTGCAGGAGTCCGTGCTCGAGTATCGTGGACAGTGGCAGCCAAAGCCGAATGGAGCAGAAACAGGCTAAACGACGGCTTTGTCCACACTCTGCGCGCTGCACGCTGTGCTCTGCAGGACATGGTGTCGTTCCCCAGGCCTGCTTCACCGAGCCTGCAGTCGCCTTCGCTTCATTCGCTTCGCCTGGCGCTGCCCTCTGAGGACTGGGCCCTGGAGGTCGCATCGGAGAACGACCGATGCTTGGCCTCTTTCGGCCATGGCTCTCAGAGATCTCAGAGATTCTCGAAAGTCGTCGACCCGCTCTTGAGACTCTTGAGATACCGAGAGATGGAGGCTGGGCTGGTGGAGCCCAGCTGTGCCTGTCCAACGCCTTTCGCCAAGTCGACGAGCTCGAGGCGCAGGCGCAGGCGCCACCCTCCATGAAAGACCATGTGAACTAGCGTGAACGGCCTTTCCTTCTCGTTCCCTTAATTTTCACGACCACAACTGTGGAAGAATGCTGGGTTCCTGTTTCCGAGGATCTGATTGACAGCGGCGTCTGCACCAAGGACGACGCTGCAGTGCAATGCATCCGCACAATCGCACCTCGGCGCAAACCAGTCTCCGGGCAAAGTTCCGCCACACGTTCCGCCAAACGGCACGTTAAGCGGCTGCACTTCGCCTTTGAGGCCCGGGCCACCGAAGAGCGGGAAGCCCTGATGCGAAGGCGGGGCGGCCTGGGATTTTTGTTGAGTGAATGAGGGGGGGGGGGGGAAAGGAAGAAGCCTCTCTCTCCATTGGGAAAGAGCCGCTCGAAAGGCAGTGGTGCGATATTGACTTCCAGCAGGGGGAAGAAGCCAACAAGGACCCCAAGAAGGAGTAGCAAATCAAACGCAGTTAGAGCATAAAGAGGCTCAAACAAAAATAAGCACAAAAAAAGCAAGGCGTTTTTTTAACTTCAAAGAAAACTTCAGGCAGGCTCCGGCTCATTGCATTGCGCCAGGAGCTTCTGAAACACCTGGAAAAGGACTTCGCCACCCAGCTTGCCAACACGGCCCTAAGGCAGCAGGCCCAGGCCTCAGTTTACAGTTGGTCAGTGGATCACTGTGTATTGGATTGCCGTGTTTTTCAAGTTGTGCTTTTCTCAATGCATCTGTGATTGGCCCCTCTGGGAAATGTTGGCTTCTTCTGAGTAGTTCAGTATGGTTCAGTAATGAAGCAATGAATTGTGCTGCTGGGGTGCAGCCACCGTAGTGCTCTGTAGTGGGCGTGGTCGGCATTGCGGTATCAGGAGGATGCGGACTGCGAAGCTCGTTGGCGCCGGCCTGAGTTGCCATCAAGGACTTCTTGTTGCTTTTGTGGTCGGTTTGTAGAGTTTTGAAGATCAGGTACAACTTGAAGTTGTCTACCGGCGCCCTCGGAGGTAAAGCAAAAGACTGAGCTCCTCCGTCAGACCCGCTTGCGTTCAATCTGGATTTGCCGGAGCGAGTGAAGAATGACGCGGGTGCAAGGTGTATCTCAGTGCCGAAGCCAGCGGCGACGGCCGGGGGCTTCGAGAAAATTGCCCTCAACCCCACAACCCAGTCGTAAACACACTCTGCGCCAGCTGCAAGGCAAGAGCCCAGCAAGAGAATACGCAAGAACTCAAAAAAGTGCTCAAAGTCTGAGACATGCGCCATGACCATGAAGCCCCAAATATACGAATCCCTACGGAATGCCCAGGAGTCGAGCTGGCTGGCCATGATGACGAGTCCGGGCAAGGGCCTCGCCCCCCCCCCCCCCCCCCCCCCCCCCCCCCCCCCCCTCCCCACGCACGCACTTAAAGTCGCTTACCAGATGTTGCTCCGCTGTGCTCGTATTCCCCAGGATCCAATAAATCGGCTACATGTAGCTAAGTTTTACCGAATGGAAGCGGAAAGAACTTGTAATAAGTAGCACAGGGTAGTTGTGTTTCTGTTTCTGTTTCTGTTTCTGTTCCTGTTCCTGTTCCTGTTCCTGTTTGTCTGTTTGTGTGCCTAAAGGGTGCGACTCTGAAATATCTTCTAGCTTTCTTGAGGCTGGCGAAATTTCACGAGCGTTTAGGGGCCTTGGGCTCAAGGCTATTCAGTGCTTCAGGGCCTCAGGCGTTTTTAAGGGAGGTCCGCAAGAGAGATCTGGGTCCATAGGGGGTCCATGGGTTTCCTGAACGGGTCGAGGGAGGTCCTGCTAGGGAATCCCGAGGGCCCTACCGAGGGCCCTAAAGACACCTGAAGTGTGCTCCCGTTTCCTTGTGGGCTGGGCTTTGGAAGCGAGAAGTCAGTATCTGCAGATGAAGCTGGGAGCGCTGATCGAAGGGTGTACGCCTGCGTGAATAGACATGGCCACAAAAGTTTCCGGAAGAAGAGGTTAAAACACAATGAGATGCCGCACTCAAAATTGAGTCGCCCCATCTCGGCGCACATATTTCGGGCTGTCGCACTGCTAGAAGTTGCTAAATGTCTTCGGTCTTAGTTGATGTCCACGAACTTACCGTCCAGAGGCGTCAGCGCTGGCAGCTGGAGTCCGGTGAAGACTGCAGCACCTTGCCCAGATGAGTGGCGATGTTACATCGATGTTACCGTTGGGCCTAGAAAAATACCTCAGGCTGGCACCGGTTGCGGCTGCCTGGACCTCGGCATGGAAGGCTTGCACGGCTCGATGCTGTTCGGCACAGGTCTGGTGGCACGACGCCCGGGCGGCGGCTGTTAAGCGTGGGTCTCTGTTTGAGCTCATGGCATCTCATGGCATATGAGCTAAAGAAGGTGCAAAAGCAGGACTGAGCGGAATCCCTGTGAGGCCGTGGTGCCTTTGGGCGACTAACTCTTTGCGAGCATGACGACGGCTCGGGAAGGCAACGCTGGCAAGCTTGGACCCCAGTGCTCGCGTGCAGCATGCCGAAAGTATGCCGAAGCAAGTCGAGCGCATGTGCTGCAGGTTCTGAGAGGTTCCTCTTCTCGATGTGTGGCCTCCTCGGTGAAAGGCTGAGGACTTCACCTTCACAAGTGAGCCACTCCGAGGTGCTGCGTGCTGCTGCAGGTTGCGGCGATCCCGGCCTTGGTGCGCATCTGAGACACAAGAAGCGAGAGAGAAGAAGAAGAAGAAGAAGAAGAAGAAGAAGAAGAAGAAGAAGAAGAAGAAGAAGAAGAAGAAGAAGAAGAAGAAGAAGAAGAAGAAGACGAAGAGGAAGAGGAAGAGGAAGAGGAAGAGGAAGAGGAAGAGGAAGAGGAGAGGAAAAGCAAAAAGTTGCCTTCCAGGAGTTTAATGACCGAGGAAGAAGGAATGGAATGAGGGCAGCGTTGGCCAAAAGTATGTGGACATATAAGGGCCCATGTTTGTGCCGAGCGTCAGTTGACTGACGGGCCCCAGGTGCTGCAGCGCAGGTGGAGGCGACGGCAAGCCCGGCAAGCCGTTGGCTTCCGAGCTCCGGTGTATCTGCTGCATCGCAGGCGGAGGCGGCCGGCTGCTGCCTAGGCATCACGGCAGGGCGGCTGTGCCTGCAGGCCCAACTTGGGTGAATCCGTGGAATAGCGTTGAATAGCGGCATCAGCTCTTCTGAGCCTCTCTTGAAGTCTTTGGCCCAGGCAGCCGAGGTGGAGTGGGAGGCAGGGGGCATCCCAGTTGGGGTCGGGCTGCCGCTTCTCTCGTGAGAAATAGTGAGTGACCGCAGATCGTCGGCCCTAGTGGGAGTGGCAGGCTCAGAGGAGCACATCAGCATTAAATCATGAAATGTCGTGGCAGATGTATGTGTCCAGGTTTTCAAGGCTTCTTGCTTGGCGTTGGCGACGCGGCTCTGGAAAGTCGGCCAAAGGCACGGGCGGAGCCTGCATGCCAAGATGGAGATGTGAGGCTGTGCACCACACAGGAGCCGGAATCGAGAGCCAGAGACAACCACGACGATCTCATGGTGGGGGTGTGATTTGCCATGTTTGCAGTCGGGGCAAGGGGGGAAGGACTTCCCAATGTGACCTGAAGCTCGAAGGAGATTGTGGAGCGCTCCGCATCCTCCGTGGATTGGAAGACCCTGAGCGAGGAGAGAACCTGGGCTTCGGTTGCGGGATGCGGGGGGATGCGGGGGGCCCTCCCTGCTCAGCCTTCCTCGCGCCTTCCAGGACAGGATCAGCCGCATCTTGGGCCAGAATAGGAGCGGGCGGGAGTGCTCGCACTTATACCATCAGCCCACACACGGAGACGCACTGAAAGTACGCTGTCTCTGCAGGAATCTCGGAACGGCTATTGATCTTGTCGGCGTGAGCTGCCCAGTGAGCTCGCCACAGCCACCTTGGGCATAGCTCGCAATGTGGCGCAACCTTAGGCATATCTCAAGAACTACGAGATAGACAAGGCCGCGTAATGCATTTTTCAATTTTTTCGCATTGTGCTGCGCGGCATCTTCGGAAGTGCCCGTGATAGGCCGACCGCCTCTGCGCCCGCATCGCCCCGCTCTGCCTGGAGCGAGGGGGAGTTTGGCACTTCAAGCTGCGCTCCCCTCAGAGCGGCTGCAACGGCTGCATATCGCCTCGTATTTACACTTGAAGGCTAGCTCGGGCGGGTGAGGCCAAATATTGCAGGGCAGGGCAGGTGTGCCCTTCGTCAGGTCCGCACAAGAAACGCTTCTGCAACTTTGTAAGGCCGCTTACATGGCTGGGCCGGCGAGACCCCATTGCCTGCTTCATAGCAAAAAAGGCACGAGAGCACCACTGGCATGTGGCACGTGCTAGGCGTCGTGTCACCCCAACAAAGGCCAGACACCTGCGGTTGGAGTACGAATACCATTAATAAAGTATCAACACAGTGAAGGCAGGGACTATCAGGGACTCCAAGTCACGCAGGACAGACCAGGAAAAGCAAATACAGATAGAATGCACCGAGACTGTTGCTACTTTGACCGGCACACAGCTCGAGGCTAAACTTCTACACCACTGTGCGAATGAAGCAGTCCAGATACGAGGCAGGTGTTGGACCCTCTTCAACATACGCGGGCAGACTCGGCGACGCAGGAAGCACTTGAGATGTACAAGGAGTACGAAAGCCTCATCAAGTTCTCGCCCGATGAGGCGCGCAGTGTCATGCTGGAGAACTGGCAAGTTGGGGCAACTGACAAGTTTGGGCCGCTTCCAGGCTTGGGAGCTCTATGACACGGTGTACCGTCGAGTGCTCATTTGTCCCTTGCCGCAAGCCAGTCCTCGTATCCGGTCGTTCCAGGCAACTTCGGCTGGATCTACACCAGCCTCCACAACTATGACAAGGCCGGAATAGCAATGTTCTTGTGTTCAGCTTCACTGCACAAATGCTCTGGGAAGGCCCTGGAATACTTCGAGAGATGCGTCAACGTGAAAAAACAGCATGGTGTCAGTGGCCTTGAGGGCAGTGGCATTTTCGGTCTCGTTGTCGCCAACCGCTCAGTTTACTGAGACGAAGCAAGGTCAAGGCCCACTGGTTCGACCAGTGGGACTTGGGAAAGACCCACGCGCGGCTGTCCCTGCAGCTGCCTCACATGATCGCCACTGACCGTCGACCTTCGGGCACCGAGTCGGGCAACTGAGGCAACAAGGTCGGCCAGAGCAGCTGGAAGTGGCGGGCCAGCTCATCGAGGAGGCTCTAGCCATGCACCGTCGGGGACTCACAACAAGAGCTTGACTGAGCAGAGATATAAACAGAGTGAGCCAGGAGCAAGAGACTCTGTGAGACAAGCCTAAGTATGCGTGTTTGAGGCGAGATGGAGCCAGCCACCAAGGGGATATTTTGCGGTGAACACCTGGTGCACGCCGGCGAAGACGTGAGCATAGGCAAAGTGTGTGGTGTGAGGCCTGAAGACCTGATCATGCGCTGTAAGATGCTCAATTCAGCTGGACGGCCCAGCATTCTTTCGAGAATCCAAGCCTAGAGTCGCTTCTGAATGTCGAGGCTGTTGAAAGTTGCCGTGCGATGAGGCTGGAGAGTGCTTCTCCGTTAGGGGCGACTTCTGCGAGCGGCAGGCGCTGGCACTCCATTCTCCCTGAAATTCCAGAAAAGTCCTGCTCACTGTTGCGCAGATTTGTGCAGATTTGTGCAAATCAGTGCAGGCTTAGGGTCCACCAATGTCCGCCAGTGCTCGAAGCCTTTGTTTTTGCATTCGATGTGTGCGCCGTGAGGTCGCCGAGCAATGGTGGGACCGGGCCATCGCGCTGCATGAGGAGTCCTACGAACTCTACATGAAGGCAAGGTATGTGACTAGGCTCTCCAAATGTGAAGTGCTACAGTTTGCTGCAATCGAGGTTCTGGGCCCAAAGAAGCCGTTGACCGGCTGGGCCATGGAGGACCTGGCCGGGGCCTACCAGAGGCCTCGTACAGTGCTGAAAACGAAACTGTCGTATTTGAGCGGCGACACCTCCACGCGTCAGGCGAGGCAGGCTGGAGGAGGCCAAAGGCCTACTTGTGGGAGCTCTCCGTGTCGAGTGCGCCAAGGTGCCATGAGGGGAGGAACATGGCGGTTAGTATTGAGCGTTGGCAGAGGAAGGTCGGGCTGAGAGTTTTTGAGGACATCATCAAGCTCTCCTCCATGGCACGCTTGCTGGATTCCGTGCTGGAGCTTCACAAGGCTTCCTCCCCCTCCCCACCGAGAGAGCGAGAGAGCAAGAGAGAGGGCGACCGAGTTGTGAGTCAACATGCAGGCGACCAACGATCTGGCGGGACTTGCCCACTGCCAGGCGCATCCTGTGCAAATCAAAGCTACCGTCCATGAATCAATTGTCTGATGACTTTATTGAGGATGCCATCAATGAGGGCTTGGGGAACCTGCAGAAGCGACAAATTGACCGGTCGGAGGCACGTTCTTGCTAACAACCGTCAGGGCAGGGGTGGATCTGGGCGGGGTCGCGAAGGCTTGACAATTGACACTTCGACTGTACTGGTGCATGGCAAGTTTCCGCATGGAAACCACTCCAGTTGCGTCAGTCGCATCTGTGTTGTCCAAGAATCGGTGTGTAGGAGCAGTCGCAATGATTCAAATGCAGAGTGTTATAGGTTGTGCTGGGGCGAAAACGCAAGTAACCGAGCCAACATGCTCAGTGGGGCTTCCATTTTTCGGACTCGCGACGTGAGTGGGAGTGGCACTGCTGGAGAAGACTCTTGGCATCTTGACTTCTGCGAGCCCTGGGCAGGCCACAAGCTATGCTGCTCTCCTGCAGAAGATCTCCGAGCTGCTGCGCGCCACCGAGCCTCGTTCAGCTTCATGAGTCCTCCGAAAAGATCGCAGTCTGAGGCTCGAGTACGATCTGGCCAACCGCAAGGGTGCCATCGCCTTGCTGGAGGAAGGCTCGGATCCCAAGCCCCAGAAAGACGCAGTGGCATTCAGATTTTGAAAGAACAAAACGCCTGCAACCTCAAAAGACAGTTCCAAGAAAAGATGGTGCGTGGCAAGTCAGAGCTTTCTAAAGGAAGAAAGGCTCGAAAGGGCCAAAAGCAAATCCTAGAACAAGATCATCACGGTGTGGCGATGGTGACCGCTTCTACATGTAAAGCTGCTGTAGCTGTGGTGAGCGCAAATAACAAGAGCACTGTACACGGCTTTTTGTGTGCACGCACACATGACTCCTTGACATGTTTTCAGGTTTCTGGAATTGTTTTATGGCATTGAGTCGCGATACACCACCAAGCCGCGGCTAGATCGAGTCATCTTGTGATGTCCAGCACCGCTGAGGTCTTGGCTACCTCAGGACAGAAAGCTGCACGTGTTGTGCGCATTGCCGCGGACTGTCGAACTTGCCCTGGAAGCCGACAAACTGGGAGAAGACTTCTCAAAAGGATGGGCTCGACTTCTGATGGCAGCCCGCAGCATGCTCGGCAAGCATTCCGCAGCGAAAGTCACTGTAAAGCTTTGCGCAGCATCGTGGGCTGTGACAAACCGTCACCGTATGCCGCATGTCATTGTGAGGCATGTGGAATCCAAGTTGCCAATGGATGATCAGGCTTGGATGAAGGAGCTCGACTGTGGCGAGCGATGTTGATGAATTCCATTCTGCTAGGAGCATCGGCTGCACATCCCGAGAGCATGGGGCCTGGCAACATCTTTGTGTCAACTTTCTGGAATTTATGATTGCACGAGGGCCGCATTCAGCTTCAGGCTGGACAGCAGGAGATGCAAGTAGATCTGGAAGTGCTGAAGACCGCTATCCAGGACTCGCATTGGATTGCGCGGCTCTTTTTGGCAGGCGTTGAGAACACTGTGGAACCTGCAGAAACCATCAACGTTGCCACTTCTTTCGCGATGGCCGTGAACATTGCGCAACCCTCATGAAGACCGTGGGCAACTTTCTAGGGGTTTACACGAAGGCAATGCACGTCTCACCTCTCAGATCATGAACTACCACAGGCGTTGTGCACCTTCTATTGCAACGGTGACAATGAGCTTTGCGCATCCTTGATGAGGGGCATCATAAGTCAGCATGCAGACCATGAACCTTTTCAATTTCCATCTCGAGCCAGACACAGTTCTACTCGACAGAGCAAGTCAAGTTGGGTCGTGGGTGACTCCACATACGCGCACCCGAACGCACGCGCACTCACGCGCGCACGCACACGCACGCACACGCACGCACGCACACGCACGCACACGCACACGCACGCAGGCACACGCACATGCACACGCACACGCGCACACACACACACACACACACACTCTTACTATTTTTTGCGAGTTTCACTGAGGTCATGAATGTTACGCATAGGGCCGCCACCCCAACAGGACGATCATCCCGTCAAACATCCCCCGAAACATCTCCAGGGATGATGGTCCCCTTGATCATGCCCAGGAACATTTTAATGTGCAGTTCCAATCTGATTATGTTGCTGTGTGTTTTTTGGCTTTTGTTTACTCTTTTGCTCATTGTGTCTGTGTGGACTGTGTGTAAGTTGTGGGCGAGTCTAAGTGTCAGGATAAGTGCAACTGTGGAAATATTTCGGTTTCGAGTATTGCAAGTATAGGGGAAATAACAAATAGATTGATTAATTTTCATGAACCACGATCCAAAACGCATGGCGAAGCAGCCCGAATGCATTTTGAGAGCCCTGGTAAATGCGTTTGGAATTGGTTTTTCCTCATGACCTACCATAGGAGTTTTGTGGGTTTCGCTTAGAGAAAATTGGTTTGTGCTTGGATACAGAAAGAATTGTAGATTCGCCTCGACCAAAAGACCCGTTGGGCAGTTCCAACCTTACCAGACGGGCTTCTCCCCCACAAAGGCTCGCAGGTAGGTGCAGCGAGGTCCCAAAAGTTACCCAAGGTTCCCGCGCCCATTTAGCATCTTGCCGCCCTTTGAGGGGGCACACCAGCTAACCACATTGCGGCTCCCCCAAGCCAAATGAGAGTTCTCAGCACACACCTTCTCAAGCCTCATTTGAGGTAAGAGTTACATGGCAAAGACCCGACGGTGCCCCGGCAGTGTCTCTACTGTATAGGGAGTTTGCCTGTTTGAACCCGATACACCACCTCATTTTGTCTTGACAATTTGCAGCACAGACCGGCAACAGTCTTGGGTTGCCTTGCAGCAGCCTGCAATCTGTCATTCCAAAACAGCAAGACGTCGTCTTCGAGTTTGATTGGGCGATCCTTTTGTGTGACCACCAATGTGCACAGACAAAGACTCGGAGGGGCAGGAGAGCAGATCGTAGTTTGCTGCTTCGAAGCGAAGGTAAATATATGTAAATATTGTAAGGAATTCGGAATTTTGCAAAACCGTGAAGTTCGATTCAAGCGCCAAACTCTGTTGCACATGTGCAGTTGTGCGTTCATGTTTTCACACGTCCTTGGTGTTTTTCCATGACGCCTTACAAAGTCGATGCACAATTGTCGCCCTGGCCCCCGCCCCAAGCAAGTTGTTCCTTTCCTCACCTTGCGGAAAACATTGCCAACTCTCGCATGACATTCTGGGTCATTGGCTCACGACTTGCTCACAAGCGAGATTTCTCAAGCGTGAGATTTCTGGTTCTCCACCGCGTGTCCACAGGAGCAGCTGCAACGTCTGAAGACAGGGATGCCTTGCAGACCATCCCACCTGACGTCCAGCCGGGCAGAGCAGAAGGTACAGCATAGCACGGCTCACGTGCACTCATACGTGCTCCGTTTGTGAAGTGGAACGCCCAGCCCTCGCAGGACATCGATTTCGAGGTCGCCAGGATCCTATCGGCTTGTTTTCCACAGCAGTGCCAAAGTGAGCTGTCGCACCGCTTCTGAGCCTTAGGTTGACGATGACGCCCCTCTCCAAGGGCAGTTCTCGCGCGTCGATTGAAAAGGGAGCCCCAACGAGCACCACAGGAGGAGCGAGGAAGGCATCAGGAGGCGTCAGTGTGATCAAGCGGGCATGTGACGAATTTTGGAGCCAGGTTACGAAGTGCAAAAAAGCGGCTTACAACATGGCAGCTCGTTTACATGGATAGCGAGCTTCATGTGGGGCACGACCGTAACATGACATGTCCAGCATTCACAGCTTGCAACTGCAAACCAGACGGATTTGCGATACCTTGCACGACCTCCAATCTACCATGCAGCTTGTGGCGCTGCATTGATTGGCTGATGGCGGCTGCGCCGCTGCGTGCTGGAGTCGCCCCTGCGATTTGGTTCCAAGTGTGGAATGCGCGCAGCTGTATGAAGCTGTGAAGGTCTGGCTTTGCCGCCAACCGGCACGAAGCGTTGCCGCACTGTCCAGATCTCAGTGAGCTCATGTCAGGTAGGAAAGGCGAAGAAGGGTCCATGGCCAGACCCAGGCCTGGAGATGCCGGGCGCCATCGTTTCATGGTAGGCGGGGATGCAAGGACAGAAAACACTGTAGCCGCGGCTCATTGCTCGCACTGCACAGCACTCAGAAAGGCACCTGCGATCTCCACAACAAGAACGAGGTTCATGTCGTCCACGGCCCAGGATGGCGCCTGTTTGCTCAGATTCGCCTCGTGGCGTGATGCTTACCTGCAGGTGGAGTTCTCGGAGGAGTCGGCGGAAGTCTCCTGCCGGATACTTGAGGAATGTGGATGCAGATGAGCTCAAGCAGCTGGCCTACTGCTTTCGTTTCCGAGGCCGCCAATCTTTCGAAGTCGAAGATGAGGCGAGGAGGGTCGAATGGCTTGAGGTGCCAAGGGATCTTCGTGGAAGCATCAGCAAAGGTAAACTCCTAGCTTCGAGGCTGCGGCCCGTCTTGTGATGGGAGCGTGACAGCTTCACGTTGTAGGTTTGACACCGAGATATCTCAGATTTAGTATCACTACATTCCAATAGGCCTTAAAGGGAGAGTTGGAGCCGAGAGGGGACCCTTATTATTCCTAGTCCCCTGGCCCGTAAATCTAGGGTTCTTATCAGGGTCCCCCAACAGTTGTGGTGGCGCAGGTGTGGCTCATCAGCCCATCACCTTCGGATTCACAGACAGTGCAGCTCCCAGACTATAGAACGTATGAACTCACAGCATGGTGTGCAGCATGGAGGTCCTGACTTCCGGGCTGTGTCATTCCGGTGGGAAGAGCAGCCGCGTCCCCGAAAGCACCGGGGCAACTCAACAGAAGCTTTAGGGGCGCGCGCTGAGTTTTGTTGATACAAGGCCCGAGCCTCCGGCTCATCCGAACCGGAGATGGCTCTCAGGCTTCTTTGGAAGAATTTGGGCCAGCAGCGCAAGTGGGCTGCTATTTCTTGGTGAACTGTAGGTATCCCAGCAGCCGCTGGCCCTCAGTGACGACGACAACCCATTGAGCGCTGCCTCGTCCTCAGAGCGCCCAATTTTGTCAACTGCTTCCACCTGAGAAGATTCCTCTGACAGATCAAGACGGCGCTCTGGGATCCGCATCACGAGGGCTGCATCGTGGTTGCAGATGCAGAGGCAAGCCATGAGACGGCATCCAAGTTTTACGGTGGTGGCCAGTCCACCAGACTCAGACAACAATAAGACCGCACTTGACCTGTCTGGGGACAGCGTGTTTCGGAGTTTCCAGGCAGTCCACACCTTCAACGTCAGTGGGAAGCTCACACGCCAGGTGACCTTGCATGTTGGACAGAGGCTGGGGCACGGCATGACTGGACTCCGCATTGTCATTTGTAGTTCCTAGCTTGACCCGGTGAGCACCCCAATGAAGCTGCTCAGAAGCAGTGTGGGGCAGCCGCTTCTCGGTGCTCCTTGGTGTGGTCGGTTGGGCGCACTTCGTTGCGAAGCATTGCAAGCAGGTGCATGGGAGCGTGCCTCGATCCCCACCACCGGCAGCAGCTGAGTACGGTGGATTCCTCGGACCGGTTTTTGGAGCTACTTGGAGCTCATTTTCAGTTTTTGCCGATGCACGGCTGTTCCAGCTTCATTCTAATGAGATCGTATGATTGAGTAAGGACTAACTCTTGTTTTATCTTGTTTCCAGGTGGACGACGGGCATTTGAAGACCTGGGACCTGCGATCCAGCCGACTGGCCTTCCGCAAGGCGCAGTGCGCAGTGCGCAGTGTCAGAATCTCTTGATGGCTCTTGCCTCTGCCTCGTGGCACTTCAGGATGGTGTTCACCTGTTTGGCGCCAAAGACGTGGACTACAACCCCAATGCGGGGAGACTTGGTATACAAGAACTGGCTTGAGAAACAGGGCGCTGGAGCTGTTTGCTGTCATTGAAGGTGCCATATCAGGTCCTCACGACGGGAGAGGCCGGGTGCACAATGGACTCAGAGTACACCTGTCTTCACTCATGGGTCGGGCGTGTCGTACCAATCTCGTGCCTCCTGCATAGTCGACTCGGATTCGAGAGGATGCATGCCTGCGCTTCTGGGATCTCAGGCTGATGGGAGTTCATATTGACTTCATGTTGAGTTGCATTTGAGCTCATCCCGTGAAAAAACTGTAGGCAGCTGTCCACTTGCCTGCGCAGCCTCTCCGGTGGCCACCACCACTGGGTTTGGGACTTTGCCTGGCTGTTCTGGTCATTCGCGGATTATGCTGATGATGCTGAATGTGCGTGGCTGTGCAAGGTTGTCAAGGCGCGCTTCAATGCTCACCACGATCAGCCTGCCCGGCCAAATTTGCCAACTATGGTATCCAGGATCCGGCACTCCGGCTTCTGTTCCCAGAAGGGTAGTGCCGTGGCAACTACGGGCTATAGGAACTCGCAACATGACAGGTTGGTGCTCTCCTGCGGTACAGATTCCATGGTTTGCCTCTGGCGGGCAACGTCTGCTCGACGCCCAGGGATTCAGCGTTCGTGTCATGCCGCTCACGAGCTTGTTTGTGCAGTTTGTTAATCTTCGTTCTGTTGATTCGATTAGGTAGCTTCGGCTCCACTGGGAGGAAAGCGAGGGGAGGCGCTCTCATGCTTTGGAGAGTTTCCGTCAGCTTCTGGTCCGTCAAAGTCCATCGTCTGAGGAGGCTGCGCGAGCTTCAGATGGGCTGGTGCGGAAGTATGAGGAGCACGAGGACCCGCAGAGAACTCCGAAAAAACCCGTAGAGTGCCCACCCCAGAGAATCCAGCAGAAAGTCCCACCACATCCCTGGAGCGCCGATCGTCAGACAATTTCATTCAGTGAATCTCATGTTGGAGTGTGAGGTTCCAGGGAATACCGCAGATATCCCAGCACTTCCCAAAGAGTATCCCTGGGGCGCAACCCAAGCTGTAGGGCAGGATGTTCGAAGTAAAATGCTTGTGAGACAACCTCGTTGATGTTCTGATGCTGGTTCAGCAAACAGGCAAGAAACTCCGAAGCACCGGCCATGGCCATCTACTGATCAGATGGCCCTAGCGGTTTTTTCCGGGATGCCACGGTCAGGACTCGTGCTACAGTTGCTGCTGGAGTTCTTCAGATGCCTGGGTCTTCGCCTCCGTGTCCTTCGATGGGAAGTTGGTTCGGCCCCCAGCCTCCGTCGTCTGCGTTCACGATCGTTCACGGCACGCCGGCGCACAATGCGCATATGTTTCTTTGAGAAAGCTTGAGGTGGTAAACCGAGTTCCGGATGAGGAGAAGTACCGGATCCTTATGTAACGACAGTTTCACCACGCAAGAAAGGCGTCTGCTGGGCATTCCATTTGCGAGATGCTTTGGGCTTTTGATGTGAATAGACTAGTACTTGATACCATACTGGATATGTCTGCAACTTGCGAAACAGCCATGCTGGCTCAAGAAAGCCCAATGCATCTCCTTCCGCAGCTCTGTCCAAGGCAGGGATGATTCAACCTTCAAAAGCAGTCTTTGTCCTCTCTGTCCTCTCCGCCCTCTCCTCGATTCCTCGAGTGCCCCCTGTTTCAGGGGCGCCCGCCACTTTGCCAGGCGAGCTTGGGGCTCAGGGTATCTCAGGGCGAGGGGGGGCCATAGGCTCGAGGCATCTTGGCGAGACGTGGACCTCTCAGGTCGGCCGCGGAAGTGGACCGAAGGAAGGGTTGGAGAGGCCTGGCTTCACGTGCCCGGAAAGTGGGCGTGTTGCAGCGCGCGCTTGCGCCTTGATGTCACAGGTGGGTGAAGCCATGGCGGGAGCCGAAGACTTTGTTTGGCCAGGGGCAGATACCCAAGCCACTCGGCTGCAAGCACCCGTATGTAAGCCAGGTTTTGCGTGGTTCTTGGAGTGCGGAGGATGCCGAGCCCAGCGCCCCCAGTACTTCAGCGGGCACGCCAGCACCTTTGACGGCCCCAGGGGTGGTGCCGCCCCTGATGCCTGGCGGCTCGGTTCTCATTGTGGCTTTGGCATGCCCTGAAAATACGTCAACATCTATCACTTTACAAGTACGGAGATGCAATGTGCTCTCGTGCTTAGCCTGTGCAGGTCAGGCATAGGCTGCAGTCCGAAGTCCTGTATGTACCGCATACAAATAACTCTCAGGGTTGCTTTGTTGGCACGATCCGCAATGAGGAGTTGTCAGGAATTCCAGTATTCGAGGTCTGCAAATCTTGTGCTGCTTCTTCCTTGCAGGCATGATGATGCCTGGGATGCTGCCGGGGATGGCGATGCCAGGCTGTTCGAGAGAGAGAGAGAGAGAGAGAGAGAGAGAGAGAGAGAGAGAGAAGAGAGAGAGAGAGCAGCTTTGGGTGGTGCCAATGACGCCTCTCTTCTCTTTTCTCACGTTTGGCTCTCACAGGCATGATGCCCGGAATGATGCCAGGCTCGGCTCGCCTGTCACCGGCTATCGTTTGCTCATGTTTGTCACGGTGTACCTGGTACTCGAGGTGCCAACCCGCTGATGATGGCATCCATGATGAACCCAATGATGGCCATGATGCTGGGCGGTGTTGGGGGTGCTGCAGGCAGCGGTGCTGTAGAAGAACAGACGAGGATGATCTTTGGAGTGGGTATTGGCAGGCATGGCTGCCGCAGGGGAGCCCAAGGCGGAAGAGCCAAGCAAAGTGGAGACGCCGTGCCCTCAGCTCTTCGGGATTCAGTGTTGTGCAGGGGCGCTTCTGCTTTTTTGGGGAAACTACAACGTCATGACATTTCATGGTCAAGTCAACAACCAAAGCATCAAGAGAACATCCAGTAATCAGAGTGGACAGAATTTTGCCGTGAGCACGGAAAGTTGCGTGGAGTCCATTGATGGTCAATGGGGCTGACAGACAGCAAGAACAAGCGCAGCAGGGATGAAAGAACTAGCGACTCTTAAATTCATGCGATCCTTGAATCCCACTGACTGATGATTGGGAAGATATGGGCGGTTCACTTCACACCAAATCAAGGTGGCTGAAACGTTTGTCTCCATGCCAGAAGAACCGCAGCTGTATTGTCTTGTTTGCCACCAGTAACAGGACTGTCGGCCGCAGTCGGCGACTCCCAAAGCAGGGAGCTAGATATGGGCAGGGCGGAGGGTTCGCAGCGTGTCATATTGCGACCCGCTGCTTGTAGGCTTACCTCACCTTGCTAAACAACATTCGTAGTATGTTGCATGCATCAAATATGCCGGATGCATGAAGATTTGCAAGTTCCCATACATAGCAATGAATCAATGTAGGTGTGAACGTGTGTTCTTGGGGGAGGGTTGGAGTTAACAACAAACACAAATAAGAAAAGAAGACCCAACGCAAACAAACACACAACACAGACAAATGAAGAAGCTGGAATGCAAAAAAGTTGTGTTCTCTTTTTTGTGGGGGTTGGGGGGGGGGGGGTTGCTTACGACCATGCTACTCTTTTGCAGCGTTTCTGCATCCGGAGGCGCTGTCAGAAGTGTTCATGCCTTTGCGAACATGCCCAAAGCGCTGATTGTTACGTTTTTCTACAACATACTAACCCTTCAACAACCATGCTCATCTCCAGGTAAGGGTTTCGAGTTTGCACTGTCAACCCGAAACCCTGACCATGCGCGACAGACGCGCCCGCGTCCAAAACTCGAGCTTGAAGCCTTTTAAGCAATTCCAAACAGTAACTGAACAGAAATGGACTTCCAAAATGGCAAAGCAAAACCATGTTTCATGTGGCAGGCGTGGTCCCTGAGCCCTCGTACGCTTAACCCATCGTGGGGATGTTTCAGCACACCAATTCCACGATGCGCCCCAAATAGTCGGAATTTTGACGCTAAAATGCAAAATCGAGGATGCGTCTCAATTCCATCTAAGGGTTTGGGTTCAGATGATTTGTGTCTCCCATCGTCTTCCTTTGTCTCCCTTCACGTTAACTACACTATTTGCGCTGGTGCAATGTTAGGTGTTCATGTCTTTTCGCATGTTGATTCTCTGCATCTTGAGGCCCATAGACAATCGAGTCAGGGAACTTTGTCGTGACTACGGCATCGAGGCTCCCAAGCGCGGTGGCTGCTAGACCGGCAAAAAACAGCTCTGTTGCTGTGTCCGTGCCAGGACCGGCTCATGCGGAAACTAAACGACGTCATGTGGCGGGCTCAAAAGAGGTGTCGCGTGGTTCGTGTGGCTATGTGTGGCTGGATCTTCTTACAAGGATGCGGCGGCCGGACACCTTCGAGGAAGACTTGGTTACTGTCCGCTCGCGGCTCTCCAAGGCTGGAGATGCAACTTGTCATGGCCTCCCTTGTTGACCCATGCTGACATGCTGAAGCTCGAAGCATGTGGAAGAGGAGCGCCCAGACATTGGCGTCCTTATAACCCAGCTGGACCGCGGCATTTTCGTCACAAGGAGTAACATCCATCCGGCCGGCCGCCTAATCAGGCCTAATCAGGCCTGAAGGCCTGAAGTGGACATGCGGTCACAGTGGCCACGCAGCTGGGGCTCAGGACATGATGGCGGTGGTAAACAAGTACAAGCTTGATGCCGTCGCCTCAGTCGCCACAAGATGCGATGCCCATTGGCCCTGTTGCAGTGGCACCGCATGGCACTGCAGGATCGGGCAACTCAGCGTTTGGTAGAAAGCATGAGGAAAAGGAAAAAGACGATGCAGGAGGACAGCCGACAAGTTAAAGAAGACGTTGCAACACACGGTGTTCAGTCACAACGTTTCAAGCTCATAGCCAGAACAAGTGGAAGGACTTGAAGGCTATCGATGTTCGCTTGGCGAGTGCTGAAAGACCTTCTGGATTGCTCATGACACTGCTCCAGGCCATGAGTTTGAACATGTTTGAACTGAATGCTGCAGCGGATAGTCATCGGATAGTCATTGCATCACATCAGGGCCTGGATACGACTGGAAAGCTTCCAGTGGCTCCAAAGTCGCTGGGGCTGCCAGGCAGGTTTCGGGTTCTGCCTAGAAAAATAGCGCAAAAGTGACGCACGGCACACCCCCGCGCCTCAACTCTGTCAGAAAGCCTCCGGTTCAGTGCAGGCAGCTACGGTGCGGAGCGAGAGGAACTGCCCTCGGGTATTTGGCTCAGGTTGAATTCATTGGTAAAGCATGCTCTATGGATCCGAGGAGAAGGAAAAGGAGCGACCAAAGGAAAGGGACCGGGACCGAGGGGACCGAGGAAGAGACAGGGAACGAGACGGGGCCTTGGCGTCTCCTGTTGAGAGCATGTCGTATGATGTCGTACGACCGTCTAAGTGTGCGGCCCTTGCTGCCCAAGGACCGTGACAAGAAGCGCTCCCGGTCCAGGTCTAGAGGAAGAAGAAAATGATGTTCCTGTTGTATACATCTCCTCTCCCCCTACAAAGCCGCTGCAAAGTATCGTGTATCCAAGCATCCTGCCAACCATGACGTAGTTGCTGGGCTATGGTCTGCTTCAGCGTACCAGCATCAGTAGGTTGTGACATGCATGGCAGCGCTTCTGCTTACGCGTCAAAAGCGACATTAGGTGACATGAGAGGAGATTTCGGTTGGCGTACGCCGAAGGATTATTGTCTCACTACCACATCCGGATTGAAGTGGATTCTAAACTCAACAGCGCGCAAGTGTGCAACTAAAAGGCGGGCCGCTCCCCAGTGCATCCTTGATGCAGTCACAAGGTGCCTGTATTCCTGCAGATTTGAGAGTTGCCTGGTGCTTGCAAAGCTCTGGCTCATGAATAGTGAAGCAGCCCTGCATGCTTAGAGACTACGATTACGATGCTCACCAGTCACCAGACCCTTGATCACATTTACATCCAACACACTCCCCCGCGAATAGATGACAACAGTACTCAACCACTTCAACAACCCTCTCCAGACTCCAGACGCTTCATCTGCAACCGGACAGACCACGATGAGCACATCAGTCTTGAGAGACATGGGTGACACACAATGGCTTCAGATGCCCCTTGGCTGCGTGGTCAGCTGTACCGAGGCATGCATCACGTTCTTGGCGACTCAAGTCCTTGTCGTTCTCTCCTATGTAGCACAAGGATTCCCGTCTTCAGAGTTGGGGTTCCAGAGGGGTGAGGAGTGCACCCGGTTGTACCCGACATGGTGCGTTTTGTGTTCGCAAAAGCGTTCGCAAAGCGCTCTCGCAAATCGAGCTGTAGTTACTGGAAACCTTTGAGCGTCGCACCCAGGAATCCTTCAACAGGGAGCCTCCCTTCTGAGATCAAGTTCCTGCATTTGGGCATGCTTCACGCTCACGCCTCAGAGGGTGTTTTTAGCTGATGGGTACATCTGCACCATAACCCAGCTGAAATCGCTGCTGCTGGAGGAGGTCACCAGCTCGCATGGCGAAGCACCCGCGCTGATCCTCGCTGCTCGGAGCTCTGCCTCGGCATCAGCTCCTGGACCTGGGCCATTCAATTCATCCATATGAATTCCGTATTTATCCGAATTCATCCGATGAACCCTTGCAATATCTCCTTATTATTCCTTATTCGTCAACCGAATCCCTTCTTAAGGTCATGAAGTTGCTGGGCCAGGCCGCGCACCTTCGGAATCTGTGCTTGTGTTCACGTGTTTGTAGCAGCTTAAACGAACTTTAAAGCCGTCGTGGTGGTGGAGATTTGGACACTTCTTCTCTACGTGAAATTCTGCCTGTTCGGCCCAGGAAGAGGTCTGGCAAAAGTTTGCAGCACTCGATGGCTTCTGCGACGGCCTGCTGCCAGCGGCCAAGCTGCCGGAGCGAAGCGCAGAGAGCGCGGAAGCGCGGAGAGCTCTTCTTTGCTCAGAGACTTTTTGTTGATCGTCTTCGTCCTACTCCGGAGAGGTGGATTTCGGCTGGTTAGGTTGTATGAATCTGGGGTTGCTCTGCAACCCGAACCCGAACCAGAACCCCCCCCCAGATCCCCCAAACGAACCCGAAACCGACCCCCACCTCCCCGAAACCCGAGCCCCCCCGCGCCGTGTGCAGCTTTCCCCGAACCCAAACCTTAAACACCCGCCCCTCCCCTCCCCCCTCCCCCCCCGCAACCCCAACGCCAACCCCCACAAAAACTGCCCTCCCCCAGCGCCAGATTAGAGACTCGGAACCTCCCAGAGCTTTAAGAGGTTTGGGATTAGGGTTTAGGGTTTTGGGGTTGAGGATTTAGGGTTTGGGTTTAGGGTGTTTTTAGGTTCGGGTTTTCGCCCAGGCCAGGGTTGTCAGGGTTTAGGGCGATTTAAATTGCATAGGCCTTGGCCTTTTCAGGGTCAACCAGAAACGGCTTCTACAGATCAGTCGCAAGGAATTCACACGCATTCCAAGTTCTAGTTCTTCCTTTGCTCCCAGGATTTCACCAGAGAACCTTTCTGCACGTCCTCTCATAGAGTCATAGAGACAAATATCAATCCTGGACTGCTTTCACTTTGATGAGATGGGCGAATTGTTGCACGTTAAGGGGTGGCAGCAACGGCCTCTACACATGACCAACTCCCTTTGTGTCAGCCCCGTCAGGTCTCGGTGGGAGCCGCCCTGGGTTCCGGAAGGCTTGGAGGCCCTGCCCGCTGCGTGTTCCACGGAAGTTCCACGGTTCTCTCTGCGCCCCCCAAGAGCTCCCACGAATCCCAGGATGCCGAAGATCGGCGGGCCGCACGCCACATGAGCCTGGAGCGGCTGGAAGGGGAAGAGGAGCGCACAGTCCACGACTGGGCCCGGGCCCCAGCACGGTTTGGTGCCCCCCGTGCTCGTCTGCTCGTTATGCAAGGCCATGGCTTTGGACGGCTTCCTGTCCTTTGTGGCCAACCTGGCTGTCGCTGCACGTGTCCAACACGCTTTCGAGGCCAGGCCCCAGACTCTTTGAGCCTTCTTTGTGGAAAAAACGGAACGAGCCAAACACAGAAGAGATCCGACAAAACGTAGTATGAGTCCTATGAGAGGTTTGCCTAGGAAAACCAAGAAAATTGACAAACAATAAAGGAAAAACCAAAAAGCAAAATAAATGTGGCAAGTGTGCTGAGCTCAGGCCGACGCCCCTCTGGCCCCTTTGGGCCAGGTGCCGGGATGCGCGTTTTCTTGTGGGGTGTCTAAATTGGAGTTGTGTTCTCTCAGGCTTCTCGATCATTGTTGTAGCGAAGTGAGTGCAGTAGTGGCATTAAGGATATGTTTTCAAGAGGGTTTTGCTCCCATTAAAAATGACACTGGGTGTTTGTCACCGCCTTGTGGGTTGTGCGTTTAGCCGCTTGCAGCAAGTCATTCGTTAAACTTGTTTCTTGGCTTAGACGGCTCGCACAGTCTCCTCGCCTTGTATTTTCCTGGAACTGGCTGCAAATACTGGTGCTGTGTGGCATGTTGGAGTCGCAAGACCAGAAGACCAGAAGCACCACCACAGTTTGCAAGTGCTGGTTGCTCCTCTTGAAGCCCCCAAAGCTCTCGGGGCTCTCAAAGGCCACCCAACTCACTCCCCAGTGTCCCCCCGCTCCCGTGAGCGACCCTACCGAGCGCATCCAGACTCCGCCCAAGCTTCAGGATTTCACGAATGTGCTTCAACTTGCTGCTGAGCAACTTGCTCAACTGTCGTAGAGGTCGCTCTCTTTCTCCGCATTTAGTAATTTAGCAAAACGCTACAGCCTTGCGAAGCACCACACCCGAGGACTCGCCTACAACTTCAATTGGTGGACCCTATGCCAATGCCCCTCAGCGCACAGTACCAATCCGCAGGCAACAGCTTGACACCTGCCTTTGCCGACAACAAGGAGCGTCTAGTTCCTTTGTGCAGCCGCCTCCCTGTGTTCACCACACGACGCACGAGCCGTGTAGAGGGTTCTTCGCAATGACGCACGAAGAAGTGCCAAGTTTACAGAAACAGGGTTTCATGAACAAAAACAGTTCTCCACGCAGTCCTCTGCTGCCTGAAGCCGAAAGTTCGTGTTACCTGGATACGTGTTGATGGGGACCGAATTTGCGGAGGCTCTAAAATGTGTTTGGTCCTTTCTTGTTCTTGCCTCAAGGCCGGAGAGAAGCAAGGAAGTAATCAAGGAAGAAGGATGGAAGAACAGAAGTGAGCAGAAGAGAAAACGACAGAAATCAATAACCATAAAGGCACACAACGCAAGAAGGCAAAGAAGAGAGACGCAAGAAATCAAAGAAGAGAGAGAGAGAGAGAGAGAGAGAGAGAGAGAGAACGAGAGAGCGAGAGGGGGAGAAAGACTCCGGGGCAGGCGCTGACGCCCGGGAGCTTGCCCCCATGGTTGCAGAAAGAAGGAGAGACTGTGAGTTATTCGGTCGACAGACTTCACGCGCACCAGGGAGCCGCCACACACACTCAGCTTACACCAATTGGCTCTCGCACCAAGCTGCCTTCGGAGCGGCCTCTTTGCAGGCCTTGCAGCAATTTTGTTGCACTTCCCGCAGAGCTTGCCACCATTTAATCAACTTATCAACAGAAAGTGTAGTCTGCCAAAAAACGAGGTCTACCTGTTTGCTTCTACACTGCTAGCCGCCGGCTTGCTTTATAGGTGGCGCAGATGCCACAGATGCAGACAGGCCAGAATCAGCTGCGAGACTTCGCCAGACCCGCTTCAAGCTGAAGCTAGGGGATGCCGTTCGGAATCAGAGATATGACAGGTGAAGCGCTTCAAGCGTCCGATGGCGAGACGGTGTCCTCACCGTGCGCAAGTTCAGAGCCAGTACACTCTGCGAGAACACGTGCGGGGTGCGGACGCTTGCGTGAGGTCCACGGATCAACCCGTCGTCGCAGCCAAGAGCCCAGCTGCAAAGGCGCCACATGCCAACTCCAAAGTGCGGAGCTAAGGCTTAGCAGCTGAGGTCAAAGCCCTGGTTGTGGTTGTTCCGGACCAGCTGGCCGATTGGCATCTGGAAGGTGGGCTTGAGTCGTTGTCGTGAAATGCCGCCAAGCCTGGGCCTTCCAAAAGTGTCTCAAGTTCTGAAAAGTTCTGAAACCATCAGTCCTTGGACCTCTTCTGCGTGCATTCAAAATCTTCATGCTCTCTGAGAAGGCCTGGTGACAGGTACCAGGTACACCGCTTTTCTCGGCTACAAGATTTTTTGTCCTGATGAGGCTTGGCAGACTGATTTTGACGGCGCGAGCAGCGTGCCCTTCTCCGTGGAGGACCTGGAGAGTGCTTGCGAAACCTCGGATGTTCAGAATGTCATAATGTGATAATAATGTGACCTGCAACTCGGAGGCGATCTCCCGGAAGCTTTCTGGAAGCAGCTAGCAGCTGGCATTCTCGCGCCGCTGTGCCACATCGCGGGATCGCACACGTTCTGAAAACCAAAAAGGCATGAGCATGCAGCCGCTACTACAGCCACGCGCGCTGCAGCAGTGGTGTCTGTCTGAGTGTGTATCGTCACGATGAAGTTTTCGCTGCGGGGCTAGAGAGTCAGCCAATAGCTCGAAACCGAAGGGCAAGGTTCAGCTTCCAAGATCTTGGAGATGACAAAACATGAGGCACGGGCAAGCGAGGCAAGCGAAGCAAGCGAAGCATAGCGCGGCCCGACCTCTGGTCCATCTCGTAGCACACTTTGTGGTCCACAAAACCGATCATGGAGCTGAAAGTTGGACACAAGCGATTGCGACCGTTGAGAGTTGTTGAAGAGAGTTGCATGTCACACCGCTTGTTTCTCAATTTGCTTGCTTGCTGCTACTCTGCCTGCGCGCGGCTGTTGTGCAGCTGCGCAGCGAATGATGATTTGCGTATCGTTTCATGCCAATGTTGCAAATTTGCCAACGGACAGCCAGCGGCCAGAGGGCCTCGTGGTCAAAACGCGTCTTCTGCCAGAATCTGATGCTGCACTTGCAGTTGGTTTCTCGCCTATTGGCAAAAACTTGGATTGTGTGACCATGTGTGACTCTTGGTTTTGTCCTTGCCTGACAAAATGTCGGGTTGTGAAACCCTAGGTTTGAGACGTGTAATCACGCGGGTTTGTTTTGTTTTGCATGACCTGTTCATCGTGCTTCGAGCAGGTGCCTCCCATGGTGTAACTTTTTTCACTTATGGCATGTCGCACAAGGGGTTGTCAGAGGGAGGGAGGACTACATGAATGTTCTTCGGTGGCAGAATGCGAAGCCCGGGACAAGTGCGGTTAGGTTGCGAAGCCAGAGCACGCAGCAGTGCCCCTCCCTGAGCATTCGCAACTCTTGGCTCAAGCGCAGGGCGCCCCTGGATCTACGATCTAGGGCTGAGAGCACTGACGATGAGTGCTAAGCATCTCAAGTTCAAACTTTGGGCATTTGTGGGGACCTGTATCTTCAGCCCTTGAAGCTGGATGATGCTTTGCGAATCTTCGGTTGCCATGTTGATCTCGGATCTGTCGAAATTTCAGTCGAGAAGTCTTCATGCAGGGGCAGATCACAACAACTGCATAGTTCAGCATGCATTCGGGTTTCTTTTTCGTCAAAGCAGTTCTGAAAGTAGCAGATTGCATCGGTGTGTCAAGCATGATGCGGCGGAGTCATGCGGGTGGCCTCCAGCTCGGACCTAGCAGTTAGAGATGTCGGAGAGAGCTGTTCTTGTTTCAGGGGGGATCTGTGCAGCCTGAGGTTGACGAGAGGCATCATGACAAGATCTAGCAGCCTGCGAAGATGGGCAGGACTGGACCACTGGGCGCCATGGTTGTGTTGAACTTTCTGGGGATGATTGCCAGATATTGCAAGGACCCGTCGCTGCTGGGCTCCTTTGTGGTTGCAGGTGTCCTGAGAGCACGAGGGAACCCCTGCAAGCTCGAGCTGCCTTGTCGCCCCTGCACAGGTGTGCCGCACAAGCCGTGTGAGGGGCTTGGAACCCTCCTGCCTTCAAAGATCGTATTCGTTTCGTTTCGCGATTCATCTGAGTCTACTCTTCTACTCTTTCCCATCAGCACCCGGAGGCCGAGCAGTGGAGGCCCTGGCCTTCCCGCAGAGTGCCCCTTGGGCTCAATTAGAGCTCATATTGGAACTCAGATGAATACTCAGTTTCAGAGTGGTCTCAGGCGGTCAGAGGAAGAGGGGCGATATTCGATTGGTTTGTTTGGCTTTTGCTTCGATGCAAGGCACGGAGTTCGCCACCTGCTCTGGTGCTCATGGCGCCGTGCTGTCCTCAAGTTAATTGCCTCTGCTGTGTGCACTCCCGCCACCTTATGGCGCCTTTACCTTCGCTCGGCGCATCACGGCTAGAAGTGTGAGGACTGGGAGTCCTTTCGCCGACAGGTTCGCCAGGTGCCTTTGCCCGGATCTGTAGGGAGTCTTTAGCGAGCAGTGCCCGTACAGTTGCGCCATTGACATGATAGTAAGACGAAAGACATCGCAAGACCCTAAGACTTTAATTTAAGCAAGACCCTCTGGAGTCTCCAGAGGCGGCTGAGCTTGAGCAGTCCGGACAGCATCAGGCCCGCTTGACTTATGCATCTGGTCATCGGCCCCGTCGGTCCATCACAGAATGTCAAAGACAGAAGCAAAGGCTGCCATGGAGACCTACCACTCACTGATGGAAGGATATGCGCTGGACGCTGGCATGGCCTTGCAATGTCGCCACGCTCTTACACATCATTTGGACATCCCTACACGAAGGCTTCAGCTTGTCCGATCGCTTCAGCCGTGAAGGTATGGGTGCCGCCACAGTCTTCTACAGACAAGGGCGACTGTACCTGAGTCTAGGTCCCGCATCAGCATTTTGCCGCACAAGGCCGGGGCTCAGTGAGGGTTTGGCCTTGCGAGGCTATCCGCAGCGGGCAGCCAACTTGTTCCAGCTTGCCGGGGACTCTCGCATTGAAATGATGAGGTCCTTGTTGCTACAAGAGTACCAGTGGCCTAGGCGATGAGCATGTTCTGGGACGCCTCTCGGGCCGAGAACGGTATGGCTTGCCTTCAATACGAGATGTGGGGCATCAGGCTTTGTGGCCTCGTGTGTTGACGACTTCTGACCCGGGGATAGCTGCACGTAGCCACACATAGCTGCACAAGGTGGTTGGACGATTTCATGGAGACCTACTTAAGCAACGCGGCGAACTTGCGGCGAAACTACTTGGACATGCTACCGTCACCGGGCCTCACTGATCTCATCCTCCAAGCAGTTGCATGACAGCGTGCCCACGCCTTCCCCCTTGTAGTCGCTCACTGACCTTCCAGGCACTTGAAGGACCTGCAGGTGCGTCGGTGCCGTGCAGTGCCATGCAGTGCCGCGCGACAGGGAACATAGCATGTGCTTTGGAATTGTGATTTGGAGCAGGTGCCTCCAAATTATCGTGACCCTTCCCTTCGCATCGGTGTCTTCTCCTTGTGCGACTACTCACCGGAGTCTCCCATGTATTGGCTGTCGGTCCCTGAGTCGCGCATCGTGTGCAGCCTTGGACTTTGTTGTTGGTATCATTTTGGGGGATTTGTTTTGGTTTGATTTCTTTGGGTTGTCATTGGACTTCCTCCTTTCTTTGGAGATCTCCCATTCGTTAAAGTGTCAGAGGAGTATTCAGCAATGGTATACCGGAAGCGCGGAGGAAGGAAGGCACAAAGAAGAAAGGAAAGCTAAAGACCAGCTAAGTAGCAAGTAGAAAATATGAAGACAAGGCAACAATGTCACTCGAGGCCTGGATTGTTTAGGGCGAGGGGGAGGGGGGGAGGGGGTCCATCACAAACCCAACGCCGCGAAATGCTGGAATTGTGACAGCCTGAAGTTGAACCCTCGAGAATGCTGCAAGCTACAAAGCGTTTCGGAGCCGTCGAACACAAAATCGAAGAGTGCTTGGAGCGGTCGAGCACCTCGTGAGAGTTAACATATTCTAAGTCATGGGCACGGTGTCTATCCTCCCCTTTTTGGCCCAAAGAAGTGTGGCGCTTGAAGGTTGAGCCGGTCGCGCCAGAACCGGGAGGCTTATTGCTCGAGACATGGATATGGCCTAGCTCGAGCCTCGACTGGACCTGCCACTGCCAGTGCCGGTTTCGATCTAGCTGATTTCTATGAAGCTGTACATAGCGGTACCCTTCGCGACGAGGAGTGGACGTCGCAGAGGCCCTCGTCTTCAAAGGCGGAAAGCAGACAGCCAGCGCAGGTTCCTCGGTGCCATGTGGCCTTGTTGCCCTTGCCAGGGCCGGCACCCAGTTTGGGGGCAAATCGCTGGACCCTTGGAACTGCTGGAGGCTGAGTTGAGGGCCCGAGAGTAAAGACTTCTGGCCCAGGAAGCTCCGAAAGCTCCGAACTGCTGAGGCTGGGCGAGGGTGGGATGTATGCCGTGGTCCCAGTGGTTTTGGAAGATGCTTACAACCTATTACGTGCATGAGCCAAGGACTGGGTAGTGTCCATGGACTGTGACTCCTTGTTCGTGGACATGACAGTACGGGGCCTAAGAGGTCTAAGAGGTCTTTAGAGTCCAGAGTCCGCTTAAATTTTGGTCAAAAAGTCGACCAGGTCACGGTCGACTCCTTGCTGTACCGCTTTGCATCTCGAGCCACCCCATGGGGAAAGTTGGAGATTGATCCGAACGTGCACTTTCTCATCTCGGAGGCCATGTTGCATCCAAGGGAGTCCGGTCACAGCTGTTCATGAGTTGTCTTTAGGATGGCCGTGGATTGGCGGGTGGCCTGGGCACGTTGAGAATCTGAGAAGTTGCATCAATTCGCGATGCTTGTTTGCCGAACTGCAAAGAAGGCGGCAACTGGATCGTTCGCAACTCCCGAGAAGGCTCGGGGTGCAAAACAATGGTCAGAATGGCTCCCTTCCAGAAGTGTCACATTGAGGGCGAACGTTCCTGAGCGAGATATTCGGGCCTGATGATGTCAGCCAGAACCCATACATGAGGTCGGCAATGGGGAACACGGATCAACGGCGCTTGTAAATCCTGACTTCCCTGATTCAAGGCACGACCTACGCGATCAATTCTCACTACTTTGGCATCTAGCTGTTGCCTGAGAGGTCCTTCGTGGTTGCTTTGAACTATCCAACAATTGTGCACCAGTCCAGCAGAGCCAGGAGATCGGAGTAATGACATTGCCCGGAACATTTGCACAACGCCGTGACTCTGAACTTGGGAGGTTGAGGTTTGGAGTTGCGGAAACAGCACAACTCAAATTGCACCCGAAACGAGGTGCGGCCTGGGGTTTCGGTGCCCATGCCGATGGAAGATGCACTGTCTAGGCTCCAGGCTCAGTCTCATTTTGCCTTCGGAGCTCTTGGCCCAAAGCACGCTCATAGCTTGAATCACCGTACCATAGCGGGGCCTCATGCGCTGGTGTCCCAAAATATCATCTTCCAATATCTTCCATAGAAACCACGACGTAACGGCTTCAGAGGCCGGTGGCGCCCAAGTCCTGGGAGGAGGTTGGCTACCTGAAGCTGGCACGGCTGGTTCCGCAGGAAATGGCAAACATGGCACTGAACTGACCACGCCACGCGCAAAGCACCAAGATTTTGCTAGGACTTGCTTCTTGGCCTCTGCCTCGTCATCTTCATGCCTCCGCGGATCGCCGAAACATTCCCCGAAAAGTTCGAGTCTGACCTTGCCAAGGCTCCTACCCTTTCGTCAGCTGTTCCCAGCCTGGGGCACGGGCCCTACAACGAGCCGCAATGGGCTGTACAACTGCTGTACATCCTGACTGTTGACTCTGACTTGCGCTGGAGGATCGGGCACATCGCTGCTTTGGCGACGGTCCCAAAGATAAGGACTTCATCGTCTCTGTGCCACTGCCCCTCGGAACCTACAGTACTCTGAGGGCCTCGAAATCCTCAGTGAATGCTTTTAATGTTTGTGCGATTGATTTGAGGCACCCTCAGTTGCCCTCCACCCCCCACCCCAACATCCCCCAACCCCCTCGCTTGCCTAGATTCAAAAGAGATGTACGAAACGTAACACAAAAAGTCCAAACTAATTCTTGGCCCTTAAATTGAAAAGTTGTTGGGGTCGATGAGAGCCTGACGTTGAGAGGCATTGCAGTACAATTTAATGTCTACGATATCAGTGATACACGCATAGTTCTCTTTGAAGGTTGGGCGCGCTGCCCGCTCAGCTGGCGCAAGTGCTTCTGGATCGCTTCCTCCTGGAGAGCCTCGGTTCCTTCGGGCAACCGGTGGCCTCGACATGCATTTGATTCATTTCATTCTGCCTGAGTTTGTTGATGCCTTTTGCCACGCCTTCTGCGTTTTGCCTTGACTTTTGCCAAGTTGAAGCCAGGCATACGAACAGGAGCTGCGAGGCATGTGCCTGACCGCGGATGTCTCCCGTTGCCTGGCCACAAGCCAAGAACGTGAGGGTGGCCTTTAAGCCACACATGTCGCACTGAAAGATTGAGGTCGGTGAGTCAGCGGGCCCCCGGTGACATCGCTTTGAAAAAGACTCGAAGCATTCCGCTGGAGTTCCGAAGTTAGTGTCAAGCTCAAGGTTGCTTCTGCAACATGTCTTGTGGCGTTTTCTGATGTCTTATGAGGTTCTTTATGGCTGTGGGCTCCCAGCTCGAAGTGTAGTGTGACAGGGCCACTATGATGTACGCAAAGCGTCCGGCCTTCTCATTAACAAATGGCAGAACGCGCAAGGGAAAGGGGGAGGGCAAAGACGTGAAAGACGGCAGAAAGCTAGAGAAGGAGCAGCCGCAGGCTGTGCGAAGCAAGTCTCTGGCAGAGCTGCTCGAAGAAGAGGAGTCTGGCCACGGACCCAAACTGGAAGAGGCGTTGCTGGCGGTTTTCCGGCTGATCGACGCCGATAATGGCGGCTCCATCTCTAAGCTTGAGTTCATTGGAGCCGTGTACCGACATGCATTAGTTGCCTCGTTTGTTTTGCAAGGTCACGGTTTGTGCCCTGAGTTGCAAAGTGACTCAAGCGGTCAAGTGGCAATAAATGAGCAGAGCTTCGATGCAGTGGACGAGGTCTTCGACAGCATGTCTGGCGGAAGCGCGAGGGTCAGGTACCCCGAGTTTGCAGCTTACTTCCGCAGAGTAGCAAATGTGTGTCTCGCAGCACAGACAGAGGAAAAAGGCATGAAGGATGTCTTTGGCTCCATTGATGCTGATGCAAATGGATCTTTCTCGAAACTGGACATGGTGGCAGCGATGCAGAGCAATGCACGCGTGGCCTCCTACTTGTTGCCGGGTCTGGATGCGCGGAAAGTCTTGGAGGATGAACGTAGCTATGATGCGGTTTGTTCGCTGTTTGATCACATGGCTGCAGGTAGGCAGGGCGTGCAATGGCAGGATTTCAAGACTTTCTGCCTGCACACACGCTTCCAGAAGGCATGGGATTCCAGCCCCTCCACCACATGCTCCAGCCCGGGCTCCAGCCCCCTCAGCGCTGGAAGCAGCCCATCCTCTGATGAGAGGTCCAGTGCGAGAATCCTGGTTATAGCACCGGGTTTTGGCAGGGAGCGCCATCCCCAACAAGCAGCCCTGCTGGCGAACGCAGGCTTCCAGATTCACTGGTGCAGGGACCTGCCCGAGTATGCAGACGAAGGTGCTAGGTTGACCTACCATGCCGTGGCGCCCTACTTAAACAAGATAAGGGATGAGATCGTGAGCATTCAGCCCCGAGTTGTGCTTGCAGCATCGCAAGGTGGAGCATACTTGGTTGGCTTATGGCAGCTGGGGTATTGGAATGGCCCCTCTGTGATGCTCAATGCACATCCCAGCCTACCGATGCGCTTGCCAGCTGCAGCCTCTATCGTCGTGGCGCACGGCTCCAACGACGAGGCCTACCTCTGGATGCGTGGTGATCTAGAGGAGCTGATGACTACGGGCCCCCCAAACCGGAGTCTCCTCTACTACACTGGCAATAGTGGCTATTTGGCCTCTGGCTCGCTTACGCGGCTTGGGGATCGACATGTGATGGCATCCATTTTGCAGAACCGTACTCTTCCAAGGCTCGTGGATGCGGCCTTGAGTCCAATGGGCCCCGAGATGTACCTGCTCCAGTCCTGGCGCAGCCAGCTTAGTGACGCCCGCTTGGATGCGCAGCATTGGCTCGGGTACTCCCTGGAACGGCTGCGCCGTTTGTGGGCCTCGCCTGGCCGCCAGGGCAGGGATGGCTCGTCCCTCTTCCAGGTGCAACCCAACAGCGAGGAGTTCCGGCGTGTGGCGACCATCTTCCGAGCTGCGCCTCCCGAGCCCCCGGCCTACATGCTCTCCTCCCAGCAAAGCTGGGAACGGCTTCCCATTCACAAGATTGAGCGGGTGGAGAATGGAGGTCAGATGGAGTGTAGCACTATCCCTTACAGAGATGGCCTCCGCAACTCTTTGCGGGAGCAGGGTGTCGACTTTGATCCCAGCATTCATGCTTGTTGGGCTTTCCATGGAGCCGACCAAGAGTCGCTCCTGTCAATCATCAGGGATCCAGTCTCTGGATTTCAGCCCTTGATTTCGGGAAGCCGCAACTCACCAGTTTGGGGCTCCGGCACCTATTTTGCCAGGGATGCCAAGTACGTAGCAGACGGACAGTTCTGCCCACGGCGAAGGGATGGCTCCAGATGTATGCTGCTTTGCCTGGTCATGCTTGGAATGCCGTGTCTCGGGGATCCGAACCAGAAGGAGCCTGGTTCTGATCAGAGGGTTTTGCTCAGGGCTGTTTCATGCCGGCACGAAGAGACTAGCGAACATGCTTGTAGTGTGCGTGTGTGAGTGCAGCAGTAATGCAAGTCGTATTCCTGCACCAGGGCGTTCTCCCCTTCCGGCAGAAGCCACATCGATACAACTCGGCTGTGGACTCCCTCTCGAGCCCAGAGGTGTACGTCACACAGGTGGTGGGTGCTGCTCATCCGGCATATCTCATCACTTTCGCATGAGTGAGTTCGGGGGCTACGTAGCATGGCACAGCCACGCAGGCTCGGCCCTTAGTGTGCTTTGTGTGGCCGCTGTATATACTGTGTGGCTGCGGCGGCGGGCATCTTCTGCCCAGCTGCCGACAGTCACCAGAATGGCCACATGGTACCATTGAGGCATTTTTCGTTACAATTGGATGTAGCAATCCCTGAGCGGAATCCTTGCAATATGTTAAGTGAGCAAAAGTGACTTTCTCCCAGCCGATGAAATGATATGGCTGAATGGTGGTTTCAAATCAGTGAACGGTTGGAAGGGTGGCATGACTGCTAGCATATGTAGCGAGCTCCCCAGAGGATTCTACTCACGCGCCCGGCTGCCCGTGCAGCCGATGGCGATTTTTGCGGCTACTCCACCGAAGGGTGGCGGCTTCCACCTGAGAAGCATACAGTGGCACGCACAGGTACACTAATCATTGGAGCTCCATGGGTGTTCCTTCTGCTCCGGTGAACCTTAAACAGTCTTACAGTTCTCAAAACATCAGCATTAGCTGATCAGTAGCTTCAAGCTCAGCAGTAGCTCCAATGAAAGTGGTAAGGCAATGGCTTCTCACCATCTCTGCCTGGTCCCATTATGGCCCGATCCAAGATCTTGCCGCAGGCAGACAGTAGCGCAGCTTCTCGAAAATGCGGTCACCGCATATGTAGCAAATCTGCATAACCTCGAACTTGTGGTTGCGGTGCCTTGTTTGTTTTTTTTGGAGAAGCTGCACGTAGGTTAGCTGACAGCACAACAGGCAACCACCAAAGACAGCGAGGAAGATTAGTGCGCGGTTTTGGATTTCTCGGAATGTGTTTTGTTTTCGGATGTCCGTTTCGTGTCCATCCATAATTTGGACAATACTAATTTTAAGTCCAGATTCTAATCTCATCTTCTTAATGATCTCGTCATGATTGAGTTCGTTTTGGAGGGTAGCCAAAAGATGCTCCTTTTTTTCACCGGCTTTTCTCTGTCTTGTCACACTTAAGGTTTATGTTTTCTGCGGTTTCTTCTTCATGCGTCTGAGCAACAGTGCTATTTCTGGAGTTGTAAGGCTGTTTGCGTAGGTAGAGCTTGACATGCTTGTACAGTGTCGCTTCCGTCTCAGGTGGGTTGGAGAGCCATTTGCGACAGAAAGAACTCAGCAACGGTTCATGAAGGGATTAACCTTTAAGCTTTAATTTCCCCTGCCAGCTGCTTTATCCAAACCGCACAGGGTGCTAACAGGGGGAGTCGCTTCTAAACAAAGCGCACCAACAACTACTTATTCTGAGCATGTCAAGACGCGCTCATACACTCGAGCAAGAACATGGCTTAGTTGACCAAGACGAGAGGTGCCCTAACACAACCGTGTATTTCTAGAGCTGATAGTAGTAGTAGTAGTAGTAGTAGTAGTAGTAGTAGTAGTAGTAGTAGTAGTAGTAGTAGTAGTAGTAGTAGTAGTAGTAGTAGTAGTAGTCAGTGTAGTTGTAGTTGTTGTTGTTGTGGTTGTGGTAGTCGTGGTAGTAGCGGTCGTAGCGGTCGTAGCGGTAGTAGCGGTAGTAGCGGCAGTAGCGGCAGCAGCGGCAGCAGCGGCAGTGGTGGTAGTCGTGGTAGTAGAAGAAGCAGAAGAAATTGTTGTTATAATTATTGAAATAAATAGTAACGTAAAGAATCGTAAAATAAGAATGAATAAGGATTAGGTCTTTTCAGGATTTATCTCGAAAATCTTCATGGACTTAATTCTAAAGGAATTCTAGAGGAATTTAGAAATAAAGATGATTCTAAAATTTTCGGATTTTAGATTTAGATATAGAGAGAGGATAAGAATCTTATATCATAAAATAATTTTCGAAATCTACTCTATAAAACGCTACGGTCAAAGCAACCCTATGCGATACGTCACGCCTCGGAGTGCCCCAGCCCCAAAATTTTCCGGAAATTTCTGGACCCCGGCGAGCAAGC